GTTAAGCCTTCCTACTCCACTTCGTCTGAAGCTCTAGCTGGCTCTGGATAAAGCGCGACACCCATTTCTTGCCTACAGGTTGTGGAGGTGGATCTTGGCCACGCGCGGCGAGTAACGCGTCTGCCATCCGTCGTACGTCGATAATATGGGGTGGAAAACCACGACGGTCAAGGTCTAGGATCCACTGCACAAGGGACTGCTCTTCAATGGACGATAGCTTACGGTTAACAGACCGTAGCTCTAGTCGTGGCTGAGTACTATGAACGCGAGTATGTAGTGTTGATTGTGGCACATCATATGCTTTTGCAAGAGCACAGATAGATTGTTTTGGATTATTACGATAAGACGCGATAGCAAGGCTTATTCTGCCTTCACGAGAAGTATGTATAGAACGTTGTTGTCGCGGCATGGTGGTGGTTGTGTAGAGCGTCGCGTCAAGTTTGGTGGGGTGCCCAGCTTACTGATCTGCCCAGCTTACTGACCCTGCACGTTAGCGCGACATCGTTACGTAATGATCATGCGCCAAGAGCGGATCGGATCGGAGCATTGCCTGTCGTTTGACTATTTGCATGGTGTAGAGTCACGTGACATGAGTCCTGACCATCGTCTGCAGTATGTCCATTTATACAGCCCTTGTTGAGAGTCTATCAAGTTTGTATAGAAGTAGCAAGGAAAAGAAACACGCTAACGTGAGCCATATTGGAAGATGGTGATGATTCTTGAGCTGGGACACAAGATAAGACAGATGGTTGTGCATATTCTGGTACCCAGGGATTGCACACATACTGACTGATAGATGAAGCCGTTATAAACGCAAACTTGGTATGCAAAAAAAAGATTGACGTTGAATTCAAAAAGGTATCTCGGGCGTAAGAAAGAATGTACCCAAACTGAACCCATGACTTTTCCGTCCATTTCCAGGCTTTGAGACTTCCAAATGCCATCCGCTTAACAAAAACGCACATGCTACCACAGTACCGTCTTCAGGATTGTCGAGACGAGTCTCTTTGCAAACGCAGCAACCCCAGCCCACCAATCGAATCAGCCGTACAGTGTCGTGCAAGATCTCAGTGCTGCGCAGATCTCAGTCGTTAAGGAAATAAGAATAGGCTAATGTTCGTAGTACTCCAGTTACTCCATGGGTCTCATGCAAAACCAAAGCGAGACCATCGATGCAAACGCCGCTCATATGCCGACGCCTTGTTTGGGTGCTTTCTATCAGTGATGATGGCTGATGATTGGCAACATGTCGTAGCCCGTGTTATTTGTGCTGTAAATCCAAATACATGTCCGAAGGGGTATTGATGGCAAAGACGGTGTAGACGCCGAGCTGCCGCCCTCACAAGATGACGCATTTGGGCTTGTCCTTGCCGCGCTTGTTGGCACCGGCCATGCCAGCGCCTCGTGTGCGTCGGTCGCCCGTGCCCCGTGTCCGGTCCTTGTCGTGGTAGCCAGCGCGGGTGCGAGGTTCTTTTCGGTCCGTGGGACTGCGTCCGTTGCCCTGGTGTCGTTGCCGTCGGAGTTGTCTGACGACGTCGAAGAAGGCCTTTTCGACATTGACGCAGTTCTTGGCCGAGGCCTCGACAAAGTCGCAGCCGAGGTCTTTGGCAAGGGCCTGGCCCTCTTGGGTCGAGACTTCGCGTTCGGTGACGCGATCGCACTTGTTTCCAACGAGCATGACGGGAGCCTGGCCAAAGACGGGGGCAGATGCGGTAATGGGCGAGCCCGGGTAGGTTGGCGATGCAGCCATGGAGGTTTCCTTGACGCGCTGTATTTGGCTGTGGAAGCGTTGTATGCGGGCAAACGAGGAGCGTGATGAGATGCTGTAGACGAGCACGAAGCCCTCGCCGTCGCGTATCCATTGGTCGCGGAGGGCAATGTACTCTTCCTGGCCGGCTGTGTCGAGAACCTCGAGCATGCATGACTGGCCGTCAATCTGGACCTGCTTGCGGTACGAGTCTTCAATGGTGGGGTCGTATGTCTCAACGAAGTGGTTCAAGCACAACTAGCATCTGTCAGCTATTGTCCGGTCTTGTGGGGCACGGCGGCGGCGTGCCGAGTGGGCAGGGTGAAGCTACCTGTATAGTGAGGGCAGTCTTTCCCACACCTCCGTCGCCCAGCACCACCAGCTTGTACAGCGTCATTTTGCCTGCCATGGTGTCGGTAGCAGAACAGCGTGGCCCTGGTTAGTGCAGGAGAGGTCTCGTGCAGTGCAGTGCAGTGCAGTGCAGTGCAGCGTAGTGTGTGCAGATGTCGCGGCCAAGACACGGGTCAAGGGTGCAGGGCGTAGCGCGAGCAGCGAAGAGCGAGGAGCGTCTTGTCAAGGTTTCTTTTTTGTCGATTGCAGTGGATTCGCAGCTGACCAGAGTACTCAGCTTAGGCTGCAGACAAGGGGCGGGTGGTGGTGTTGTGGAGCGAAGAGGTCCAGACGGGGCGCAGGGAACCAAGGGAGGTGGTGGAGCGGCGCGGCCAAAAGGAGCGTCGTCGTCGTGGTAGTAGTAGTGGCAGTAATGGTAGTGGTGGTGGTGGTAGTAGTAGTAGTGGTAGTAGCAGCAGCAGCAGCAGTGGTAGTAGTAGCTAGCAGTGGTGGTGGTGGTCGCTGAGGGCGGTCGACGCTCGCACAGCAGCACAGCAGCACAGGTGCGCGTGTCGACGGGATGCGGAAGGCAGTGGGAGGAATCGAAGGGGGCGGTGGCCTGGCTGGCGAGCACAATGGTTGCACGGGCAGACGAACGAGGCGGAAGCGTGGCCTGTGCAGCAGCGCCGATGCAGAAACGGCGGCAGAAGCGAGCGGGGAGGGGGGGTGGATGGATGGAAGGGAGGAAGGGAGGGAGGGAGGATGGGAGGATGGGAGGAAGGGAGGATGGGATGGATGGATGGATGGATGGGGGGGATAGGATGGGGGATAGATGGAAGCGTCGATGGGCCTGACAGCAACGCCGGGGGGCGGATGGCGGATGGCGGACAGTGGCAGCGGGCAGCGGCAGCGGGCAGCGCAGCGAGGCGAGGCGAGGCGAGGCGAGGGGGAGGTGGGAGCGCTGGAAGCTGGGGAGGTGGGAGCTGGGTGCTGGGAGCTGGGTGCTGGGTGCTGGGAGCTGGGTGCTGGGTGCTGGGTGCTGGGTGCTGGGTGCTGGGTGCTGGCAAACGGAGGGAGGGTGGCACAGGGAAACGGGGGTCGAGGAGAGGGCGAGATGGAGCAAAGTGTTGGGCGAGGCGTGGCAGTGTCGGGGGCAGGGTTCACACGCTCACACTCACTCCCTCCCTCCCTCCTCACTCGCACTTAGTACTCGCACCCTCACACGCTCACACGCTCACGCACTCTCGCTCGCTCGCACGCACGCGCACGAATTCGCTCTCTGGCCGTCCGTTTCTCTGGCCGTCTGTCGCCCTGTCGCGATGCGCTGCTGTGGCTCGTGTGCCCACGTGAAGATGGGCTTGGGCTTGTAATTGAGCGAGGGTGCAGGGCAGATGCCGTGTGCCAGTGCCAGAGGCAGAGCCAGTGCCGGTGCGCTGCCTATGCCTGGGCCGGTGCCTGAGCCTGTGCGCTATCGCCTATCAACAACAACACCACCACCAACAGTAACAGTAATAACAACAAGGCCAAGGCCAACGACGCCTGGCAGGGCCCCGTTGCATGGACGCGGGCAAGCGGGGGAGGCAGGCGCGCGGGCAGCGAGAGAGGGCGAGGTCAAAAGAAACGCGCCGGGCCCTCTCGATAAGGGCGCCCGGGGGGTTTTACAGTAGACGCCCACGCCATACCCACGCCCACGCCCACACATGGATAGCATGCGCCTTGTGCTCTGGATACATGTTCATGTATGCAGTATTTATATCTCGACATACTGCATACTTGGATGCTGTATAGTACATGTCGAGCCCACTTGTGCCCCGGCCCTGGCTGCACTGCGCCTGGCCAACGGCCACCACACCAGTCGTTTCTGCGCGCAAGCCCAAGCGAAAGCGAGCCTGGCCTGCCGCGACTAGGCCGCATCGGGCGCCTCGTGGGAAACACTCATCCCACCCTCGGGCAGCCATTGCTACCGACACAGATGCATAGACATACATGCATACATACATGCATACATACATACCTACATACCTACATACTACGGCTAGTACATGCAGCGTCGTTTGCAGCGCTGCAGGCCCCAAGCCATGCGGCCGGCGTGTGCATGGGCCCGTCTACGACCTGGATGACGGCGAGGGCAGGTTTTGCGCCCGGGGGTTTCAGGCGTTGGCAGCATCAGTGGCTGCTTGTCGGGGAACACCAGCCTGAGCCGACGACGGCGCCCGCACGAGTCAGCTCCACCGCCCTCGCGCCCTCGCGCCCATTCCGCCCCGCCTGATTGGCCGCCCGTGGCCGCGAGCCCCTAACCCGAAACACGGCCGACGACGCTTCCACTTGCACTCACACTCACACTTATTCCCCCGTCATCAAACTTCTACACTATCACCACCACTACCACTACTACCACTACTACACATCAACCCACGTGCTGTCCCCCACCCATCATGGGCCACGCTTATCGTGCCCCTGCCCTTGCATCGACATGGCACCCACGACCCCTACCAAGTCGCACACTAACTTTGTGTATATTTCTCTCTCTCTACATCTGACCACCAAAAAGAAACAAAAGAGAGAGAGAGAGAGAGAGAGAGAGAAAGAGAGAGAAAGAGAGTCCGGAAATCTCTACAGTTTCGCTCGCGCTTCCGTCGCCTTGTGCAAATCCTTGCCCCTCGTCTCGAAATATTCACGAACCTTGGCTCGCGCAACATTGACAGCTTCCCTGTCCTCAATCGTGCTTGGCACGCTCACATGGCTGCTAAAATATCCGTGCGTGGCATTCTCCACCAGCTCCCGCAACACCCTGCGCAAAGTCTTGCCGCTTCGCGTTTTGGGAATCATGCCCTTGCCCTGGATGAGGCCTCCCAGCGTGGCAATGGCCCCAATCTGCTCACGCACAAGACGTTGAACTTCACCCAAGAGCTTGTCGTCTGCCACGCCCGCTGTAGACAGGGTGACAAAGGCAAACGGCAAATGCCCTTTCAACGCATCAGGAATCCCAACCACGGCCGCTTCCGCAATCGACGGGTGCGTCGTAATCGCTTGCTCAATGGCCCCTGGTCCTGCCTGTCAGCCCATACTTACATGCCACTCCCGACACAAACACTCAAGACGACTCACCGGTGCTGAAGCGATGTGCCGCAACGTTGATGACGTCGTCAGCCCTTGCCATGATGGAAATGTACCCCTCGGCATCAACCATGCCCGCATCGCCCGTGTCGATCCACTTGCCATGGAATCGCTTCAAGTAGCCTTTGTAGAAGCGCTCTTCATCCTCCCACAGGCTCGTAAACGCCGTCGGCGCAAGAGGCATCGCCATGACAATGTTGCCCATGTCGCCCCTCTTCACCTCGTTGCCATTGTCATCCACCACACGCACGTCAAACCCAGGCATGGCCTTGCCTGCTGATCCTGGCTTGATGACAAGGGGCTTGGCCCGCTCTCGACACCCAAAGTCAAGCCCCGAAGGCGCACTGAGTGCAATGCCCGAAATAGGCGAGCCCGACTCGGACGACCACCAGTTGTCGACTACCACGGCGCCTGGAGCGCAGTACTTTGTCAACAGGTCCTGGTACCGCTGAATGATGTTGGGCTCGCTTCTTTCTCCAGCCAAAAACAGGGCCCGAAGCGTCTTGAGCGCACCTCTCTCACCTCTTGCCGCGAAGAAGTGGCTCTCGCCATCGTCTCGACGAATCGCTCGCAGCGCCGTAGGTGCAGTGAACATGGTCGACACCTTGTACTCTTCAACAATGCGCCAAAACGTACCCGCGTCTGGCGTCCCAATTGGCTTGCCTTCAAAGATGACCGTGGTAGCGCCAGCGAGCAAAGGGGCGTAGACAATATACGAGTGGCCCACAACCCATCCAATGTCGCTCGCCGTGAACATGACGTCGCCTGGGCCGTGAACTCCAAACAGGTACTTGATGGAAAAGTTGAGCCCTACGGCATGCCCGCCCGCCGAGCGAAGCACGCCCTTGGGTAGCCCGGTCGTTCCCGAAGTGTAGATGATGTAGAGCCCGTCCCCGCTGTTGACGGGCACAGCATCGGCCTTGAGTCCTCTGTTCTTGGCACTCTTGACCAGCCGCTGCTAGTTGCGCTGACCGTCTTCCTTGCGAATCGGATCCCACCTCAGCTGCTCTCTCTGCCAGACAATGGTTTTGCACGGCTTGAAGCTGCTCTTGTGGACCGCGCCCTCAATCATAGACCTGTACTCTGCCGGCTTCTTGGTCCCTTCTATGCCGCAAGAGGCAGTCATGATGGCGACGGGTCTACTGGCCTCGATGCGCTGTGCCAGCGCTGCCGAGCTGAAGCCACCGAAGACGACGGCGTGTATGGCTCCCAGGCGAGCAATGGCCAGCATAGCAAACAGCGCAGCCGGCACCATTGGCATGTAGATGAGAACAACGTCTCCTTTGTCGACGCCCTCCTCTCTCAGCACGCCCGCAAGCGTCTCAACTTCTTGCAGCAGCTGTTTGTATGTGTATAACTCCTTCTGGCCCGTCACGGGACTGTCCCAACAGATTGCAACATGGTCTCCGTTTCCTTTTTCCACATGCCGGTCGACACAGTTGTACGTGGTGGAGATTTGACCGTCTGGGAACCACTCCCAATGCTCGTGCGACACGTTGCTCTTGTTGAGATGCTTGACGCCCTTGTGCAGTGCCCTGGATGGCGTCCTGTGCCAGTGAAGATGGCGCGCCTGACGGCTCCAGAAGGCCTCGGGGTCGGACATGGATGCTGCATAGACTTGGTCCTGGATGTGTGGGGGAGCCATGGTGACGGCGATGGATGCTCGACGGTGGACAACTATCAGATGGCAAGGCGCGCGGCGCTTCTCCTCAAATCACCCATCGGTCCAAAGGGGAGCGCACGCTGACCTCGGGAAGAGATGGGTTCGGCCATGGCCCAATCCCCGCAATACGCTAGCGGGGGGGTGCACTAGCCCGATGCGGATGACTTGCTGGCTGCTCCCACTACGCACCATGTACCTGCACATGTACGCACTGCGCACAAACGGCAAAGGCCCAGTGACGTAGCTGCAGCTGCTTAGCCATGAGCATGAGACTGCTCCCGCTCGCCAGCACTGCCCTTGCCCTTGCCCTCGCAGCTTGTCACAGCCACGACCATGGCGCTGTCTCCGACGCCGCGCGCGCTTCTTTTCGATGTCTTCGGTACCTGCGTCAACTGGCGCAAGACGATTGTTGGTGCCCTGTGTGGCCAGGCTCACCAGTCGCTCAACGCCGCCACGGCATCGCTAGCCTCTCGGGTTCGACTGAGAGCGTCTGAGATGACTGAGGAGGATTGGGGCCGCTTTGCGCAAGAGTGGAGAGACTGCTACAAGGCCTTTACCCAGAAACTGGCATCCGACCCTGCCCTGCCGTGGATGTCCATCGACGAGCATCACCACCAGTCGCTCCAGGAGCTGCTTGCCCGGTGGGGGCTTGAGGGCCTCTGGGACGATGCTCAGGTTCGTGCTTTGAGCCTCGCGTGGCATCAGCTGGAGCCGTGGCAAGACTCTGCGGCCGGTGTGCAGCTGCTGAGCCAGCGGTTTGGTGGGTCCCAAGTCAGCCGCCCGGCTGTGACGCGTCGCTAACCGAAGCAGCAACGTGCACCCTTTCCAACGGCAACGCGAGGTAAGCTAGCTTCCGTCTCCAGTCACGCTGCCACGGCCGTCCACGGTGACGGCGTTTTCCATGCAGCCCGCTAAAGTCGCCATGCAGCCTCCTCTCCGACCTCCGTGTCTTCTCAGGCATTCCCTTTACGCACGTCTTTTCGGCCGAGATGTTTGGCACCTACAAGCCCTCTGCAAAGGTCTACCTCGGCGCCGTGGAAGCGCTAGGCCTTGGGCCGGCCGAGTGTGTCATGGTAGCCGCTCACCTGGCCGATCTCCAGGCTGCAAAGGCAAACGGCCTGCAGACCATCTATGTCGAGCGCCCGGGCGAGGAGGACTGGAGCGCCCAAGACATTGAAAAGGCACGAAAGGCCGGCTGGGTGGACCTGTGGGTGGATTTGCGCAAAGGCAATCGAGGCTTCATCACCGTGGCAGAAGCGCTAGGCATCCCCGTGGCAGAGGGCGACGACGGCAGAAACTGAGCACACCTTTCTTCCCAGTGGATAAATTTATTTGGAATGCACTAGTCGGGACTGCTTGTTTCTCGTGCGCGTGAAAGATACGGTGGTTTCGGTGTGGTCAAGACACATGTCCAAGGTACACGTCTCGTGCGACGCGTAGCCATAGTTTGTAGACGCGACGTACGCCGTCTGATTTGCTCAATCCGTGTCCATCTGTCAAGTCTTGGACTGGATATATTTTTTTCGCGTTTGCTGTCGGGTCGCCCCTGATGCTGCGACGCGTGGTGCTCGGACCATTTTCTCCCGTTATGGTGATGCTTGGCGCTGCGAGACGACTTGTACGAAGCAGCAGCAGCGCATCTTGTGGCGTGATGCAGTGGTACAAGTCTCGAAAAAATCCGTAATCTTGTATGCAATTTATGGTTCTTACGTCGCATAAACATCACTAACCATGTTGAAGTATGTAAGTGATACTGAATTTTGGTTTTGTCATGGAGGTGTTGATCGTTGTTTTGGAATTATATCACAACATCCAAACTACGCAAAAAATCACCACACTCCCAGACCAAGTCCAAACCGGCTCAAAAATTGGGAAATAAAAGCTGGAATATCAGAGAGTCACCAGAAGAGATTTGAACATTAATTAATCACGCTACCGCTGATGTCTTTGCATGCACGTCCATAGCTGACACGAGACAGCGAGTCAATGACCACCTTAAATATTGCAACACGTGCACAGACATTAGACACCACACATACACACACACACACACACACAAAATAAAGGGACATGATTAAGAGAGAAGAGTTGATTGATTTACCCAAGGCGGATGATTATATATCCTACGACTACATTGGACGTGTCGCGACCAAGGCGTCACAGCCAGTCACACGCCAACATATGGAGAAAGCGACATAGCAAGCACGACAGCACCATGCATGCGCCATACAGACAAGACAGCGAACAAAGACAATTGGCAAGACATGCAATCACACACACAAAACATCACGGTGCAGAGGATCAAAGTTGAAGTATTATGGTATCATTCCATGCAAAGCAGAACCGACTGATATAACCGTGAACTCCGAGCCTTACTATACTGTACAAGGCTGTGACCATCCCACCAAGCACCGAAGCCGACCATGGACTGAAGAAGCCGGCAGAAGTCGTAACATGAAAAGCGTGAAGGAAAAACATCTAGCCACCGAAACCGTACAGGGTGCGGCCTTGTCGCTTGAGGGCATAGACAACGTCGAGGGAGGTGACGGTCTTGCGCTTGGCGTGCTCCGTGTAGGTGACGGCGTCGCGGATGACGCCCTCGAGGAACGTCTTGAGGACACCGCGCGTCTCCTCGTAGATCATGGCCGAGATACGCTTGACACCACCACGGCGGGCGAGACGGCGGATAGCGGGCTTGGTGATACCCTGGATGTTGTCACGAAGAATCTTGCGGTGACGCTTGGCGCCACCCTTTCCGAGACCCTTGCCACCTTTGCCGCCTGAGACGCGTTAGTGGTGATGCTGGAGGAGAAGGCGCGCTGCCCGGCGCGTGGGCGCGGCGTGGGGAAGGAGTACTCACGACCAGTCATGTTGATGGGTGTGGGGGTGTTGTTGTTTGTGAGGGTGTTGTTGTTGGAGGAGGAGAAGAAGGCTGAGGAGGCTGAGAGACGCGGCGAGATTGGATGCTGGCGAGGTCGAGATGGGGCAGGCGTCGTCGCGTTTAAGAGGCGGCGGGGCGCGTGCACGGCGGGCGCCAGATCACACAGCAGCCACGCCGGATCAGAGCGACGCACGGGCGCGCTTTCCAGATCAACGACCGTGCCCCTTCCGTTTCGGGCGGGCCCCCAAGCGAGCCAATGGGCGGCGGCGCGCTCACTTGTGACATTTGTCGCCGCGCGCGCGCTGCCTGTGCCAGCAAAGGCGGGCGTTTGGTGTTGGTGGCCTGCCTTTTGCTCGCTGCACGCGCAGCAAAGATTGATTTTCCTCGCAACCGCCCGCCCCCCGTTTTACCATATAAGCCGCGCCCGCCCGCCCTCGTCCATTTCTCATCCACCACCCACCCACTCCACCAGCCTCACCTACCCGCCTCATCCACACACACACACAAGTCTCCATCCCAACCACCACCACCACCCGTCTGCATCATGGCCCGCACCAAGCAGACCGCCCGCAAGTCCACCGGTGGCAAGGCGCCCCGTAAGCAGCTCGCTTCCAAGGCCGCCCGCAAGTCGGCTCCCGTAAGTCGCCTCGCCAGTCATCTGCGCCCAAGCGCCTCTCTAACAGCTCGCAGTCTACCGGTGGTGTCAAGAAGCCTCACCGCTACAAGCCTGGTACCGTCGCTCTCCGTGAGATCCGTCGCTACCAGAAGTCGACTGAGCTCCTCATCCGCAAGCTGCCCTTCCAGCGTCTTGTCCGTGAGATTGCCCAGGACTTCAAGTCGGATCTGCGCTTCCAGTCGTCTGCCATCGGCGCCCTCCAGGAGTCGGTCGAGGCCTACCTCGTCTCGCTCTTCGAGGACACCAACCTGTGCGCCATCCACGCCAAGCGTGTCACCATCCAGAGCAAGGACATCCAGCTCGCCCGCCGCCTCCGTGGCGAGCGCGGTTAAGCTGCCCAACTTCACCTTCGGCACGCCATGACAACATCTTCGCGTTGGTCATGAGTCTTTGGGGTCGGATTGTTCAGGCGTTTGGGTTTCATGGTTCACGGTCTTCAACTCGGTTTTATGAGTGCACACGAGCGGTGCTGAGCATGTAGTATATCAGGTTAATCAGTGAAATGGTCACTGGGCGATATCCCACGAAATCAATAGGTTTCTACTTCAACAAGCTGCTTCTGTGTTGTGATGCCATCTGCCTTGCCATTATCGTGTTATTCGCCACCGACGTATTGCTTCGCCACCGCCAACGCCCGCCAGAGAGTCGCGAGCGCGAACAGACCCCCGCACATGACGCGATACACCAGCGTGCTGAACTATATACAAACAAACAAGTCCTGTCGCATCTGTCGTGCCATTCCATCCATCTTCATCATGACTTGGCAAAGTGAGTTCTGGTCGTGGATGTCACCTCGTGCCGTGCCGACAGCCGCGACACCCGCTGTCGGTCAAAAGGCACCATCGTCACCCGCGCTACATGGGAAACCCACAATTGTCAGCTTCCTTCGACACTGCGGCTGTCCCTGTAAGTCGTCTCTTGTTACAACGGGCCGACAGCATAATCTTAATGACATGGATATGTCTAGTCGCCGAGAAGACTTTTTTGAATTTGCGCGCCCTGGCCGCTATGCACCCAAATGTCCATTTCGTGGCGGTTTCTCACAGCCACCAAGAGTCTACCGACCGTTGGCTCGCTGCGCTGCCTGAACCCTCCAAGAACATGCAGCCCAATCTCCAAGTCATTGTGGACGCAGAGCGTGAGGCATACGCGGCGTGGGGCTTGGTCATCTCGGGCCTCTGGCATGTTCTGGGGAGCATACCGGGCGTTTCCAAACTGGCCAAAGAAGAGGCCATCCACGTGCGGCCGACGGAGAGCGGCAGCAGATGGCAGACGGCAGGCAGCTTTGCAGTAGACGGCCATGGCATTGTCAAGTGGTCTAGGAGGGACGCGCGTGCTGACGACACGGCCGACTTTAGACAAGGCCTTGATGCGCTGCTTGGAGGCACATGTGAGCAACTTGGAGCAGGCGAAATGCAAGGATGATTACTGTTGATCCAACCATTCCGAGGCATAAGCAGACCCACGGCAGTGTTTATACGCGGTTCAGTGCGTAGTTTGCGCGACGGTGACACACTTGCCTTTTGGCTGTGGCTGTTTGGTGTAGGTGTGGGTGTAGGTGTAAGTGTAGGTGTACCTGGCGTTTGGCGCGCCGGTGCCCATGACCTCATGCATACACGCGCGCGCGCGCCGGCGTCTAACGCGCGCCCCCCACCGTCGCCACTACACGCTCAACCAGCACGCCAGGCCTGGGTCATGGCATCATGGCCGCGCCCACTGTGCAGCTGACAAACCAAGTCGATGGCTCTGGCGCCGGCGCTCATGTCGAGTCTGTTGCCACGCTGAGCGACTATGGCTCCGACATTGACATCGACGACGAAGACATCCTGCTCGCAAACGCCCTCGACACGATAAGTGGCCCAGTCCCCGTCGACAAAGGTGTCGTCTTGCCCAGCGTCGAGTTTGAACACGGCCGGCTTGGAGAGGAAGAGCAACATGTGGACGGCTTCGTCCAAGTACACAAGCCATCAGCGCTGCGCCTTAGCCACGGCCCGAGGACCATGCATGCCCATGCCCAGAGGAACCCGCAAAGCTCGCCCATGCGAGACCGCTGTACGCTGGAAGTCGAGTACGACGAGACATCGCGGCGAGCATGGAGTGGTGAGTCGAGTGTTGCCACACCATGACAAGGACCATGGCCGGTTAACAGCTAACAGCCATTAGTTCCTCTTGAACAACCAGCCTCGCCCCTTGGACACTCGCCGTCTGGCTCGCGTCCTGGTACATTAAACAACAAGGCCTCTCTTCCTCCATCCCAAGTCGAAGGCGTTGCCCCAAGCGACAGTCGTTCGCCCCTCGCGCGATTTCGCACAAAGCCCAAGAAGCCCTTGTCGGTGACAGATCTTGTCTCGCCTGCGTGGTGTGAGTTGCAGTACTACTACAACCTAAGCACATTTGGCCGCAAGCCAAGAACACGGGCGATGCGCACAGGCTCAAAGATCCACCAAAAGCTCGAGGCCGAGGTGCACACGACGATCCCAGTGCAGGTAGAAAGCAAGGAAGACTGCTTTGGTTTGCGCATATGGAACACGATATCTGGCCTGCGCTGTCTGCGTGAAACTGGCATGACACGAGAGCTAGAGGTGTGGGGTGTGCTCGAGGGCCAGGTCGTTAATGGCATCATCGACCAACTATCCTGTCAATGCCCTGATATCGCTTTTGAAGAGCAGCTTGAGACGTCGCGTGCGGAGAAGAACGGGGGCATTGTGCCTTTGTCGCCAGGCCAGCCCACCATATCAGAGGCCTTTGCAAAGCCTTCTCCGTCGCACAGTCATCGCCAAATCTACGTGACTGACGTCAAGACGAGGGCTGCAAGCTCACTCCCGGCTGGAGCTTCCTTGCGCCCTACCTGGATGCAGTTGATGCTTTACCGCAAACTACTCGAATCGCTATCCTTGAACACGGTAGATGCCGAGACTGTCTTCTTGCGCTACAATCTTCACCCTCTTGCTAGTTTCACCGACACCTTTAAGCAGGCGGTTGAGGGTATCGGGCCTCACGACGAAGCCTCAAACTATCCGAATCTTCTGTCCTTGTGGTCGCTCCTGATTGCAGAAATGCAAACCACAATACCGACTACGAGTCTTTCGCTCATCCTACGCGCAGAGTTTCGTTCTGCCATGACCGGCCATGTAATGGGATCAGAACTGACCGTGTACGAGGCTGAAGTTATTGACAGGTACATTTATGAGAAGATGGCTTGGTGGAAGGGGCGGAGAGAGGCAAAGGGGGTTGAAATCGAAGAGGTCTTCAAGTGCAGGATATGTGATTTTGCCGACAGCTGTAGCTGGAGAAAGACAAAGGTTGAGGAGGCTATTGAGAAAAGCAGACTTAGACGAGCAGCAAAGGAAAAGAGCGCTGTGTAGCAAAATTATACGCATTCGAGTCCCTACATACTTGTCTACCCCTATGCGTGTGCTGCTTCCATTCCTCTCTCCACCAGTCATCATTTTCATCTCACATAAAGTATTGTTTTGCTAGAAAAAACCAGAGGCCAACTACACTAGACTCCAGACTAGACGCACTCATCAAGTACCATTTGAACATATCAAATACCTACCAAACCATTCTTCGAAAAAAAAAGGGGACTAGCAAACAAAAGAGTAGGCAGGAAACCGCAGAAATAGACTAATCATGATTGCTGTCGTGATATCTGATGGCCCTCGAACGAAATCCAGTAGTCTACTGGCCACTAGGGACTGGATACGGCCCATAGCCAGGCTTGGGGAACTTGGGCGTGCCATTGTCATTCCAACTGAATTTTTGGGCGCGAATCGTGCGAGCACTCCATCCATTAGTCGGGTCTCTCATGCCGTGGTAGATGATCCAATGCTCCGTGCCATCCGGGGAAGTGATAAAGGACGCATGGCCAACTCCGTAAGCCGACTCGCTAGGATTCTGATAGAAGACGGGGTATGGGTGTTTCCGCCAGTCGCCTGGGTTCATTGGGTCGTCGCCTACAAGCTCAAGCTGCCCGAGGCAGTAGTTGCGGTTGTCTGAGCGAGCTGCGCTGTAGATTAGGAAATTTTGGCCCGTGGTGGGATTTACCAGCTGTTGAGGGCCCTCGTTGGACGAAAGCCGATCGTTGATTGCGCGACCAAACGGCGTCTTTTCCCACGCATACTCGGGTACCGAGATGATCTGGCGCTCCGAAAAAGGCGAGACTGTGGTGGAAGGATCCGACATTTTGGTGATGCAGAGATTCGCTGGCCAGCCGTCGTACTTGTGGTACCAGCAGGAGTAGATGTGATACAGCTGGTCCTTGTGCTGAAAGTACGTTCCATCAATGGCAAATTGGTCATAAGTCTCGAGTTCACCCTGGTAGCGATACGTGGCAGTCCATGGATCCTCGCCCTCACCAACCACGACAAACATACGATGGTTTACTGCGGGGCAGTTGTATTCGCACCACATCTCAACCTCGGGCGGAGGAGAGTCGTAATTGGGATCGGCAGTGAAGATGACCCACCAAGCACCGCCAATTTGGTGGATCTCGGGGGCCCAGAGATCAGTCGAGTAGGGCTTGTTAGGCTCTGGGTGGAAGATGGTCTTGGACTCTGCATTGTTCCAGTTTGTCATTGACTTGCTGCGCCACAGAGTTACATTGACGTTGTTGGTGTAGGTCATGTAGTAATAGCCGTCATGGCGGAACATCCAGCTGGAATTGTTAGCAGCTAAACTGCAACCCAGGCCGTGCCGCTTACGGGTCAGCCCCAGTGTCCACGATAGGGTTAGTGAAGGTGGATGTGGAATTTGTCGACATGACGGGCGGAGTGTATTGACCCAAGGCCCCAACGGCCAGCGCCACAGCAACCAAGAACTTGAACATGTTGGAAGGGGAAGTGGAGGAGAGGATGAGGAGTAACACGGTATTGGGCGGTCTACGTACTTATGTATGCGGAGAGGCGGGGTGGTGTGGACCCGGTTGGGAGTCTAACAGGTAATAATAACAAGTGACTTGGCCAAATGAGCGGCGCAGGCAAGTGACTGTCACCGCGGATTCCCGAGGCAGCTTTGCGTCCGTACCCTATCACGCGGACAAGTAGTTGGTTTTTTGTTTTTCTTCCTATTCCTGTGTCACTAGAAAGCATCTGGGACAAGACAGAAAGCAAGTAAAACGGGTGTTTGAACGCAGTAGTAAGTGGTTACCCACCAGGCATGGGGGAACAAAGCGCAGATCAGACGCCAATTGGGCATAGAGACAGAGATAGTGTTCTGGTTGGCAGTGCAGTGCATCTTGATGGACCTCAGGCGGGAGAGGCTGGTGGGCGAGGCTGGTGGGTGCACGTAGCGTCGCAGGACCCCAGGTTTCCGCCCCGCGTTGGAGTTGGCCCGGCTCGCACTCGCATGGTAGCGGCGCGTGGTCCCACCACAGGCGCGACTTGTGAAGGGCTTGGCATGAGTTTTGCGAACCACGACACTGTGCAGACGCCGCAAGTGCACACATCATGAACAACTCGCAGTTCCGCCGGCTGCTTATCGAGAAATCAACGCCCAAGGATGATGACAAGGCCAAATCGCCAGCTGCGGCCATGCCCAGGGCGGTGCTGGGCGCGCGCAAGCACTCGAGCATACCCATGACGCCGTGAGTGTTTCCCGCTGGGCGTCGCGCACGACTGATACTAACAGGCATGCAGTCGCCAGGTAGGCAGAGGCTCGGTGCAGGCCGACTTTGCGCGCCAACTCGCCGAGCGCAACGCCAAAAACAACCCGCAGAAGAAGGCCAGGTCCGCGATACCCAAGGGCACCAAGCTCGCCGCAGGATACACCGACCGCACCAAGGCGCGCACCGATGATGAAGACAACGAGATTGCGAAGCGCATCAAGAACCTCGAGGAGTCGATGAAGCTTGGCCAGATTGACCGCGAGACATTTGAGAAACTGGTACAGGAAATCACAGGCGGCGATGTTGGCGCCACGCATCTGGTCAAGGGGCTCGACAGGAAACTGCTGGAAAGAGTACGGCGCGGGGAAGATGTCCTGGGGGGTCTGGAAAAGAAAATCAAGGGTGGGGAAGAAGAGGAGGAAGCAGGGGCAGCAGCCGATGAGGCACCAGAGGTCGAGGACGCCTTCGACGGGCTGGCCGAGACTGACATTGGCCCCATTGTGCGCGACAAGGTGGAAAAAAAGGGCGAAAAGTTATCGACGCCGCCTCCCGTAGCTGGGGTCAAGCGGAGCCGCAATGACATTCTGAAGGAACTCAAGAGACAGAGAGAGGAAGCAGCCGCAGCCGCGGCCGCAGAGCATGAAAAGAAGTTCCCGACGCTAGGGCCCGGCTTTCGCAAGATCAATGCAAAGGGCGAGACGTCACGGATCGAGACGGACGAACAGGGACGTGAAGTGTTGATTATCACGGGCCCGGATGGCAAAGAGAAGAGAAAGGTCAAGAAGCAAAAGATCGAGGTGCAGCCGACCCCTGAAGTACGCCATGATCTGGATGATGCTAAAAAACCCATCAACATGCACAATCTTCCGGCACCAAAGAAGGATGAGTCGGAAGATGACGACATATTCGAAGGCGTCGGGTCCAACTACAACCCACTTGCCAACCTAGACGACTCGGACGATGACTCGGACGGAGAAACAACACAGGCAGAGCCTTCTACATCAAAGCCAAATGTCAGCGAGCACATGTCAGAAGGCGAGGTATCCTCTGCCGATGTGGAAGCGGATATCCAAACAGAAGCCAAAGATGCCGCAACTGTCGCATCTACGAAACGAGACTACTTCAAGCACGCAGCCCGTGATGGCGACACCAAGGAGCATTCCGACCTTGCTGCTGCCGATGCCACTGTGCGCGCTGCCCTTGCCAAGGTGCGAACTCTGGATGAGAACTCGACCCTGCTGCAGAACCTGGGGTCATCGGATCCCAACGACCCTGCTTCCAAGGAGGCGCGCCTCAAAAAGCGCGCTGCAGAACTTGCTGCTGCAGATCGTGACATGGAGGACATGGACATGAGTTTTGGTGCGTCCCGATTCGACGATGCTGAAGAAATGGAGAGAGAAGGGGAGAAGGTCAAGTTTAGTCAATGGAAGGGGCTGGGCGCAGAGGGCGACGATGATGAAGGCGACGATGGCGCAAAGGGCCCAAAGAAGCAACGTAAGCGTGGTGGCAAGAAGCGGAAGGGCGACAAGAACAATGCTGATGATGTACTGAATGTCATGGAGCGACTCAAGGAGAAGAAGACGAAGACGCTTGGTTGATGGACTGTTATCGGATGCAGCACTAAGCTGCTGCCGGAATGGTATACTCTCTGGCGCCTTCAGTGCTGAATAGTACGACCACAGACTCTTGGTTCAAGCCCAGGTCGGTCATTTTCGCGTTACACACCTTCTTCAGCGCAGTCATGGTGGCGGCTCCACATGGCCCGCTCTTGACGCCTTTGCCGTGCAGGTATTGCAAATCGCAGTGCACATCAATGTCGGACACTGTGACACTTGCATCTACGCCGTTTTTTAGAATGTGCCATGCAGTTGTCGACGTTGTCCCGCAGTTCATGCCGTCCATGATTGTATGGCCCGTGGAAATGGGAGTAATCTCACCAGCCTCGAGGCTGACTTTCAGACTCGCAGCTACATCGGGCTCAACTGTAATGACAGTAGCAGAGTGTGCCTGGGTCTTGTAATGCATAGTGACGGCCTGCGCCCATGACCCTACGCCGACCGCCGCTACCACACAGGTCGCCCCCAGTAAGCCCATTTCCTGCAACTGCTTGTCTGCTTCTGTGAGCATGGTGATGTAGCCCTCGACAACCCACTGGTCGACGTCAGTTTCTTGTTGCACATGAAGCGGGAGGGTCAGGAGACACCTCTGGGATTTCCTCGTAGCCTTCCCAAGACACGTCCATGACCAGCATACCGCCCTTGTCTGCTTCTTCCCTTGCCCTTGCAACCGAGACATCGTAGTCGCCATCCACGACCACCACTTTTGCGCCCTCACTTTCGATTTTCTGCCGTGTAGTCTCGGTCATGAAGTCCGGCACAAAGACGAGGGCTTTGATTTGCAGGTATTTTGCCATCCTCGCAACAGCCCTTCCCCAGTTTCCCTCGGTGCATGTGACCAATTCAATAGCTGCTTTCTGTGCAGCATCTGCCAGCTCATGCAGCGAAGCAGATGACGACAGGCCGCACTTGGCGGACACAGCATTACGGATTGCCCACGACGCCCCGAGAATCTTGAAGGCTGGAAGCCCTAAACGGCGCGATTCGTCTTTCACGAGGACATGTCCCAGACCGAGTTGCTGCGCCAAGTGCGGAAGGGGAATCAGAGGAGTGACTGCGTAGTCGGGCAGGGTGCGATGGAAAGACTCGACTGCGGGGTTGGCAGGACGACCAGAGTATTTCCAGGTAGCTGCGGAGGGATTGCGGAACATGGTGAATGGTGGAATACAACAGCCCGCCAAGGACTTGTGGTTTCACGCTCGCGACCAAGGCAGATGACGCGGCCTTGTTCCTGGCGACAACTTGGTCGGTGGAGACTGCACATGGCGGCGTTGCACGTAGTGGTAGTAGCTAGGTGCCGACTGTACCTAATCTGGCCATGAACCGTCTGCCGTCCTTGCATGCAGACGGCCACTACTGCCACTGCGACGGGCCCCAGCCACGCGCGTCTCTCCGACGGAAAGCGGCCATGCCCTCGTCAGGTGAGGCGAAGTGTCAATGGTGGCGGAGCTTGTTTCAGGGTCTACCGAGGTTGCGTCATCCCCCCCCCCCAAGCGGCAGCCCTTCGACTCACACGGGACGCGCCGCCTCCAAAGCGAACTCGACAGAATACAGTATTCCAGGGCGAACAAGACCGAAATGGCGCAGCAGGGACCGCAGTTAGCGCTGGCAAACATTCCGAGAGTCGTGTTGCGCCCGACGTGGGATAACACTGTTGCAGCAATATATCTGCTCAAGGTACATACAAAGGCCAAGAGGTGCGCGCAGACTGACCATGGCTAGGGCGTCGTCTTCTTCCTTGCGCACCCGTTCCTGTATCCGCTGCTGAGGGCGCGGCTGCTGCCAGCCTTTCTCCTCAGTCTGTTTGTGCTCGTTACGCTCTTCTTCTGGACCCTGCTGCCACAGGTTCTCTTTCTCAAGCTGTTCCATCCTGCAGGCAGCGCGTGGGTCAACGCCGTGTTTCTTGTTCTTGGAGAAGGGGCTGCCGTGGTGGCCTTGCTGTTCGAGTCTTTCTTCGTGGCAAGTACTCGGTCCGGGTTTGCAGACGTGGGCATGCTGCTGACCAAGCAAAGGACGAGTCGCAGGTCGACGTGTTCGACGCCGTATTGGTGTACAAAGGCTATGAAGACCTCGTCCGCCAATACCGGCCCCTCTCTGAAGATGCCATGAACAATCCTGTTCGCCGACTTGGCAAGCCTACGCGCTCCTCGGTCTATGCGCCCTTTTCCTTCCGTCAGATTGCCGAGTTTGTGCTGCTGCTGCCCGTGAACTTGATACCATACATTGGAGTGCCCATGTTCCTCTTCTTGACAGGCTACCGCGCGGGCCCGCTCCAGCACTGGCGGTACTTTCAGCTTCTGGGTTACGATCGCAAGCAGAGAAATGCGGCCATTAAGAGGCGACGATGGCAATACACTTGGTATGTGTGCTCTGCATGTAAGCAGAAAATCAAAAATCGAAGCGCGAAATGGCTGACGAGGGCCTGCAGGTACGGCACGGCATACTTGTTCTTGCAACTGGTGCCGCCATTCAGCATGTTTTTCCTTCTGACGGCGCCGGCAAGCTCTGCACTATGGGCAGCCGACTTGGAGCGAGAGCGAAGGGGGCGGGAGGCGCACGCGGCCCAGGCACCGCACTATTACACGGATGAAGCAGACGCGGCGGTGTGAGCAGCCTAGTATTAGTCGATACATAACAGTGGTACATACATACGTCAAGGGAGTGCTTTTTGATGTCGTCGCACCCCGGGGCAGTGCACCGACATCAGTGCTCGGAATCATGTGAACAGTCGCGCAAGGGCTAGGGGTGCTTGTCGGCGTCAGTGCAGCCGCCAGGGAGCTCTCTCAGCCAGCAGCCGTCGTGTGGTGCTGGCGCGGTGGTGATGGTTGAGCGTGTCGCACATTGCCATGGCAACGGCCGCGTATCGCGGAGGCGGGTGCAAGGCGGCAAGCAGCAGCAGCAGCAGCAGCGGCGGCGAATGGCCCACAGCCGGCCTGGGACGCGGTCTGCGGCGCTGCCTGGAATGGAACCGGAACCGCAGGCGCGCAGCTGACTCCAGCAAGGAACGTGACACGCTAGCTGTTTAGGCTGGCGTCCACATACGTCAATCAAGCCGCGGTTCCCCCCCAGCCCCATGCATTCCGCGCCCCCCATAGATTGCAGCTCCAGCTTAAGCTCCGCCGCCCCATCCCATCTCTCCCACTCGACCTCTCCACCCCCCCCCATACCCCCATCCATCTCGCTCACATCCATCCCCCTCTGATTCCTCATCCCCCTCGCATCCATCGCCCGTCATCATGAAGACGGCGATCCTCCTTGCAGCCGCCGGCTCGGCGTCTGCTGCCGTCCACAAGATGCCGCTCAAGAAGGTCTCGCTTTCGGAGCAGCTGGTAAGTCGTCGCTGCAGTCACACGCGCTGCGCACTTGGCTGACAACCGCCAGGCACATGCCAGCATCGAGTCGCAAATGGCTGGCCTGAAGCACAAGTACTCTCAGCAGCACATTGCGGGCCTCAAGCCCCAGTCGCACATGGCGGCTGCCTTGAAGGCGCCCTACATTGCCGACGGAACCCACCCAGTGCCCGTCAGCAACTTCCTCAACGCCCAGTGTACGTCGCGCCAGCTCGGCGCATGCCGCGCCATGACGAGCCATCAGCTGACAGCGCGCCAGACTTCTCTGAAATCTCCATCGGAACGCCGCCCCAGTCTTTCAAGGTTGTCCTGGACACGGGCAGCTCCAACCTCTGGGTCCCGTCGTCCGAGTGCAGCTCGATTGCCTGCTACCTCCACACCAAGTACGACTCGTCGTCGTCTTCTACATACAAGAAGAACGGCTCCGAGTTTGAGATCCGCTACGGATCGGGCTCGCTCAGCGGCTTCGTCTCCAACGACGTGTTCCAGATTGGCGACCTGAAGGTGAAGAACCAGGACTTCGCCGAGGCCACGTCTGAGCCTGGCCTCGCCTTTGCCTTCGGCAGGTTCGACGGCATCATGGGCCTTGGCCATGACACCATCAGCGTCAACGGCATTGTGCCTCCCTTCTACAACATGCTCGACCAGGGCCTTCTGGACGAGCCTGTCTTTGCCTTCTACCTGGGCGACACCAACGCGAACCAGGAGTCGGAGGCTACCTTTGGTGGCATCGACGAGAGCCACTACACGGGCAAGCTGACCAAGCTTCCCTTGAGGCGCAAGGCATACTGGGAGGTCGATCTCGATGCCATCACCTTTGGCAAGGAGACTGCCGAGATGGACAACACGGGTGTCATCCTCGACACCGGTACCTCTCTGATTGCTCTTCCCTCGACCATTGCCGAGCTCCTGTAAGATGCGATCCCTTCCCCACGCTGACACATATGCTAACGAGCGGCAGCAACAAGGAGATTGGTGCCAAGAAGGGCTTCAACGGCCAGTACTCTGTCGAGTGCAACAAGCGTGATGGTCTGCCCGACCTTACTTTCACGCTCACTGGCCACAACTTCACCATCAGTGCCTACGACTACATTCTTGAAGTGCAGGGCTCGTGCATCTCGGCCTTTATGGGCATGGACTTCCCCGAGCCTACGGGCCCTCTTGCTATTCTCGGCGACGCTTTCCTGAGGAAGTGGTACTCTGTGTACGATATGGGCAACTCTGCTGTCGGTCTTGCCAAGGCCAAGTAAGACAGCAGCCCTAGATAGGATGAACAACAAGACGGACAGGGGCATGGCGCCAGCAGCTATGCTGATGTGTTAGTGCTGGAGTTTGGCTGAAATTGGACCTGTGCGCTGGTATCATGTTTTGATGTAGTAATGCGGCCAGTGTGTATTGGCACTGCAAATGAGAAAGCTGCAGAAAGCGTGTGTGTGTGTGTGTGTGTGTGTCGCAGCGTGAGGTGCACGTGAATGATGCGTGTCGTGATAACGCGGACACCAAGCTCGCCTTACCATAGCAATGTGCCGGGTGGACGTGGACGCGTAGAGGTCGCTGGGCTGAGCACACGCTAGGCGGCCGCGTCCTTGGTTGCGCAGCTAGGCCAACTTCGGGTCGTGTGTTCGTATCGATAAGAAATGGACCAATGACGTCTTCGGGCTGGCCCATGACGGGAAGCGGAGGGCTCGCACCCCAGGAGCCTAGCACCCCAGCAGCGCGCGGATTGATAACGGGTGCTGACGGGAGGCACGAGTATATGCTGCTATTTGAGATGCAGAGGCTGTCAGTGGAAGACGGGCTGCTCGGCGTTGGTGCCTGCGAGGGTGCCTGGACAGTCTTATCAAGTCACGCTAACAGGTACCCTGCGAGAGTCTCGTGGCTGATGAGCGTGCATGGCTCACCGCGTACTCGCACAAGTCATTCCTGCAACCTTCCAATATGTGACGTCTAACGAAGCGCCCAACTGCCTTGCAGCATCCATCTCCTCTCACGGCAACAGCATTACGAATCACACCCTCCAGCTCAACATACCGTCTTCGGCCCGCCGTGGTACCACCGCCGACGAGCCCACCAACTCCGTCGACCCCCAACTATTATCGACCGCACCCACACAGCCCACCCCTCTCGAGATGGCATCTCAAGACCGAGAACGGGAGAGAATGCCTCGCGGACTGAGCAGGAGACGAAGAGACTCGAGAAGGGAGTCGCGCGGCATGTCGCTCGAGATGCCGGAGCGCTTTCGCGATGGCGATGATGCGGAAGAAGATGTCACGGCCCCGAAGCGGAACAACGCCGTCTCGATGAACCAGTCGCTCTTCTCCATGATAGCCCGTGCGGGGCAGCACTCGCAGACAGACCTAGGCACGATGCAAGAAGGCGACTCTGGCGACAGCGATGACGAGGGCAAGCCCAAGGCGCCATACCAGGCCTTGGACGGCGCCGCAAGACTGAGCCGTCTGAGCTCTGCAAACGAATTTCAGACGCCAGCACAAGAGTGTCATGAGACAAGTACGGAAAACGGCAAGCATAGGCGGACATTGTCAGAAAACAGACTGTTGCGCTCGCTGCCCAAGTTGAAGGTATCGAGTCGGAAGGAAGCACGCCCCGAGGGCCAACGGGCCCAAATGTCGTCGTCCCAGTTCCTACCACCCAAACCGTCGCCGAGTCCATCTCCATCAGCATTGCCCAAGCGACCCTCCAAGCCAAAGGACAAGGAGAAGGACAAGCTGACAGCCGGCGAAGAGATACATGTCGAAACAGCACCAAGCGCTAGCCGGAAAAGCAGGCACGGAAGTACCACTGGGGTAGACAAGAGCCAAGAACCAGCGACACTTGCCAAAAGGCTTCAACAGATATTCGAATTCGACGAGGTGGAAGAGGTCATCGCCGAGTACGCCTGCTGGCTACTACAAAGCCTTCTTCTACAGGGCTACATGTACATCACCCAGAAGCACATATGCTTCTATGCGTACATACCCAAGAAGCATGTAAGTGTGCCCTGCCATAGATTTATTGCAAAAATACTCATTTCTGTAGCATGATGTGAGCAAAACAGGTTATCTCTATAAGCGTGGCCGCTCGAAGCTCAACCGTTATTGGTTCGTCTTGCGTGGCGATGTTCTCGCATACTACACCAATCCAGCAGAGCTCTACTTTCCGAGAAATCGCATCAATCTCCAGTATGCACTGGCTGCCGAGGTGCTAGAAAGCACCAAGAAAGGGGAAGAAGAGACTACTTTCGCGGTTACGACCGACGAAAGAAGATATCTCTTCAAAGCTGACAGCGCGGCGAGTGCAAAGGAATGGACTAGATCGATCCAAAAAGTGATTTTCCGAACCCACAACGAGGGCAACAGTGTGAAGATATCGCTTCCGATACAGAACGTTCTTGAGATCGAAGAGAGCTCAATACTAGACCTTGCGAATACGGTCAAGGTGCGCGTAATAGATAATGATGAAACATTTGCAATTGACGAGGTATGGTTCGTCCATGGTCCTTCTGACACATTCTAACCGAAGCAGTACTTCTTCTCGTTTTTCAACAAAGGACAAGATGCACTCAACGTTCTGCGCATCATGGTCAACGATAACGAACACCACCAGGGTACTCACACAGGCGGTGATCGCGAGACTACGCCTTCCGGCCATCGCGCATCACCAGCAGATGTTGGCGAGACACCCCATATCCACGAAAATGTCCGGGCTACTTTGTCACCACTGCCTGCACCTCGTGCTAGAGGATCGAGCATAAGCGATGTGTCCGCGCGGTCCAGCAACGAGCTCAACAGAAAGAGCTGGGATGTACGACGTAGCATGGACGCCACCCACACTCTCCGTGGCCCAGGTCATGAAGCACGGAAATCTAATCATGAGGCGCGACGAAGCTTCCACGGTGGCCCGAACAACACGCAAAACAAGCGCCACTCAGGGGATGGCTCACCTCAGTCGCTGAAAGCTGCAGACTCGGAGTCGGCTACGCTTTCGCTTGAACCAGGTACTGAATCATCAGCTGCCATTCAATCAATGGAGGAAAGTAACGCTTCCGCCTCGCAAATCCTAGATCGCTCCGACCTCTTTCGTGGACCCGCGTACCAGTCAACCGATAACAAACTCGACTTGCAGCACAAGAACTCGCAGGATACGGCGCGATCCCCTCAAGCGAAGACTACCACAGCGGCAAAACGCTACAAACAACCTCAAACGCCGATTGGCACACCCGATTTCGAAGACGGAACTGACACTAGCCAAGCAAATCCTCGCTTGTCGGGTTCGTCGTCGGCTTTGCAGGATATTGCCTCTTACCCGCTTCAAAAGGCATCTGGCCTAGCCGGATTCTTGAGAAGTCGATCCAAGAGAATGGGCAATTTACTAGCAAGCGAGTCCATGGGATACTACGAAAAGGTTTCAGGAATGCTTGCGGGTGGACGAAAGCACTACAACACTGCCGAGGGCCTGGAGACTGGAGACCAGATTCATGGATTCGAGGACGATGAAGACGCAGCCAAGGCGGTAGAAAATTTCCGCGACCATTTTGCCTTTGCCGAAACTGAGGTATTACAATCGTCATTCTTCGCGTCTTTACAGCGAGTTCTTCCAAACTACGGCAAAATCTACATCAGCGGGAGATACTTTTGTTTCCGCAGTTTGATGCCAACGTCGAAGACAAAGGTCATCCTCCCCATGCGGGATATCGAGAATGTGAACAAGGAGAAAGGCTTTCGCCTCGGCTATCACGGCCTCGCCATAGTCATCAAGGGTCACGAAGAGCTCTTTTTCGAATTCTCAAAGGCCGAGTTTCGCGACGAGTGTGCGATTACAGTCCTTCGTATACTGGAGAACACCAAATATCTCGAGGATGAAGATTCGTCTTCCTCGGGCATTGATAGCGAGGATGAGGCGGCCAAAGCAGAACACGACTTGCTGCAACAAGCGCGCGAGCATACCGACGCGGATAAGCAAGTTGACGTGTCGGATATTGTCCGCGCTGCAGACCAGGACCGGATACCTCTCATTTTTGACGACCCGCTTGCTTCGTTCGTGGACTTCAAGCCTTCAGAGCCGCTGACGATCGTCTGCCTTACCATTGGATCACGAGGTGATGTACAGCCTTACATCGCACTGTGCAAGGAGCTGTTGAAGGAGGGACACAAGGCGCGGATTGCGACACACGCCGAATTTGAGCCTTGGGTGCGCAAACATGGGATCGACTTTGCCGTCGTGGATGGAAACCCGGCCGAGCTGATGCGCATTTGCGTGGAACACGGCATGTTCACGTACGGCTTCATGAAGGAGGCCAATTCCAAGTTCCGCGGATGGCTGGACGACGTATGTAGCTCTTCGTGGCGGGCATGCCAGGGCGCGGACGTGCTCATTGAGAGCCCCAGCACCATGGCCGGGATTCACATTGCCGAAGCCTTGGAAATACCCTATTTCCGGGCGTTCACAATGCCGTGGACACGCACTCGGGCTTACCCTCATGCCTTCTCTGTATTGGAGAAGAAGATGGGGGGTGGGTACAATAGCCTGACGTACATCACGTTTGATACCATATTCTGGACTGCCATTTCTGGCCAGATCAACAAATGGCGTCGACGAGAACTGGGTCTTCAAGGCACCACGCAGCATAAGATGCAGGCGAGCCTGCGACCGTTCTTGTACAACTTCAGCCCTCATGTGGTGCCTCCGCCCCTCGACTGGCCCGACTGGGTTCGTGTCACTGGCTACTGGTTCTTGGACGAGAGTGATTTGTACGAACCTCCTGCCGACTTGGTAGCGTTCATGGCGAAGGCGCGTGCAGATGGCAAGAAGCTGGTCTACGTTGGCTTTGGATCGATTGTTATTGACGACCCGGCAGCGCTGACAAGGACCGTCGTGGACTCGATACTGAAGGCCGACGTACGCTGCGTGTTATCCAAAGGCTGGTCGGATCGCTTGGAGACCAAGGATGCTTCGAAGCCCGAGATTCCTCTTCCAGCAGAGATCTTTCAGATCCAGGCGGCACCGCACGATTGGCTTTTCAAACAAATGGACGCGGCAGTGCATCACGGGGGTTCTGGCACAACCGGGGCAAGCCTACGAGCGGGTATCCCGACAATCATCAAGCCTTTCTTTGGCGATCAGTTCTTTTTCGCGCAGCGCGTCGAAGACATGGGCGTTGGGGTATGGTTGAAGAAGGTCAATACGAGCGTCTTCAGTCGTGCGCTGTGGGAAGTCACCAACAGCCAGCGCATGATTGTGAAGGCCAAAGTGCTGGGTCAGAAGATCAGGAAGGTTAGTACAAGCCTCAGCCAGGCGGTGCGCGTTGTTGGACTAACACTTTGCAGGACAATGGCACGCAAGTCGCGATCCAGACAATCTATCGGGAACTCGATCGCGCTCGCACGCTCATCAAGAAGCAGGCCAAGCAGGACGACGATCAGACTGACGATTTTGAGGAGGACTGGACCATCATCGAGGAGGGCGAGGAGATGGACGGCACCCATCCATTTGAGATGCAGCAGCCATTGGCAGGTATCAGCCAGGACGCATCCCAGACGGGCGGTGGTTCGTTGGTGTTGGGCAGTATGGTTTTGAAGGGCGCAGGCGTGCAGAAGCGTGCATCGGCGTCTGCGCAACGAGATTGAGTGTTTTTTTGGAGCGTTGTAATGAGCATGACATGAGGCGTTGGGAGCGAATGGGACCTAGACGATGTATGTGTATGTATGTAATGGGCTGGGGTTTTAGACGGGGCAGATTGTATGGAATGGATATCCACCACCTACATACATGGGCGTGCATGTGTTGCGACGAGACGATGGCACCGAGTGCATTTGGACGATTTGTGGCATGGCACGGCTCCTCTCCAGCCGGAGCGCACGCCCTGTTCACCATGCACCTTGTTCCAGCGTGGGCGTGGGCGTGGGCGTGGGCAAGGCCGATCAGTGCGTCTTGGCAAGCTCGCCGTCCCAGTACTTAGCTGTGCCTGTGCCTGCGTGGGCGTCCGCACGGCCGTGCAGGCAGATGGCGCCGCAGACGATGCCGTGCTGCCATCTTCTCTCCACACTGGACTGCTGCTGGGCGCCGGCGCTGCCGCGGCGAGGGCGGCCTGCTCTCTTTGTCTCTTGGGTGCCGTGTGTGTGTGTGTGTGTGAGGCGGTGGTGGACGTGCGAGCAAGATGCACGCTAGCTGTGTGGCTGCAAAGGTATAAAGCTGCCCCTCGCTCCAAATCTTTGGGGGGGGGGGAAACGTCCAGCCGCGCCGCCAATACGTCAATCCCTGTCGCACTCACCACTGCCACCCACCAGCGCATCTCGGCGTCGCACTGCAACCCACCAGCGCCGAACAAACGTCGCGGCCGCCCGCGACACGCAGCCCGGGCCTTTTGCTCCTCCGCCCCGACACGTTGCCCGCCCACACTCCAGCGCCCTTGCGACTGCGCGCGAGCTCCCCCCCCAGGCCGCTCTGCCGCGTCTGTACCGAATGCGCCGGCTAGAAAGACGACGCGGCCGCCATCACCACCACGTCGCCAGTCATATGGGCTGCTCGGACTCGGCATGAAGATCCTTTCGCCCCGGGATTTGAACTATCCCATCACTGTCATTGACCTCCTGAAGAAGCGCGACCACGAGGTGCCACGGTCCGAGAAGCTGTTCACCTACAGCTATGAGAGTCGCGTCATTGAGGGCGACAAGTGGGGAGGGGAGAAGGCCGTCATGAAGAAGTTCAGGCAGACGTTTGATGCGAGCACCGAGGGAAAGATCACGCGATGGTTCGTCAAGCCAGGCACCGTCATTGACCGATCTGGGTAAGTCACGCCGTCACACCCTCCGCCCCCCCCCCCAGTCATGGTCGCCGCTAAACATGTGTCCAGCATTCCATTACTCGAAATCGAAGAGCCATGCACGCACGAGACTCAGTTTGGCGGGCTCTGCGTCGACTGCGGCAGAGACATGACCCAGGTCGATTACCTGACAAAGGAGCGCGACGTCGACCGCGCCACGGTGAACATGGCACACGACAACACGGCGCTGCTCGTCAGCCACAAGGAGGCCGTAGCCGCCGAGGAGGACGCAAAGAAGCGCCTCCTGAACGCGCGAAAGCTAACGCTCATTGTGGATCTGGACCAGACCGTCATCCACACCACGTGCGAGCGCACCATCGCCGAGTGGCAAGCGGACCCCGAGAACCCCAACCACGATGCCGTCAAGGACGTGCAAGGCTTCCAGCTAGCCGACGACAATGTATCCAATGTGGCTGCAAACTGGTATTACGTCAAGATGCGCCCCGGGCTCAAGGACTTCTTCGATAGGGTTTCCAAGCTCTACGAGATGCACGTCTACACCATGGCCACACGAGCCTATGCGCAGGCAGTCGCGAAGATCATCGACCCCGAGCGCAAATACTTTGGCGATCGCATCCTCAGCCGCGACGAGAACTACACCGACAAGCTCAAGAGCCTGACCAGACTCTTCTACCAGAACACGGCCATGTGCGTCATCATTGACGACAGAGCAGACGTCTGGCAATACAGCCCGCATCTTGTTCGTGTACCCGTCTTCAATTTCTTCCCTGGTGCTGGAGACATCAACGCAAGCTTCCTGCCCAAGCAGCAAGAGCTGGTGTCGTTCGCCAAGGACAAACCATCTCCCATGCCCAAGACACCAGAGAGCGATGGCGAGTCGGTTCTAGTTGTCGGTAAACCCGCCGAGTCGGTTCCAGAGGGAACAGCAAACGGGGATTTGAATGAGCTAGGGCAGCAACTCATATCCTTGGCGGCAACTGAAGACTTGGAGGTGCAAGCCAAGGAACAGGAGAAGCTCATCATCGCTCAGCAGACTGAGCGGCCCTTGTTGCAGCAACAGCTGATGCAAGACAGGGAGGACGACGAGGCCGACGACCTCGAGACTTCCTTTGAAGTGGAAAATGGCCATGTACAACACGCCGAGCACCACAAAGTCCGGCACAGCATTCTCAACGACAACGACAGGGGCCTCGACATTATTGAGAAGAACTTGCTTCTTGTGCATCGCATATTTTACGACGAGTACAGAAAGGCCAAGAAAGTCCCCGCAGGCGGTCGCGTGGCAGAGCTGAAAGGCGAAAAGAGCCCCAAGAAACGAGCCATGGACGACGTTATCCCTGATGTTGCCGAGATCATGCCGCGCATCAAGAGTGAGGTGCTTGACGGCGCCGTGGTTGTCTTTTCGGGCATTATCCCGCTTGGCGTGGATGTGTTGTCGTAAGTGACTTGAAGTGAGATAAACAAAGCATGGCTGACATGTGTGCAGATCAGATTTTGCACTGTGGATTTCGAGCTTCGGCGCCGAGGTTACTACCAACGTCAATCGGCGGACGACCCATGTCATTGCCAACCCTGATCGGAAGACAACCAAAGTCAAGCGGGCTGCTCGATATCCCCACATCAAGATTGTGAATCCTGAATGGATGTTCCAGTGCTGCACCAGGTGGGAGCATGTGGACGAGACGCCCTATCTGATTGAAATAGATGCTGCCGACCGTGGCGGGTCGCCAGTTCCCGACCTTGAAGACGAGAGCATCAATGGAACAGGCGATGAAGAAGCAGACGATGCGCAGCACTCACCGATAGTCGAGATGTCTGACGAGGCGTGGGCTGCGCTGGATGATGAGTTGGCCGAGTTCATGGACGAGACGGATACAGACGGCGCGAGCGAGTCGGACACGGAAAGTGTTCGCTCGGAGAGTAGCACAGTGTCGGACACAAAACAGGCCAAGAAGAAGCGAAAGCGCACCAGCTCAAGAGAGGTCAGCGAGGCCGAGGAGAGCGACAGTAGTGTCAACAGTACTTCTCAGCTGCAGCGGCGGAAGAAACGGACCATGGAGCGAGTGACGTCGCTGACCAACGTGGTTAGTGCAGACAAGTCGTCCGGGCTGCCCAGCCCCGAAACAACGGGGCCAGAAGAGGAGCAAGGCGAGGACGAGGACAAGGCGGTTGAAGCCAACGGGGTTGCGCCGGACCTGGAGGAGGAGTACGACGACGCGCTCGAGGCGGAGCTACTGGCGGGCTTTGGGGATAGTGGGAGTGATGGCGAAGAGGGATGAAAGGCGTATGGGGTGGAGAGCAAGCAAAAGCAAAGGGGGCCGTCTGCAAGCGTTGTATTATCTGTGGTCTCACCTGCATAGCGAGGTGTCTGGCATCTGGCGTTGAACATACTGGGCATTTTTGGAGATACCTTACAATTGGACGCATGGTTTGGACATGTCTGTGGCCCTTTGTTTGACGTGGTCGTGTGGAGTGGCAGTCCAGCGCAAGCCTGCTCGACGTGCACGGGACGGGCCAGGCTACGTCATGGCCCCCCAATGGCAGCTAGACAGCACTGGCGCTGGCGCTGGCACTGGCACCCTTTTACCCCAGCATGTCGGTTATCTTAGCGCCCTGATTCCGCGTGGACCCTTGCTCGCTGTGTGCGTGTGCGGAGCCACCAGTGGGTGGGTCTTGTGCTGGTGAGGCTGAGGGCAAGTTGCTTTTGCGAGCACGCCGTTGACCACGCTCCCCCCCCCCACCCCTCCACTCTCCCTCTTACACTGCTTTTCTCCACCCTCGCCAATCAGCAGCGCGACATACACAACAGCAGGCAGCAGCGTTTAGCACGACGCCCGTCCTTCCATCGCCCGCTTCAGCCTTCCCATCCGCAGGCCCTCTGTCGTACATACACACACACACACACACACACACACACACACATACGCATTTTTCTCCAGCAAGCCAGGGGCTCTTGTCGCACAGCACGCAAAATGGCGCCTAGGCTGGCTTTCATGGATTTGTCGGTCGACTTGAAGACGCTCGTCGTTCTGCACGTAAGTCGCAGGGGGACTGCCATAAGCATGGGTGGAGGGGGGGATCAGGTCAAGACGGGAAGGCTGACGTCTCAGATCAACCGCCCAACCGACCTCAAGAACGTGTGCCTCACCTGCAAACAGCTGCACGAAATTGCCGCCCGCCAACTCTATTACGAAGTGACGCTCGATGTGGGCTCGCCCAACGACACACGGCTCGGAGCCTTCCTTAACCCGCGGAATATCGGCCTACAACATGTGCGGAAGCTGGACCTCTATCTTGCAGACGTGCTCGACAAATGCAACCAACAACAGCAAGCCAACTTTGCCATCCGCATGATCTTGGAATTGCTGCCAGAAAACCAGCTGGAAAAGTTCTCGTGGCATCCCTGGTCGCCCTTTTCTGCAGACAACCTGGTGTTGCTGTATCGAAAACAAAAGCGCATGCGGTGGCTCGAGGGCATCTCGCTCGACCGCAATGTCTTGGAGGAGCTGCAGAAGCTGCCCAACGTCGACAAGTGCTTTGAGAATGTGCGCAAGATTGGGCTGTATCCCGACTCGCGCGAGGTGTTGGAGTTTTGCCACTTTCTGCTCAAGAACACGACGGACCGCAAGCTGGAAAAGATCACATTGCATGCCAGCTTCGACGAGCTGGACCCGTCGCTAACCATGCGCGAGCTGAACGACCGAGTCAACGAGCCTGGGCTTATTACCTCGACCATGTTCCGACATATGCAGCCTTTTGCAAAGTGCACGCCTATTGCGCTCAAGGAGATTACGCTACAGAAGCTGCATCTGCGGTATGCGTCGGAGACATATTGCAGGCTGATTGACTTTCAGTCGATCAAGAGCATCCGTGTGTTTGGCTGCTCGGGCGCCGACGCGCTGTTTGCTGAACTGAGCAAGAGTACCAAGCTTCCGGACAAACTCGAGACGTTGGAGTTCAAGCACGACGACAACACGGAGAACGACGGGCTAGCAGCCATTGACGGATTTCTGTGTCTAGTTTCTGGCATCAAAACACTGACACTGGACCTTACCTACGTCAAGACATTACCGGCGGCTGCTGGTATTGTGCGGCATGGCAAGACGTTGAAGAGCCTCAATGTGCATGCGAGCACAGGGCCCGAGAGCTGCGACGAGGAGCTTGTGTACGACTATACGTCGTTTTCGCAGATGTGCAAGGACTGTAGCATGCTGGAGCAGATTTCGGTTGCTTTCCCTGCGGTGAGCGTGGTTCGAAGCAAGAACGACAGCTTTGTCAACTTTGAAAACTGCCTGGGTGATCTTCGCGATCTGGCGACGCTCAACATTACTACATGGCCGACCAATAGCCCGTCATCGACTAAGCTGCCGCGCAAGATCTACGAGCACCTCCTGGCCGGGCTGGCTCAACAAGGGTTCGAGCGCAGTTCTGGCCATGCCAAGGAGCAGAAGCGCTCATCGAAACTAGCCATCATCGCCTTTGGGTCGTCGGACAAGGTGTACGACCGCGAGGATAGCCAGAACCAGATCAGTAGGTAACCCGCGCCACTTGGATGCATGGGAGACGGTTGCTAACACATGGCTTTTTTTTGTTGTATCTAGTCTTTGTCAAGGGCCGGCAAATGGACCCACTGGGCAAGGAAACGTCGACGGCAGTGCAGATTGGGTGGTGTCTGCGCAAGTTTGTGGATGCTGGCGACAAGTCGGATGTGCTGGACTTTTCGCTGACGCGGAGCACACGGCCGCCGACGCGCAACTCACCTGACAGCGACGACAGCGATTGACAGACACAGATGGACGGCGTTTCGGAATGGGGCCAGGCGGGCGTGGCTCCGTGGTAATGTTAACAGTGGCCGAGGCGTGGTGGTGGTGGTGGGCACAAAAGGCGCACGGGAGACGACGAGGCAGCACGGGGTGAGGGCTCAGCGGGGACATGTTTGTATGCGAAAGATTTAGCAAGCGAGCATTGACAAGGCGTCGCAAGGCGGGCCGCTGGCGCAACAGGTGATGGGCGACGCATGGACAGCGTATCGCCGTGGTATGAATGAATGACGTGGTGTTGCTGTACTTGCACGAGTGCGAGCAGAGTACTTGGCGGAAACGAGGCGAACAGGCGTTCGCCATGTCGGAGGATTTAGGAGGGATCGACGTCGCTTGGGACGAGGCGCGGGGAGGCAGCGCATTGCATGCACGCACACGCGCTGCACCTGCACACGGGGCAGGCGAGAGAGGTAGACGAGGCCATGCCGCCGGAAGGGGGCGGGACTTGAAACGGGCGCATGGCCTCGCATGTGCTTGTGCCTCTGCCTGTGCCTGTGCCTGTGCCTGTGCCTGTGCCTGTGCCGCATCCCCCAGCCAGCGTGCCAGCCAGCAGCGGCTTCGGCTGTTTCCGTGCGCGGTCGGACCGCGACGTCAAGCCTAGTTGCAGTTGCGAGCGAGGTTGCAGGCAAGGGCCCTTTGGCGTGTTTCCCAGCATCGTCGTCATCATCATCATCATCATCATCATCACCGCCGCCGTCCTCTCCGTCTCCGTCTCCGTCTCCTTCCTCTGGGCGTGTCTGGCTGTGCAATGCAACCCGCCCAAGCGCTGCCGCCTGCTGGACTCTGCGCCCACGCCCACGCCCACGCCCGCCCCATCTGGCCCACAAGCTAATGCGACGTCACATCATCTCCTTCCCGCGCGGCGGTAGATATTCGGTATCGGCATCATGAAATCGCCAAATGCGTCGCAGTATCTGCCGCCCCAGGACCCGCACTACACGTATTCCTCGAGCGCCCAGGTCCTCGATGCCCAGCCTGCCCGCGTGCCCTATCCCCCAGACGCCGCCTTCCCCAAGCTCGAGAACATCAACGAGGTGCTCCAGGCCCAGCAGGCCCAGCAGGCCCTCCACGCAAACCACGCCCTGCACCCCCCGCCGCTGGCCCAGCAACAGCAACAACAACAAGCGCAGCAGCAGCAGCAGCAGCAGACACCCCCGCCCCCCAAGCCCAACAGACTGCGCAAGGCCTGTGATTCTTGCAGCATCCGCAAGGTAAAGGTACGCGACACAGTGTACCTCGGCCCCGGCCGCCCCCGCGCATGCCATTGCTGACCCGCCCCTTCTGCGCTGCAGTGCGATGAATCAGGCCCGCCCTGTAGAGCCTGTGTCGCTCTCGAGATCCCATGCACCTTTGAGCGCCCCAGCCGCCGCCGTGGGCCACCAAATCGCCATGCCGAAGCCATCAAGAAGCGCCGCATGGGCGCCATCGACTCGGACAGCCCAGCGCCCCAGTCGCCCACCAATGCCGCCCACGTCCTGACGCAGCTCCAGTCGTCGTCGCAACCCGCCCACCTCTCTGCCGAGGAGATATGCGCCCTGCCCACGCTCAACGCCCTCATCGACGACTTCTTCGCCTACATACACCCGCTGTGCCCTTTCCCCCACGAGCCCTCGTTTCGCCAAGCATGGGCCCGCAGAGAGGACCTGTCGAATCCCTCCTTCCTGGCCTTGCTGGCCTCCATGATCGCAGTCTTGGTCGCCTCGTTCCCCCGCAAGCCGCGTCTGCATCTCAACTCACAGACGCGCCGCGAATACCCAAACCATCTGGCCCTCGTCGACAAGTGTCGGGACGTTTGCGCACGCGCGCGCGGCCCTGGCTATCTCGATCGCCCTACGCTGAATGTCTATGATGCGTGCACAAGCTACTTCCTGGGCCTGGCCGGAGCCTATGTGTTCCAGTGGCGACCGCTGCGGCTCTACATGGCCGAGTGCCTGACAATCATACGCTCCCTGGGTCTCCACAAACCCGATTCCCAGGGTTATACCTATCTCGGCGGCGTGCCCAATGCCTGGGGCTCCACCGGCCCCAACTATGATGGCTCGCGCGAGGCCAAAGTGGACTACATCACCGAGGAAATTGGGCGACGTGTTTTCTGGACTGTCTTTGTTGGTGTACGGTAGGTTGCAGCACGTCTTCACGACCGACAATGGCTGATGTCCATTAGCACTATACAGCAGTTGGGCGCTTCTTTTGGAGAGCTTGTGATTGCTCCGGCCACGCCCAGCGAACCCCTCCCTCCCTTGCCGCGGGAAGTGGATGACGTGCATATTTTCCCTCATGAAATCCAGCCACAGCAAGAAGGCGTTCTCTCCATGCTCACTGGCTTCAATGTCAATGTGCGCATCTACCTGTCATACTCTTCACTCGCAACAGCCGAGATGGCTTTCGGCATCGACGAGATATTCGATTGGGAACGGCAGCAGCGCGTCTTTCAGCAAAGTCTGCAGCGTTGCAGACAGATTCTGGAAAATATGCCGCAACAACTCAAAGTTCAGCCAAAGACTGGCAAAGACAGCGGCATCGAACAACAAAAATCCTACTACCCGCCCATGCCCGAGTACTCGGGCATGCGAGATCCCACCATGGATAATTACAGCAAACCCGAGACCCAAGACGCACGCCGTTATGAGATACAAAAAGCAAACATCTATGCTAGTCATCTCGCCACTCGCTCACATCTGGTCGAGAAGTATTTTCTGCAACTAGAAAAGTATCAACGAAGCCAAGGTCAAGCGCATCTGCGGAGCTCCTCTAATCCCATTGTGGCCGGGATCGACAAGTTCGTATCTGATACGACTACTGATGCTGAAGCCCTCGAAAAGACCATGTCCGAAGAGCGCGAGCAAGTAGTCAAAGATCTCTTGGTGGTGCTGGGCAGCATCGACATGGTCAACATGGAGCCCAATGGAGATTCATTCGTAAGTCTACACATTCACTTACAAGATTCTGATCTTCTTTATCAAGTTGGCGACCTGGCCGTATCCTGTCCGACCGTGGATTTCTTTCGCCCCAACATCATCAGTCCAATCGCAAGCTTACGGTTCGTTCCAACACAGACACAAAAAATCCGGTCAATCGCTAGTACCCTGCTTGAAGTGCCCAAGGAAAGAAAGGGCAGCGTGGCGCAGCAACATCAGGATTACTTGTACAAATTCTTGGACATCTTAAGCAAGCTGGAGAGGGTAAGCCCCGAAGTGAGCAATCCGAATGGTGGCGGGCTCGATGAGGAAAGCGAGCTTCGGCTGTGGGCGGATTTGAGAGACCATCAATTAAGGTTCCAAGAGCATGGAGGTGTTTATGGGTTTTAGCAAGGCGGAAGCCAAGTCGACATGAGTTTGAGGGCAAAGAGTAGCCCCGTGCCAGCATAAAGCCTGCATAAAAGCCTGCCATTTCCAGTGCTCTAGCAGCCACATCATACGTACTAATCGCAGTCAACTTCTAGACGAGGGACCTGGTACTGATGTCGCCCATGTATTTCGCAAATTAGTTTTCATCATAGATAGATTTAGCATGCAATCCAAGGTTACATTCTACACCGGCCAGCATGTTGAACGAAATCAATTTTACTCTCAGTTTCGCTCAGGCACACCTGAAAGTCTGCATTCCAGCTCCACCATTTGGGTTAAGACACTTCAGGTGATGTCGCGAGAGAACGTGTTCCGTCTGTGGAAGATTTCATCCCATGCTCTCGCAGCAGACCATCTGATGTCTCAAGGCGCATGCACTGTGTCCACGCATCATCGTCCAACTCTTATCCCACTTATGGCACAACGACGACACCCAAGCTTCCAGCCTGCCCCACAACGCTCCTCGCAATTCCTTCCAGGCTCAACCCACTCAATCGTGTCTCACTTTGTTTAATCTTTGCGATTTCGTACACATGCTTCAAGCTGACGGTTCCAACGGTGCCTTTGACCGCATTGCCCACCGTCGGACTACTCGTTGACGTCTTCCCCTTTTGTCCTTCGTGGTTGTTCATGGGCCCAGGCACGTTTCCTGCGCCCCGTATCTTGTTCTTGGTCGGTAGTACACCAGCTGCGCTTAGGAGCAGGGTTGCGGTCGGTGGTGTGCGAATTTGAAAGTGAAACGAGCGGTCGGGGCGCACTGTTATGCGCGCAGGTATAGGGGTACCTGCGGTATAGTGTGCTGTTCTGGCATTGAACTCCTAGCGCGCATGGTCAGCCGTATGATTCAATGCCAATTGGTGGCGGTAGTCAAGTCGCCATACAAACCTACTTTGCAGAAATCCATGCTCTTCACACCTTTACTACCCAATGCCGGACCAACGGGCGGCGAGGGCGACGCCTGCCCTGCGCCTACAATCAGTTTGACGATTTGGTCTTTTGCTATCGCTTTTCGGGCCATGATGTGTGGTTATGCGATGTGGTGATGAGGTGGGCTGTGGGAATTTGCGGAGAGGCTCGGAGGTGTCGGTCACAAGATTTTCTGCACCAGGTTCAATTCAGCTTTTTGCGCAATCTAGTTGTTGCAACTCTTTTCCTGCAGCAAGCAACGTGACTTGATGACAAAAAAGACATGTGAGCAAACTAATGACTTTGGATAACATGGCGTGGCTGCCTGATGGAGCACGTGACACCGCGAACGAGCTAACTCTAGACGCGTTGCGAGTCCGCCACCGCGAGCACTGATCAACGCTCCCGCACTATCTTCCCGACTCTTACCATACCAACCAGAAACACGCCCTCACGTCCCGCTGAGCTCTGTGAGCGTATCGATATCTCATGCATCGGCCCAAACCGCTCGCAGCCAGCGAGGCTACACCATTGAAGCCTGTGGCGCGTCTCTATGGTGGCACTCCGCAGTCAACTGAACGTCTCATCAAGCCCTTTCGTTGTCCCGGCTCCGCCACCGTGTCGCGAGTGTCAGAGAAGCCTGCGAGAAAGAGGAGGAAGGTGGATTACTCTGGTGCCGGCGGCGAGGATGGCGAGAGCGACAAGCCGTATTCGAACGAGGATCGGTTGGCCCTTGCCACACGGGACGCAAACCGATTCCCAGTGTTCAAACCCAAAGACAAGGAGACTGCTTTCAAGACAAAGTTCACCGTGCCTCTAGTCAACAAGGACACTGGGACATACAATCCACATCGACCAGCTCCGCTGCTGGGCATGCGAATAGGAACTGTCTTTGTAGCGCGACCGCTGCACGATCCCAGCGGTGAATTTGCGATAGTATTGTACGATCCTACTATCGACGATAAGCCGGAGCCGAAGCAAGAACCCGAGCCCAAGGAAAGCCAGCCCGACAAGAAAGAATTGGATGCCCCGTTAGTCCACAAGAGCTTGGCCGAGATATTAGGTTTGAAGAAGAAGGTCGATAACGAGCGTCCGCGCGTACCAGTAGTCATAGATCCTAGGCTCGCCAAGGTCTTGCGACCGCATCAAGTTGAAGGTGTCAAGTTCTTGTACCGAGCCACCACTGGCATGATTGACCCCAAGGCGAACGGTTGTATCATGGCTGACGAGATGGGCCTCGGAAAGACGTTGCAGTGCATCACACTCATGTGGACACTGCTGAAGCAATCACCAGAAGCTGGTAAATCAACGATACAGAAATGTGTCATAGCATGTCCGTCAAGTTTAGTAAGAAACTGGGCGAACGAGCTTGTCAAATGGTTGGGAAAGGACGCTATTACACCTTTTGCAATCGATGGCAAGGCGTCGAAAGAGGAACTCATCCAACAAATACGCCAATGGTCCATCGCATCCGGGCGTGCAGTCGTTCGACCGGTATTGATTGTGTCATATGAAACACTTCGCCTTTACGTTGAAGAGTTTGGACAGACATCCATCGGATTGATGCTTTGCGACGAAGGGCATCGACTGAAGAATGGGGACAGCTTGACTTTCACAGCTTTGAACAGCCTAAATGTACAGAGACGGGTCATCCTCTCCGGTACGCCCATTCAGAACGACCTCTCCGAGTATTTTGCCTTACTCAACTTTGCAAATCCGGGTTATCTGGGCACACGCATGGAGTTCCGCAAGCAGTTTGAAATACCCATTCTCAAGGGCCGCGATGCCAACGGAACAGATGCCGACATCCAAAAGGGTAACGAGCGTCTTACTGAGCTACTGGGTCTGGTCAACAAGTTCATCATCAGGCGAACCAACGACATTCTCTCCAAGTATCTACCGGTCAAGTACGAGCACGTTGTTTTCTGCAACCTCGCGCCGTTCCAGAAGGATCTGTACAACCATTTCATCAAGTCGCCCGATGTACAAAGCCTGCTCCGAGGCAAAGGCTCACAACCGCTCAAGGTTATCGGCATGCTCAAGAAGCTGTGCAATCACCCCGACCTACTCAACCTGCCGGAAGACTTGCCGGGATGTGAGGACAAGCTGCCTGAAGATTTTGTACAGAAGGATGCCAGAGGCCGAGATCGTGAGGTCAAGGTATGGTACTCCGGAAAGATGGCCGTTCTGGATCGTATGTTGGCCCGCATTCGCGCCGAAACAAACGACAAGATCGTCCTGATCTCCAACTACACTCAAACGCTCGATATCTTCGCCGCGCTCTGTCGCTCACGTGGATATGGTTGCTTCCGCTTGGATGGCACAATGAATGTCAGCAAGCGGCAGAAACTGGTTGATAAGTTCAACGATCCGGAGAGCCCAGAGTTTGTTTTCCTCCTTTCCTCCAAGGCTGGTGGATGTGGTCTTAACCTCATCGGCGCCAACCGTCTGGTTCTCTTTGATCCCGACTGGAACCCAGCTGCTGACCAGCAAGCTCTCGCTCGTGTGTGGCGTGATGGCCAGAAGAAGGACTGCTTCGTGTACCGCTTCATCACTACGGGAACGATTGAAGAGAAAGTCTTCCAACGCCAATCTCACAAGCAATCACTCTCTTCTTGTGTTGTAGACTCTGCGGAGGATGTGGAGCGGCATTTCAGTCTCGACTCGCTTCGCGAACTCTTCCAATATCGCAATAACACCACTAGCGATACACACGATACATTCAAATGCAAGAGGTGTCGGAAAGAAGATGGCAGGCAAGTCATCAAGGCTCCTGCAATGTTGTATGGCGATACGAGTACTTGGAATCATTATGTCAACGATGGAGAGAATGGCCCACTGGGCAAGATCCAGGATTTGTTGCTTAGACAGGAGACGGCCAACGATTTGAAGGACGTCAGTGCTGTGTTCCAGTACATCAGTCATTGAGCACCCAGGGTGGGCGGCGTTGCTTGTTATTGCAGAAGACTTGCTACAGGTTACTTACAGGTTAGTTGCATATGCTCTTGTGTTTGTGGTGTTCATGAAGCGCGGCATCGCGAATGGAGTTCTCGACGAGCGCGATATGATAATGAAACCGATATTTCTATGCATTAAGGAGGCGAATACGGTGAAACTGTCATACCAAAACGTTCGCCCTTTTCATGAGGGTTCTAGTGACGTTATTTGATGCCTCGGCCAGGCCAGTTGCGCGGCTCGCCCGCCACCTGGTCCGAGCACCAACTTTTTGTAGAGAGCTCCGCTGCCCACCACTTAACCTCGACACAAACATCGCATTCACGCAACACAACAGACCTGGCGCCCCACGTAAATAGAAACGAGGGACTAGCGCAAAAACATTAATATAATAAAAGCCCTCATATTGACATACATCGACGGCCCAACATGGATCCAAAGCGCCGCAAGACCGGCGACCAAGACATCAGCGCGCTCCGACTCGCGTCGCGACAAAAGTACCTCGCCGAACGAGAAGCACAACAGCTCGCCCTGCTTCGCCGCCAAGTCGCAGAGGAAGCAGAGGAAGAAGAAAGATTGGGAGACAGGCTATCAGAAAGGGAGCGCAAAGAGTTTGCAAAGAACAGGGAGACGTTAAGGCTAGCTGAGGCGAGGAATGCTATTGACGAGCATCGCGATGGATTCATGATACCAGATGCGGATTTCTCGAACAAGGCCGAGGTTCTCAACCGTCGTGATGAAGCAAGTCACTACAAGTCGGAATATCAGCTGTGGGAAGAAGACCAGATGAACAAGATTAAAAGTCAGACCAAAAAGGCCGAACGCGTGCAAGAGGAGGACTATGAATTCGTTTTTGATACCGCAAACCAGATTCAGTTTCAACAGGACCTGTCGAGTCGCATCGATCCTACCAAGCAGGCTCTTCAGGCCCAACTCGATTCAGCTGAAAAGCGCGCCAGAACTATCGATGAAGTCCGCAAAAGCCTCCCCGTTTACAAGTACAAAGACGAACTACTGGACGCTGTATCCAAGTACCAAACCCTCGTTGTAGTTGGAGACACTGGTTCCGGAAAATCTACGCAATTACCCCAGTTTCTTGCTACTGACTACACCAAGGATGGAGCGATTGCAGTCACCCAGCCTCGACGAGTAGCTGCTATGAGCGTTGCTAAGCGTGTCGCTGAAGAGTATGGTTGCAAGGTAGGGCATGAAGTTGGCTACAGCGTCCGTTTTGACGACAAGACGAGCGATAAGACTGTCATCAAGTTCGCTACGGATGGTGTACTTCTGCGAGAAGCCATGACAGACCCCTTGCTGTCCAAGTACTCCGTTGTGATGATTGACGAGGCACACGAGAGATCGATCGCTTCGGATCTTCTGCTCTGTTTGTGTCGTGAAGTCTGTCGTGCCAGGCCCGAGTTCAAGCTGCTCGTCCTTTCTGCGACGATTAACGCCTCCAAGTTTTCGAAGTATTTCGATGATGCACCTACCTTCTATGTTGAAGGCAGAACCTACCCCATTAACATTCTCTATACGAGTGCTCCAGAGGCCAACTATCTCAGCGCTGGTATAACGTCGGCTCTCCAAATACACCTGGCTGCAGAGCTCCCAGGAGACATTCTCATGTTCCTGACTGGAGAAGAAGAGATCCAGGCTGCCGTGGAAAACATAGAAGCAACCATGAAGAAGCTAGGAGGCAGAGCCAAAGAGCTCATCGTCTGTCCTCTGTATAGTGCACTTCCGCCAGACGCACAAGCCAAGGTCTTTGAGCCCACGCCACCTAATGCCAGAAAACTGGTTGTTTCTACCGACATTGCTGAGACGTCCCTAACCATAGATGGCATTCGACACGTCATAGACTCGGGCTATAGCAAGCAGAGCAATTACATATCGACAAACGGTGTCAGCTCGTTGGTTGTCAGCCCCATTTCTCGTGCTAGCGCCAACCAGCGTGCAGGACGTGCTGGTCGTACGAGCGAAGGTTATTGCTACCGCCTGTACACCAAACACGCCTTCTACAATGAGCTCAGTGAGACCACTGAGCCTGAACTGTTGCGAGCAAATCTCGACGGTGTCGTCTTGACACTAAAGGCTTTGGGTATTGACAATCTCCTTGAGTTCGAGTTCCTCGATGCTCCATCGAGCACATCTCTTATCAAATCTCTCGAGAATCTTTACGCCCTAGGGGCCCTGGACTCTACTGGAAAATTGACCAGACTCGGTAGGAGAATGGCAGAATTGCCACTCGACATCAAGCTCTCCAAAGCTATCCTTGCATCGGAGAAGTACGGCTGTCGCGAGGAGATACTCTCTATCGTCAGTCTATTAGGCGAGTCAGCCTCGCTCTTCCTCCGACCAAAAGACAAGAAGGTAGCGGCGGATGCTGCCCGTGCTCGTTTCAGCAGCAAGGAGGGTGGCGACTTTTTGACGTACCTAAACATATGGGACCAGTTTGAGGACAGCGGATACGAGAGTCGGTGGGCGACTGAGAATTTTCTTCAGTGGAGATGTCTCAATCGTGCCCGTGATGTCCGCGATCAGTTGACGAAGCTCTGTGACCGTGTCGAGGTACCGTCCTCGAGCTGTGGCAGTTCGAACCACGTTGCGATCCGCAAGTGTATCACCTCGGCCTATTTTATCAATGCTGCCCGGTTGGCACGCGACGGCCTAAGTTATCGAGCGGTTTCGAACAGCGGCATGACCATCTTCATCCATCCCTCGTCAAGTTTGATTGAGAATCGCCCAAAGTGGATTGTGTATTTTGAGATTGTAGAGTCCTCCAAGACTTACGCACGATCCGTCTTGCCTATCAATCCTGAGTGGCTGGTCGAGGTAGCACCTCACATGCATACGGAGAGTTCAATTGGCAAGCTTGGCGACGACAAGAAGATGCCAAAAGGGAGGAGCCTAAAATGAGTCGAGTCACTGCACAAGATGCAATATCTATGACACAGCCGAATCGAGATGTTCTATGGCGAGCGATCTCTCTTGTGTTTTGCCGGCACCAAGATTGGGCGTTATGGTGATGGGAAGGATGCATGATTTTGATATGATACCCTGTAAGACGCAAATTCGTCTACATTCAGCATCCAGTTCTTTGGGTATAGACTAGCAATTGAAATGAAGAAAAGCAGTTACAACCCTATTGCATTGAATACAGAAGCTTGGACGCTTTTTTTTCTTTCGCATTAAGCAAAGAGCTGCTGTACCAATGACTATATCTATTCAGTAGGAAGGTATTGAGGTTTATCTCCTCATTGTGAAGTGCTTTTTGACGAGGCTTTCGTTATGGACATCTGCGGTGTCCAGGGTCATGCATGATAAGCAAGAGAGACGTCAGGATGACTAGTATTCTTTTGGCCGTTGGGCGTACTGCACCACAACACACTTAGAAGTCACCTCAGAGTGACATGGCCGTTCCACGCTTAGCGCCCAAGACACGACATATAGTTACCCATAGATGTTGAAGCGCTCCTGGATGCCTTTGAAGTATTTAATATGACCACACATATCCTGAGGGTCGCAACAGCGATTCAAGTCTAGCAACATACCGTCAGCTAGAAATTTTTAATAATGCTACAAATGTGAAGCTGACATGCCTGACAATTTCCAAAATGATAAGACGGGCTAGATGAAGAGATATTCTAGTTTATATCCCGGGTATGGAGTTTCTGTGCCGATGTGATATCACAAACATCCTCCGCAGTATGTCGGATTATTTTCATAGTGGTATTCAAACAGTATTTACAGGGCTGAAGTGAGGCAGCCAGTGTACGAGCTGGCATCGAGTGCATAGCGTTCATTCTTTCGGCGGCTTGGGAGTCTCTGTTTGCTGTGACAGACGATTGTCGCCTTTGGGCGTGGAATCGGCGTGGAATTGTGCGGAGCGAGGAGTCGAGGTACCGTCGTCCCAGAACTCGACGTCGCCTTCTGCGCTCAAAGAGCCCTTCTTGACTAGATTTCCCTTCTCACGCATGAGATCTTCAATGGTGACGGATTTGTCTGAAAAGACCTGTTTGCGATCAGTATCTGCATGTGCATGGGAACACGCGACAGCGTACCTTGAGATGGTCGCTGATCAGATGTCTGTTTTTGCAGCCCGGACACTGGATCAAGACAGTGCCATGATGGTAGCCCTGTTTAGAGAGGCGATGCGACGAGCGTGTTTTGCAGACATTGCAAGTAAATGTGAGCTCGTAGGATGGGACTTGGTCGCGTTCTAGTCGTGAGTCCGGTGCGGTAGTTGAAGTAGGAGAGGCGGTGTTTGATTCGAAGCGGACGGCAGAGGGTATGCGCACCCGTGATAGTGTGGGCGAAGGGCGTATGGCAGCTAATGTTGGTCTTATTTGCAAGAAGCGCCTTGCTGGCACTGGTAGGTGGACTGCATGTGGACTTTGTGCGGCTCGAGGTGTAGCACTTCGGGTAAAGGCGCGCATGAGAGACGATGTAGAGCGCATGGCGGCTGCTCAAATGTGTATGTGGACCCAAGGAATAAAGAAAGAAAAGAAAAAATCGAGGCGGGCGTCGCGAATGGCGTGTGGAGTTGGGCGGACAAGGATTCAGCGGGCACAGAACAGTTGATCGACCGCCAAGCAATGACGAAGGCGGCAGCCATTCAGCGGAGGAGGCCCTTGCCCGCAGTAAGCGCGGTTTGAACTTCACTCTCATCCCTCTCACCTCGCCGCCGCTGTCTGTCCTTTGCCAGCTTGCCACACTGCTGCCTATGGGTGCTCCCGCGCACTCGTGAAGAAAGCAGTCCTTCTGCCCATCCCATAACCCCGCACCCAGCCTTGCGCCCACCGACATAGCTCCGCCCGCAGGCACAGCCAAGCCTGAGGTTCTGAGCTTCATATCATTGCATCAGGGGATAGGCGGATATGATCGCAGGACGTGGCAGGCAGCGGATAAGGCCTCCGCGGAGGGTATGTGTTGCGCATTCACCTTCACCCTTGTTCCGTTCCTTGCTGCTGTCTTTCAACCTCGCCATCGTACAGAGTACTCGGAAGCAACACTGACAACCACACGCTCACAGGGCCTACATGGCGATGAGATCGATTTCGAGAATACATGGGGCACCATCGAGGCAGCCTTTCGGGAAATCCACACAAAGAATGCTTCTAAGCTGTCGTATGAGGAGTTGTACCGCCACGCCTACCGTATCGTCCTGAAAAAGAAAGGCGAGAACCTGTACAATAAGGTTCATGAATTTGAGCGCAACTGGCTAAGCAGCGAGGTCCGCAATATCATCCAGCAATTGCTGTCGCCGAATCTTCTCGTAAACGCACAGAGTATGAGTGGAACTACAGCCAACGAGCGACGCGTCGCCGGCGAGAAGTTCCTCCAGGGACTACGGCAGGCATGGAGCGATCACCAGATTTGCACGAGTATGCTGGCAGATGTGCTCATGTATATGGTGAGTGAAACACCTCTCTCACCGATTGAATCAATCGACACAAACTGACGTGGATCATGCAGGACCGTGTTTACTGTGCCGACCATAGGCGACCCTCAATCTATAACGCTGCCATGGTGCTGTTTCGCGATGAAATTCTAAACTCACCAATTTCCGCCACCGATACTCGAACGATTCTTGGCCTGCTAAACCACATCATCCTCGATCAGATCCAAATGGAACGCGACGGCGATGTCATCGACAAGCAGCTCATCAAGTCGTGTGTATGGATGTTGGAGGGCTTGCATGAGGGTGAGATGGAATCCGAAGAGCAACGGCTATACAACACTTCATTCGAGAAGGAGTATTTGGAGACTAGCAGCGCCTTTTACCGTAGCGAATCGGAGCTGTTGCTACGCGACTCCCATGCCGGCGCATATTGTAAGCACGCGCGGCGCAGGATATACGAAGAAGACGAGCGTTGCAAGCAGACTCTGTTGGAGAGTACCGGGCCCAAGATCCAGAAGGTGGTGGAGGATGAGTTGATCAAGAACCGGATTCACGAGCTTGTGGAGATGGAGAGTGGTGTACGCTTCATGATTGACAATCACCGGCTCGAAGAACTAAACCTCATCTACGATCTGAACAAGCGTGTAGACGACAAGAAGATGGAGACTACCCGCGCCATCCAACAGCGTATCGTGGATATGGGCTCAGATATCAACAAGGACGCTATTGCCGCATCGCAAGCTCCTGCTGTTATACCTGTCACCGATCCTGCCGATAAGGCCAAGGGTCCTGCTCAGGAAAAGAGCTTGAACCAACAGACGGTTGCTGCAATCAAGTGGGTGGAGGATGTCCTTACCTTGAAAGACAGGTTCGACAAGATCTGGCGAGAATCATTCGGATCGGATCCATTGCTACAGCAGGCACAGACGCAGAGCTTCACCGAATTCATCAACTCATCGACTTTCCCGCGATCATCAGAGTACATTTCTCTCTTCATTGACGAGAACATGAAAAAGGGTATCAAAGGCAAGACCGAATCTGAGATTGACGCCGTTCTGGAAAAGGCCATTGTGCTACTGCGTTACGTCCAGGACAAAGACCTTTTCGAGCGCTACTACAAGAAGCACCTGTGCCGACGCTTGCTGATGAACAAATCTATCAGCAACGAAGTCGAGAAGCAGATGATTTCCAAGATGAAGATTGAGCTTGGCAACAACTTTACCCTAAAACTCGAGGCCATGTTCAAGGACATGACGATTTCCGAAGAGCTCACCGCTGGCTTCAAGAAACATGTCGAAGGACTGGGCGAACGGGACCCGAAGCGAATCGAGCTATCCATCAACGTACTAACCAGCATGACATGGCCTCTCGAGACCATGGTTGGCGCGGCCGACCAAAAAGACCAACGGCCACGATGCAATTACCCCGCTGTTGTAGACAAGCTCAAGCGCGGATTCGAAAAGTTTTACAACGAGAAACACACTGGCCGACAGCTTACATGGCTTCCCAACATGGGATCGGCAGACATCAAGGCTGTTTTCCCCAAAGTACCACAGAAAGACGGCACCTTCAAAGAGCGCCGTCATGACCTCAACGTGTCTACATATGGCATGGTCATCTTGCTCTTATTCAACGATCTCGCTCCTGGCGAACACATGACGTTTGAGGAAATCCAGGCGCAGACAGGCATACCGTCGAATGATTTGAGCAGAAATCTACAGTCGCTTGCTGTAGCACCCAAGACGCGCATTCTCATCAAGGAGCCCATGTCCAAGGACGTCAAGCCTACCGACCGCTTCTTCTTCAACGAAAGTTTCCAAGGCAAGTTTGTCAAGATCAAGGTTGGTGTCGTCAGTGGCGGTAATAAGGTTGAGAGCGATCGTGAGCGAGGAGAGACTGAAAAGAAGAACGACGATGCGCGCAAATACTGCATTGAAGCTGCCGTGGTGCGCATTATGAAGTAGGTACCTGTTGTGTAGTGCACTGTGGCGTATACTAACCAGATGCTAGGCAACGCAAAGAGCTCTCCCATCTACAACTCATGTCGGAAACGCTGAGCCAACTTGTCGGGCAGTTCACGCCCGAGGTTAATATGGTCAAGAAGCGCATTGAGGCACTCATTGAGCGCGACTACCTTGAGCGTATAGAGGGGGCCGACATTGATTCATATCGATATCTAGCGTAAGAGCCTTGGCTGAGTGCGTTTGCTCAGTCACGTTTTCAACTTTTCTTCATGGCGTTTTGGGTCAGCATCGACTGGGCCCCGGGATGGGCCACTACTGCGGAACGCATAGCATTGGCGTCTGCAGGATGAGAGTTATGGGTATTGCAAAGGGTTCATTTAGCTACCTTGTTCTACAATCTGAGGGGCACGAAGCCATGCTTGATGATTGGATTCTCAAGTGGTTGATACATGTGTGCGAGATTTGATTGATCATGTGCCCAACAGCATGACCAAGGATACGATGAAGAGAAAAATGATATTCGACGAAGTAGTGTTGGGCGAATGGAAGCATGCTTTGTTGGAGAGGTGACAAAGCGCAACCGGCAGCTTACTTGTATCTCCCAACGATTTTCCTCCGCTTCTCAAATGCATCTCCAGCAGCGGATCCAGAGCCCCTTGGGCCATCGCCCACAGGCCTCTTTCTGCTCTTCTCCAAACTTCCCAGGTTGCCGCCCTTCTTCTGCGTAAGCCGCTCAATACGGTCAATGCCCGCGCCCAAGCTCCTCCATTCCTCGCCTCCGAAGCCTCCATCGCGTTGCTGTCGTGCCTTCTTCTTGGCAGCCTCTTTCTTGCTGAGAGGGGCCAAGCGGGTAAAGTTTGCTTCTTCGTATTCACGCCGCTCATTTTCTTCACGGCGCTCACGCTCCGATTTGGTGTGGCGGCCGCCTTGTGTAATGGTGGAGCCGATGCTGGGCTCAGCAATCGGAGCCGTCGAAAGCTCGGTAGCAATGAATTCATCCAGGGTAGCCGATTTTCCGGGGCGGCGCTCTCGTCGTGCCTCACGCCCCTCGGGAGTCGGCATGGCCATGGGTGTGATCTTGGGCGGACGGTAGATGGCATCCTTTGCAGTTTCGCGCGCGCGCTCCTGGGCGGCTTCGGTCTTTTGGCGCGTGACCTGGGCACGCCGGGGACCGTAGGCCATTTCATCCTCGTCTTCTTCTGTCTGTGCAGAGCCTGCTGATTCGGCATCGCTCACATCTGAATCGGACCCTGTGTCTGCCTTGGCGTTCTTTGGTCTCGAAGCCAGCTTTGTCGGAGCCTGTGTGTGGCGGCGTGTGGCATCATCCGCCGTCCTTAGAATCTTGTCGATTTGGTACTTGAGACGGCTTTCGAGGGGGCGAACACCCTTTTCCAGGTAGACCCTCAGCTCGACTAGCTTCTGGACCACTTCATCGTGGGGGTGCAGATGCGCCTCCTTCTGGCCTTCTTTTTGCAATCTCAGCTTCATGAGAATGAGAAAGACGAGGTTTTGGAGGTAGCTGAGAAGCAGCTCATTCTTCACGTCCAGCAAGGAGATGCCTTCCTTTGGCGGCAAGATGCCATCGTTGGGAAGGGCTTCAGTGGCTGATTGGATGGACGTTGTGAGAGTCGCAAGGAGCGACTCGAGCGAGTTGTCGACGGCCATGGTGTTTGCTACGGACGTGGTTGTGCTGGTCGCGCGCCGATGTCGAAGTTGCAAAGAAATTTTAGTGGGTCCGGCTGCGCTAAGGCACGAGTTGGGTAGCGCGGAGTCTGTGCCCCCGCCCCTCATCTAGTCTAGTCTAGTCTCCAAGCCAAAAAAACCGTTGGAAAATCAGCAACGCTACTACCACACTTTAGGGTAGACTCTGCATGGCATTTGGTCTTTTGCTGCACTTGAAAATGTGCCATGCAACGCCGCGGTATCTCCGTTTTCACCCCCCAGACTCGTGATTGCAATATCCAAACTGTCAGTCGTTTCGGCTAGCCCAACAAGGCTAACATAGGCTGGTTTGCCCTTTTTTTTTTACCATGTAGCACTAGCACTGGGCTGGTCGGTGGAGTTTTCAAGAAGCTATAGTTCTTCGCATATTGACCTCGTGTTCTGAGGCATAGTCAATCACGAGGCGTGTATCTGGCATGCTGATAGGCAGCTATCAGCAGCCTAACACGATTACGGGTTTGCTGCTCACCATAACAGCCGAAATGACACACACGGAGATGATACTGAAGAGGTTGTTTGGCTCGGCCGATGTCTTGGATGACGATCCCTCGCAACCTAGATATTCAACAGGCGGCTGTACTTCGGCAGCATGAAGCCGTTGTCGCTTGGACCAGATCGAATCTTGCGAGGCGAGCGGATGCGCATCATCCGTAATGTGGAGGGGCCCCATTGTTACTAAGACCATCTGAGAACGGAGAAGAGGTGGACAATCTTACAATGAAATGCGCGTGTAGGGGCGAGTAGGTATCCGGAGAGGAGAATCTAGACTTTGCGAATCCATGCTGGTACACGCGGCATCTAGCCGCGACAGTCAAGGGCCGATGGGGAGGGTCTGATGTTGACTCTGCCATGGCCAGCGTGCCAATGGTTGGAGAGGTGTACCTGGATTTCCGATGCGACCCCGCCTTTTGGAAACCCCATCATCCATGACCACTCGTTCGGGTTCGCCATGACGTGTGGGCGGACAAGGCAGAAGTGCAACACCATGGATGCATCATAGAACACCTCTCCATGACTTTGCAATATTGTGCACCCAAGATGCAGTGCGGGGTGGCGCTGACGGCCGGCGTTCCCGGTTATCCGACCTGTGGCGTAATTTCAGCCTGGACATGGCAATCTCAACAAAAGGGCAGTAGAAAATGACGGGCAAGGCCGTGTATGTGGGCAGGTACATTATGAAACCTGTCAGCAGCCAGCGTATTACGTGTAATTGGAAAGAAAAAGAAAGGAAAGGGCAAGCATGGGTTTGGAAAGCCGTGGGTTTTGCAAGGCGGCATATTCCAAATGCCAGGGGTGTGGGCCACTGCTCCATTGTTTGGGCATTGTATGGAGGCTTTTAGATAAGTACGGTACGGATAAATGTTACCCCGGTTTAAAATGTCTGTGCGCAGCGTTGTTCTCGAGCGCACGGACAGAAAACAACAGCTTTACCCCCCCCTTCGCAGCCACAACAACGTCTATATAGCTATTTCAAGTTGAAAATAAGTTATAGGACGTTTCAAGGTTTCTTTTTATGTAGGTTTTAGGCTGTGCAGGCTGGTATGTGGTGAGTTCGTTTCGTTCTTTTATTAATCTAGATGATGCAAACGCACCAATACGCGTGCATGTAAGCCATGGTTGCCGACGACCCGGCCGGCGGTTTGCGGCCTGGTCGGCGACCGGATTGCTGGTGGCTGCAGTTCGTGGTGGGCAGCCGGCGTGTTGGTCACGGGGTTTTGCAAGAAAGGAAGAAAAAAAGAAGTGGTAGCTGATAGCTGTGAACCCATGCATGGGTCAAGGCTAGGCAGTATCGACGTTCGCCAAGACACGTGCATGGCGGGCAGCTAAGGCTCGGAGCCAATGGCAGGCGTGCTGATAGCCGGGCGCCAGAGCTGACGACAGCCCGTCATGGCCTATTACCACGCGCCCCCCCTCGTCCCCTACTCCCCTTCTCCCCACACACCCCTCCCTCCCCCCTGCTTCCCCTAATCCCTGCCCAATATCCATCATGCTCGAGTTCGCTTTCTCGAAGACGTCAGAGAAGTTTCGACCACCATTCCAGAAGGCCCGAAAAGTGGGCGTACGGATAAAGTCGTTTAAGCTCAGAATGCCTGTGGTGGGCAGGCCCAGGTGTACACCCCCCGGCACGATGCTGCATGATCTAAATTGCGCTTCTGCGGGGGACTCGCATTAGTCACTGCTTGTGTATGCGTGTGAAAGTATCGCGCCATGTGCGCGTGCACATACTTTACTGTCCATGTACTGCTATTGCCGCCTTGGGGGGTTATGCACGCCATCGGGTCTAGGTCGGTGTAGATACAAGCACGACCGTCACCATGATTGAGCAGACAATTCAATTGCCATGGCCTCTGGCCTTACTACATTGCGACAGTCTTGCGCTAGTACATCATGACAGAGCATCCTTCATGCCCACCCCACCAAGACACTGCATTGCCACGCCCATCTGACAGCGGCTCCAGCCACCCTTCCGTACCGAGCCTAGATTCATATGGGGTACATGTCGGTCCCCACAAAACCTCCCTCAGATTCATTGCACTGATCCACTCACCACCGCTCCGGCCTTACTTTGCCATGACCTCTACACCCAACTGGCCAGTCCTTCTCTTCCCGCTAGCATGCGGCTCTTCCAAAGCATGAATCAATCTCCTTGCTCCACTGCCACTGCCGTCTGCCGAGCAACGCCGTCTGCCGAGCAACTTTCCCTGTGCTTCTGCGGGGTTGCCTGGCATGCTGCTCATTGTGACGACTGCCAAACATGAAGCCCAGAAGACTACACCACTTGTAGTCAACTCGAGAGCCTGATACGCTACACGACGCGACATGAGCAGGCCTGTGCTTGGCCTCAGACTTGGGTTGATCCGACTGCCTTGCTTATGTCGCCTACAGATAGTCGACGTCACGTGTAGTGATTTGCCCGTGCATATATCCGCGGAGCGTACCGAAAGCGGAAGGCAAAGCTTGCAGCCGAGCCGACGGTAGGGACCACTCCCAGGTCTGTAGGAGCTGCCCTTTTCGGTAGTCGCAAAGACTTCGGCTGTCTTCTGCATAGTGATTGCGTGCCGTCATTGCTATCCTCTCAAACCTCGAATTTGAGTCCTGCTGTGCGTAGCCACATTTGTCGCTTCCCTTCGGCTTCACGGATAATCTCAGCAGAGAGACGGAGACTCGGTGCAAGATGAGCATATCTTTCCATCTCCAGAACAACATTGTTGATGATATCGTCCATGGTCGCCGGTGGCGGAAGAAGCTGTGACAGCGACGGTGTCATGGTCGCGCCCATAATGAGCAATGTCTGTGAGATGATACTAGGCCATCGTTAGCATGTGTATAAGTCAAGTTGGCTGCAAACTTACGAGAGAGCCCCTTGAAACAGATAGGGGAGATGTCCGGCGTGGTGCGCAGTGATGTATTCCAGCTGACGAACGCATGCTTCCAGGCACTTGTGGCAGTTGTCCTGCACGCTGGAATCCATTGCCAATGCTTCGTCTTGCAGGACGAGGAGCACGTACGGCCGGAAGATGATGGTGCGGCATGCAAAATAGCGTAGCCGTAACACGGTCTGCACCGGGTTCTGTAGTGGCACTCGGTCGAGTGGGAATTGCATGGCTGGTGGTAGTCCGGCATACCACTGGTTCAGCTGGTAATCTAGTTCCACGACCAGCGGGTCTAGTTGAGCAATCGACGTGGCAGCTGGGCCTTTGGAGTAGGGTGTCGTTCGGATGTAGAGCATGGAGCTTACGCGGTTGAGTAGTCGTCGGAGGGCGATCTCTGCAAGAAAATACCACAGCTCATCGCGACCAACGGCTTCTGTTCCCATATCCTCAAAGCCCGTCGGTAGCGAGAAGCCCTCTTCAAACTGTGCTATGCCAGAGTGAGGGAGATCCAGCTCTGCCAGGAGGTCACTCTCGATCATGACTGCATTCCAATACACTCGCTTGCCCAGCTCCTCTTCGGCCGGAGACACGCGTCCAGGCGCGCTCAACAGCAGCTGAAGCTTCATGCTGGCGCCCGACAGGACGTTCCAGGCTTCGACGGGGCGTACCAGGTACACCAAGTATGCTGCGGCCAGGATCTGACATTGCGCAGCAACCATGTTGTTCTTTGTCATGACGGTCGGGAGCAGGCTCCAGGCTGCAGCAAAGTAAGCCAAGCCTGGAGGATCCTTTTCGGGATTCTGCTGCGTGATGCTTCCCGTGCTTGCAGCATGGCCCAGGGCAAGGACTAGGAGGACTATGCAGCTCTCAGGGCCGTCGCGGAATCCGTGGCTAAGGGCAGTCTGGTAGTGGTTGCTCCACGTGTAGGGATTGACCACGGCATAGAAGACGTTTACTCTCTCAAAGTAAGCTTGCACATAGGTGCCGGTGTTGGAGAGATCCAGGCCACGGCTGGCCGTCAGGCTGACTGATTCTCTGGTCATCTCGAGCTGGAGCAGGATCTTGGCATCATACTGGCGGGAGACCAGCTCCCGAATCATGGGTGACGACAGCAGGTTTAGCGCGGCCGTGTTATGCGTCTTTGGCATGGTTGAGATGTTGGAGGGATGGTTGATCCAAGTTCCTATGCCGTTGATGGGCTGGACCATGCCGAGATGGGGGATATGGCCGGTGCTCCGGACGAGAAAATCTTCGCTGGTCGAGTTGCTCGCGGCTGGCGAGTGCGACGACAGCGAGAAGCTGCTCGTCAGGCCCGACTGCAGAAGGCCCTCGATGCGGTTCAGGTGCTCGAGGATCAGCTTGTCGCCCGCGTCGAGCTTGATGCCCGGCTCACGGTAGATGCATTCGGCGTTGAGCTCTGTGCACAGGCGGCACTTTGGCCTGGTTCCATCACATCGCGACTTGCGCGAGCGGCAGATTTCACACTGGTTCAAGTTAGTTTTCTGGGGCGAGGGAGATGGGTCAAAGAGTGTTTGGCGTACCGCAATGGTGGCGCGGCGGCGCGGATAGTCGATGGTGTCGGTGCTGGGCCGCTTCTTGTTGGCGGGCCGTGGTTCGGCATGTGTGCCGTTGGTACCGTTGCTCGTGGGCACGACACCGTTTGGCTGGGCAGGCGGGGTGTGGTCATTGGACATTTCCCGGTCGGTACCAGACGACTGCGACATGTTGCGGGTCCGCTTTTTGAGAGAACCGTTTAGAGCACTTGCGGTGAAGATGCCATTGGGGGAGTCGAGGAGATGGGGCGACCGGAGGGTGGATTTGAGGACAAAGCTATTGGCATCGGGCAGAGTGGAGAGACTGAGGGAGAAGGCGTCGCGGGGAAAGCCTCCATTGGTGGTTGCTGCTGACACGGGGCTGACCTCTGGGGAAGGAGTGATGGCCGTCATGATTGGTGGACGCTGAAGTAGGCGGACGAGGTTGTGGGTAGAGAGGCGCCTAGTGGTGGTGCTAGACGGGTGTGCTGCGCCGCGCCGCCACGATTGCGTGGGGGGAGGGAGGGAGAGTGTGTGAGCGAAAGAGAGGGAGAGAGAGCGAGAGGGATGGAGAGGAGCAAGGCAAGGCAAGGCTCAAGAGAGAGAAGAAGAAGGAGAAGGAGAAGGAGAAGGAGAAGGAGAGGTCGTGGATGCAGGGCGCAGCATCGAGTCGAGTCGAGTCTTGTGGTGGGCGGGCAGGGCCAGTGACGGTTATAACCACGCCCCCCCTCGCAATCCAATAATCTCGCGTGCCCTTAGCTCTATTGCCCTGCTACTCACGACGGCGAGGGCACAACGGCGCTCGCGAGATGAGCGGCGTAAATGCGGGGATGACATGGGTGGAGGGGGGGCGGCACGCAGGCACTCCGCAGTGCGGGCGAAGAGAGGAGGATGGGCATGAGTAGCACTCGCAGCAGCAGCAGCAGCAGCGGGCGCGGCTGACGATAGATTGGATTGCGTGCGGGAGGGCGGCGGCTGCTGACTGACGTGCTAGAGAGGGAAGCAGCAACACAGGCTAATGCTCGTCGCCAAACCGCCGCCGCCTAACACGGCGCACCACGGCGCCCTTGGCAAAGAGGGTCCACCTCCTCCTCCTCCACCACCACCACCACCACCACAACCATGCCCATGTCCACCGCACTGCAACCATGTCCGCCATGTCCATGTCTTCCATGCCAGCGATCAGCGAACACCGGCCGTGGACCTGCATAAACCGCGTCTCCTGATCATTCACTCACCTCACTCACCCTCACACGCCCCTACGCCGCCCCGAGGTCTACGCCGCCATGGCCCGCCCCATTCCCATATTGCTCGCCCAACCAACCAAGGCACGACCTGTCCGCTCGAACAACCGCCCCCCAGCCCTGATAGGCACGCCAGAGCTTCCATGCAGCAGCGCTTCATATCAGACGCCCGTCCACATGCACCCACCAGGGCTCTCCCGGCCGCTGTCTCTAGCACCGCTCCCTCAACTGGCCCGCCTGCTGCCATGCTCCGGCGCTACTCTCTGCATTCGACTGACTTGGGCAACGTCTAGCGTCGCCCCCCCGACATGCTTCACCCTCCCTCGACAAGTCCTCTCTTATCGCACGCCAGCCCGCTTCTGCGCATCCAGCGCTTCCACCCACCCCCACCCCCCCCCCCCCATCATGCGCCACATGGCGGGGCACACGTGCGGGTGCTCCAGCATCTGCCATGTACTGTACATGCCTCTCCGCTCCCTCCCCACCAACGCAGCAGCAGCAGCAGCGTCGGATGGCTCCCTTGCCCATGTACTCGCCTCCTGGGCATGCTCCATCGCTCTGGCACTGCCTGTGGGGACAAATAGCCGGTGGGTACCTGACTCTGCCCACGCTCCGTCGTCACGCTGCAATATACAGGCGACCGATAATGGTCCGGCCACCGTCACCAGGTGTAGGCCTCCAAAGCGCTGCCAGACAAAAGGTGCTAGCACCTGTCCGCTGTCTCTGACGGGGAGGACTTGCGAGGTGGAAACAGACATATTACTCCTCGTATCTCGTCATCGCAGTTCTCGAACATGGACCCCGGCAACAAAATGGATACTCAGCTGCGGAGACTCGCGGAAACAAGGCACTAGTATGTAACAGCTAATATGGCACTTGAAAAGCGGACCGCACCCAACAGCCGCGTGCAAACCCTGCGAGCTTGCTGCTGCCACCCATGGCACCACACAGATTCTGCCTCTTGGTGGGCTGCATAGCACAGCCCGCCAAATTTCGGGCTCCATGTGTGTACATAGATACATGTGTAGTCGTAGTTGCACCTTGATGACCTGCATGCGTGAATGAATCATGTAGACTGCACGGACCCCTTGTTCCATGGTAGACATCCCTTTCTCTACTGGCGCCGTGGCCGTGGCTAGACGACCCGACGTCGATCGCCATGACGAGCGAGTACCCTTTGCTGGCGTGCGCACTGCCCATCCATCTCGAAGCCCCATTGCCAAACTCTCACCTCCTCCTACTTGCACACCTTCTTCGTTCCCACGGGTCAAATTCTCCATGACGTCGCTGTTTGTGCTACTGACGCCCACGTCCACGGGCCATGCTGCACACCGGGGAAAGAACACTGCAGCCGCAGCCTGGCAAGACAAACCATAACAACCAAGCTCTTGCTGCAACCTGCCTACATTCCCACAGACAGCCCACTCGCACACCACAAAAGCGCTTGGATGCCCCCGGACGCTGCACATGAAGCCTGAAGCCATCGACGCTTTCACGACGGATACCATGAGGCCCGAAGCACTCGAAGCCGCCAAGGCACCAGTCGCTCAAGACAGCATGCAGCCGGCATCAACAGGCTCCTCGGGCACCGAGCAGGTAGGCCGTACATGACCCCCCTCTGAAGTATCGTGTCAGTCTGACTCGAATCAATAGGTCTTACCAGACACTGATGCCACTCCAGCCGATTCGTCCTCAGAAAGCACCGCACCCACGGCAACCGATTCCAAGGGTGAGACTGCCGGTGCTACCACCCTCGTCGCAGAAGTTCTCCAGGGCGCCAAGTCCGCAGTCGACGACGCGTTGACCTGGGCCGAGAAGAAGGTCGGCAGTCTAGGCTTAGAGCAAGGCAGTACCGGACCTTATGACTCGCCAGCCACATGCATGCCTTCGGACCTCGATGCCATTGCCAGTGGCATTCTGCCTGCTATGCCGAGCAAGAAGCACGACGAGCAAGACCCAAAGGCTAAGAAAGACGAGAACGAGGACGACAAGTGCAAGGAAGAGGGCACGACTGAGTAGCCGGGCGCGCACACGGTCAAGACGCGGAGCACGGCGGGTTGCAATAGCAACTGACGGAGATAGCCGGCGGTGATCACGATAAAGCGAGCGATAAATGCTGCCTCCGCATAACTAGTCTAATCAGCAATCGATACATGACTCTCAGCATGATATGTTTAGCTTCCCATGATAGGCCCGAATATGGGAGGCGCATTAGAGATTACTTTTGTACAAGAAACCAAAGTCGTCATGTCAAGCTCACGTAACGCATCAAGGAAAAGAAAAAAAGTGGGGGAACCATGAGCACCAAGTAATCCATACTGGGGTAACTAAGTAATCCACACTAACCTCGGCTTCGCAAAAACAAGACCATCAACCCATCACCACACATAGCCCCGTGTTCATCTCTGCTCACACAACTGCATCACGTCTTCTTGCCCCAGCTTGTAATTATTTGCCTTTACCGCCATTGCAGCAACAATGGCATCAGCCTCCTCGCAGTCGCATCCCATGCTGCTAGCTACTAGTGCCGCGTACGGCGTGCTAGCTCTCGGCCACACGGTAAGTAAGATGCTTGAACAGCGTGACTGAAGCCGACGAATTAATGCCCTGTCCTGCACAGATGAAAGGCCTCGAGCAGTTCAAACATCCCACCATGAATACCCTTCCCTTGACCCTTCGTGGCGCCTCCAAGATTGGCTGGTATGAAGGCAGTGGCTTCTTCCTCATCATGAGTAAGTCTTGTCGAGATTCTCTTTCTCTATTTACATATACTAATGCTTTTCCCTCTTCCTTTTTTTCTTTGGCTATAGGCATTCTCAACTACAAATGGGCTCAGACGGGCGTCTACGATATTTACGACAAGGCCATGGCCGGCATCTTGGCTGGCCTCCTGGCCGCTGCAGGCGTCGCCTATTGGAAAGCAAAGGACAAGCCTACCGCCTTGACCGTGGCCGCTGTGGCCATTATGCAGGGTCTGGGCGTCAGACATGGGTGGTACCATCGCTTTAACTAGACAATCGCGACATGGCCTCACATCCACGCACCGTCAAGTAGGCACATTAAATAGAATACACACACACTCACTCACACACACACACAAGTACATGCACTGTTGCATCTCAGTCAATATGAAAAAAGCAAGCATTATTACTCTGCATCCCATCCCACTCTGCTACCCAGATGCCTTGTCGTACCATGATACCCCACTGCCTTACCATTATAAATCACAAACCAGGCCCATGGGTATAAAACACCGTTCACATGTCGCTTCCCCCATTACTCTGCATGCATACCGCTCAAACAAAAAGATGTCCTTTCCCTCTGAACATCTCGCCATCAGCGCAGTCATGCCATTACCCCTCCCATAAACTTCCATAAATATACACGTACACAATCTGCACATGATCTTGGGCAAGTCTTGTCTACTGTTCGCCCTTCTTGACCTTCTGCACGTTGACAGGCACGGCTCGTTTGTCGCTGCCCAGCAGGCGCTCTAGTCGGGCAATGTAGTATTCCTCAAACGTCTTGCTAGCGTCCATCTTGACCTCGTCGTCGGCAAGCTGCTCAAGGCGCAAGCAGGCGCGGTCCACAGCGTCTTCGAGCTCTTCGGCCCAGTTGCTCTTCTCAGTGACTCCGTCGCTCTTCAAGCTATTGCGATCACTGCTGCCATCGATAGCCGTCTTGAGAGACGTTGTGCCCGTCTCCATAAGCGTAGAGGGAAGACAAGAAGCGACCGAGTTCGTGGGTAGATCGTCCGAGGTGAAGGTTAGGTACTCTACGATGCGTGGGTTGACCGCGGGGGAGCCTAGAGCGATGGGCACTGAGCCCTCCGTCACACTGATCGGAGCTAGAGACCTACGGCCATGTCCACAGCACTGCTTGTCTCTACCGTTGTCGCTCAATACCTCGGAAATGCTCGCAGCCTCTGCTTCTTCATCCTCAGCGACCGAAGGCTCCGGGGAGTAGCTGGTAGATGCCGTGTCTCCCTCACGGTGACGCGGTTTGCGGTTGTCCAGCTTCAACTGGGCGAGTCTATCGCCAACAACGCTGAAGCCGCGGCCGCGAGGCATGGACTGACGAAAAATGACAGAGGGCTCCGGGGACCCAACGACGGGTGTGTTGATAGGAGGAGACGGATAGCCGGCCTCCATGGCAGCTTCGTTGAGTGACTCTTGGATAGGACCGAGAATCTTCGCGACAGCAGCGTAGTCCATCTCCGGAGGAGGGTCGATAGGATCACTGCCGAATGGGCTACCGATAGGCTCCGTGGCCGGAGTCGGGTTGGGCACTGATGGAGCACCAGACTGGGAGTCGAGCGACGTGATCTTGGTCGTCATGGTGGTAGTCATTGCTGAATTCTGAGTGCAAAGTCTCAACTACCTATTGTGCCTTGTTAGTATGGCGGTGATATACACGCTCTCTGATAGGTCAGAGGCAATTTGAGGTCAGTGTGGCGAACCCTGTGGCAGTGGGCGGATACGTACACGTAAATGCTGTTTCTTTTTGGATTAAGCTGAAGCCGTTGCTATTGACACTGGAAGAGGAGCGGGAGTACGTTTTCGAGTAGTTGTAGTCGATTAGGCAATGTGGGTGCGGCGGGGGAGAAGTGTGGAGGAGCGTGCGCTTGCCTGGGAAGGAGCGCGCAGGTAGTGTGGGCGCGTGGACAAGCAAGAAAGCAAGTCCGAGAGCGGTAATGCAAACGGACGCGAGCTCGAAGTGCCCAAGTTTCGCAAAACGGTAGTTTACCGCAGTGTGTGGTCCATTCTTGTCCCGTGCGACGAGCTTACACTGCGCTGTATGACTTGCATATTTCCCGATGGCGTCCGGAAGACTGAAGTGCTAGAAGGCAGATCATGAAGCGCAATGCCAGATGTGACTCCTGGACCTTCTTCGTGTCCACCCAAGTGCGCGGAATGGCAAACACCATTACCACGAGGGACTTGCCGACTCTTCTTGTCGTCTATCTTTGATACAATCCAAGGCACCAAGTTGTAGTAAGCCCCGCAAATGAATATGCCAATCCAGAGAGCCAGCTCAGTGCCATAGATGACGATTCCCAAGATATCGAGCGTGGGCTGAAACACGACAGACAGCAAGGAGAAGACATCACCTAAGGCATCGATACCTACAAAAATGAACGAAATGCCGCGAACAGTCCGAAAGAGGTAGACATCGATGTAATGCCTCAAGACACCAGCAGCAAGCAAAGTAGCTGAAGCGACCGCCATCAAGATACTAGGCCAATGCAGCCCTTTGTCCTTTGCATGTCGTATCGCAAAGATCAGGCCAGTCTGCACGCCACCCATAAGGCAGGCTATAGGGACAACGACAGCAAGTGAACGGAATACTGACCAGTTCTGCTGAGTGTCAGCTTCACCCCCCGAGGCTAAATTGTGCGAGTTCTCCAGGTCACCTTCTCGTAATAATAGCATTGGATCCACGTCACAAGACTGAGGACAGTGAGGATTTGCGGCTGGATGCGTAGAGCAATGTTGTACTCTTCGGCAATGTTATACACACCCAGAGGGACGCCAGCCCAGGCCCACAGCATCATCATTGTGGGCTGCAGCCCAGTGGCATTATGTCGCCTGTAATTAACAAGGATTTGAGGAATCAACTGCGAGACACTCAGCATTGCTCTGGGATGCCCTGGAAGCCAGACATACCTGGATAGACCAACACACCTACTCTGGTCAGTATAGCTGTTGCTAGAAATGCGACGCTTGACGTACAGCTCCCATTGTTCCCAGCACATTGGCAGCCGCCGGGATATCCATGATGACCAGGTAAGCAAAGGAGTGTGGAAGAGGTGCGCTTGTGGTGTTAGCGAGGTATGAATCATGGCCATGATCTACGGCATGCCGACAACCTCGTCTACGCGCCAAGGGCAATTCGAGACCAACAACATTTCGCAGAGGAGACTGCAATATGTGAGCAGATTCCACGAGCGCACAGCACATAACGTCACTCGGAAGCGGGAGCGATAATGCTTGCACATGCATACCTAGCTGCCGCGACGCCTTAACTCCGATGTCCGATGCTGGTGGAAGGGCTTAGAAATCTCCCGACTCCAACACGACAACATTGGCACGTCGACAGCAAGAGAAGCTTTTGAGCCCGGAGACAATGGCGCAGGACAAGCCGGACACGAGCGAGGCGCAGGATATAGAAGGAAGACCGGGATACAAGAAGCTGGCAAATGGCATAATACTCGGTCCAGATGGCAAGCCGTAAGTACTGCTACCTAGCTACCTAGCTACCTGGGTGCCATGCGCCAGACATACGAAGCCTTCCAACGCCTTGTCTTGTATGAGATTCAAATGCTAACACCAGTCTTTGCATTCTAGATGTCGCACCTGCAACGACGTAGCCTCTCTATTTGCCATGTCGGGCAAACTACCCAAGAAGCGCGCGCAACCCACGGCGACGGCGACGGCGACGGCTGAAACCACCCCCACGCTGCCTGCAGACTGCCCGCCCGACGTCGAAGCACTCGGACGCTCGTCGTGGACGCTCCTCCACTCGATAACCGCCACATACCCGATTAATCCGTCGCCCCAACTCCAGGCCGAAACCAAGTCGTTTCTCTCCACCTTTGGCAAACTATACCCTTGCTGGGTGTGCGCCGAAGATTTCCAGAAGTGGATGCAGAAGAATACGCCCAGAGTGAGCAACCGCAGCGAGTTTGGCGAGTGGATGTGCGAAGCGCACAATGCTGTCAATGAAAAGTTGGGCAAGCAAACGTTTGATTGCAAGAGGTGGGAAGAGAGGTGGAGGACAGGATGGAAGGATGGAAGGTGTGATTTTTGAAAGCGCCCAGGGCGCGACATGTGTATGACATGTACGATATGTGTATATGACAGCAGACGACATTTTGGTTTGCATAGCGGAGACAGCACTACTCTTGTACCCATAGCGCAAAACACAAGGGCATTTGGGCGGCGTTCAAACGTCACATGGACTCCACTGATATGCAAGTCTGGGTTCAGCTGTGCCATGCAACATGGCAAATGGATCAAGTCGCAAAAAAAGGATGCATTCTGCTTGTTCCCATCTCGTACTGTGTGGATGGTAGGAGGTCCTCCATAGAAAACATTCAAAGCTCAAGTTCATATTCGCACGCCTTCGTGCTGCCAGGCTAACATGGTTCATCTTCTGAGAATCCAAATGACCGAAACATGGTATGCCACCTCTCACATGGTAGTGCGCTCAGACCAGCTAGCTGCAGACAAGTTGCGGAAATCGACTCGATTGTGGTATCTTGTATTAATCTCGCGCAAGGTTGGAAACGCTCCGGTTTACCGCATAATCTCCTGGTAGATGAGGACTGCTCATTGTTAGCTGTGGCTCGATGCTGGAAAGGCGGTGTCACTTACGCTTCAACTGTTCCTTGGTAAGGTTGTCCTTGTTCTTGTCAAAGTCGAAGAACTCCTCGGGAATTGGGTCCGCGCCCGGCTCGTCATCTGGGTCGTGGTATGGCTCAAGGTAGGGGTGCTTGAGCGCGTCCTCGACCGAGATACGCTTGACTGGGTTGAAGGCTAGTAATCGCTCCAGCAGGTCAAGCGCCAGATCATTTGTCTTGGGAAACATGGCCTTCCATGGGATCTTCTTCTTGAAGGGCAGCGATCGAATGTATTCGCGAGCTCGGCGGGACTTGATGCCGTAGTAGTCCTCCATGGTGGGCGTGCCGAGTACGTCGAGAATCAATGTGAGCTGGTGGTGGTCTAGCCAAAAAGTCAGCTTCGTGGAACTGCGTCTCGACGCCTTTTGCGCGACTTACAGTCCTTTCCTGGGAAAAGGGGCTTTCCGCTCAACATCTCAGCTAGGATACATCCTACACTCCATACATCGATGGCTTTTGTGTACTCCTTAAAGGTAAGCATAATCTCTGGCGCACGGTACCAACGCGTGGCGACGTATTCGGTCATGAAGCCAGAGTTGTCTTCGGTCGAGGCGGCCGATCGAGCCAGACCAAAGTCACACACTTTGAGATCGCAATTTGCGTTGAGGAGCAGGTTCGAGGGCTTGAGATCGCGGTGGAGGACGTTTGCAGAGTGCATGGCCTTGAGCGCGCGCAGCGTCTGGTAAATGAAGTACTGGCAGTGGTCGTCGGAGAGCTCCTGTGTGCGGATGACGCGATGCATGTCCGTCTCCATGAGTTCCTGGGGCAGCGTGTTAGCGGCGGACGGGCATGCAGACAAGCAGACGTGCGCACCTGGATCAGGTAGACCTCTGTAAAGGTCTCATAGTTGCGGGGTTTCTGGATGTCGAGGATGGAGATGATGTTCTCGTGGTTGAAGTACCGCAGCAGCTTCATCTCTCGCAGCGTCCGCAGACAGAACATGGAGTGGTCAAAGGGCGTGATCTTCTTGATGGCAACCTTCTGGCCCGAGGGCTTGTGCAGTGCGGAGCTGTGCAATGGGTTAGCTGGTGGGCTCGGCTCAGCAGCGCCACTGGCAGAGGGTACCTACCACACGACGCCGTATGCGCCCTCTCCTACGACATCCTGGATATCGTACTGCTCCGAGACGTTGAAGGAGATCTTCCTGGAGCTGCCGCTTCCCGCTGGCGGCATGGTGGCGGGTGGTGTGGATGGGATGCGCGGGGGGCGCGGTGGTGGTGGCAGGCAGTGGGCGTGGTGATGGTACTCGGGTGTTTTGCGGGGTTGCAGTCAATGGCTAGGCGGGGGGGGACAATTGACGGAAGAGACGAGCGAGGTGGCTGGCGGTATAGATGTGAGACGAGGAATCTGGATGTCTTGTTGGTCAGCACAGGCTCTGGATGTCATCAAACAGGGCATTGTTCACAAGACGGAAAGCGTGCTCTGGGCGCTCATGGTGAAACGGCCCTGTGTCAGACACAGACTTCAGCCCCACGTGCTTCTTCCTTCTTTGCGCGGCCGCCGCCGCCGCAGCAAGCAGCAGCAATTGACAGAGCGTGCATGGCGGGCGCTGGGCACGAGCGAGCACAAACGACGGCGGCTACCTATGCGCGGCTACATGCTCGAGGGCGGGCGCGCCTCTTTGGGACGGGCAGATGACTTACATTCGGTGCAGATGCTTGCAGGGCGTCGCCAGTCAGAGGGTGAGGGCGGCGGCGAGCGAGGGCAAGCTTTCGGGCCGGACGGTTAAGCGTTGTCGTCGTGGCCCGTCGTCGAAGAGAGGTGCTGGTGCTGTCGAGAACGTGCTGGGGTCGAGGGGGGAGGGAGGCGGTGACAGAAAGGGGAGACGGATGGTGGGGCAGCGTCGGTGGTGGGTGGTGGGTGGTGTACAGTACAGCTAGGCGTAGGGCACGTCTTGTTGTCTGCCAAGCCAGTCAGTCCGTCAGTTGGCCAGTCGGTCCAGAGGGCCAGCACGCGAGGGGGGGGGGAGGGGGCGTGGATCGTGGGCCGCGGCCTGTGGTTCGTTTCTGCGATGGCGGTGGTGTCGTGGTGATGGTGATGGTGATGGTGATGGTGATGGTGATGGGGATAATGATGATGATGATGATGATGATGGTGGTGCGTCGACGGTGCCGCTGCGGCTACAGCTGTCTTTGTTGTGCGAGGGAGCCTTGATACGTGCCTAGCAACAGGGTGTGATGGCGCCTGGGCTACTGCGTGCTTGCGGCGACGGCGGGCTGTACTAGAGGGGCGACTTAGGCTAAGTATGCATCCATCTACCTCTAGAGGCGGCATGGCGGGGTCCCTCGCACGCCAGGCACACACACCACCACCAGCCATCCAGTCCGTCTGCTGCACTCTGCTCGTTGCTGCTGCGTGCTCCTCCCACATGCACTCGCACTCGCACTCACGCGACGGCCGCCGCGTACAGCCCGGCGAGTTGCGCCCTCGGTGCGCCCGCCAGCGGCCCCAGCGAGACTTTGGCTAACCGCCGTCTGATCCAGCCACTGTGTGAGCTGCGCGAGTCGCCATGGCGTGCCGTCGGTCAGATGCTCCAGAGCCCTCTCACGGCCAGTCTCAACCTCTGGAGCCTTGTTTCGCCAGCATCATAGGGCGGCAAGGCACTCGATGGCTGAAACCGGCCGCGCCTGCAGGGCCTGGTTCCACGCTTGCAACAGCTATACTTAGCAGGCCCATTATGAGACCAGCCTCACCATCATGGCCATGCGGGAGCCCCCTCTCCCGGAAGCCATTGGTCGGGCCCGCCATCACCAACTCCGACTCCAACACTGCCTCCAACGCTGCCCCCCGGCCCCAGCCCTCTATGACTCTGTCTGATCGCTGTGCTCTACGCGCCTCGCCTCTGCAGCGCCTCTGCAGCCCGTCCGATTGGGCGAGGACAATATCTGGCCATCCCCCATGCATGCTGCACATGGACATCATCATCCTTGCATGCACATGTTTGATGCCGAAGCCTCAGGAACTTCCAGAACACCTGTTTCAAGCGGGAACCGAGCCGGACGGGAGCGGCGGTGCCCCAGCACATCTTCGCAACTCGTGAGCACCCAGTCCACATGCCGTGGCACCCTGTTCCATGCTTCCGGAGGGGCAGCCAAGTCACGACGACTGCACGCTCCCGTTGGAACCACCAGCCGTACCCGAGGCCCCGTCGTGCAAGACGTTGACTGTCCATGGATGGGCCAGTCTTCACGGCATCATTAGTACCCAATAGTATCTTGTCAATATTCATCATGTAGTATTTGCAAATCGCTAACTCGTGTCGGAAATCACGTGACCCGCATCAATCACAAGCCGTCGCACCACTGGCCAGAACGCCTTCTCTACACCCATATACGCCGCTGTACCATGTCCATGCCCAACCCTCCCTTGGAAGCAGAGGCAAGTTATCATGACATGGCAGTCAACATCATGTTGCCGCCATCATGACTTTGACCCCCTCAACCACGCCGGGAGTCATGCCGACGACAGCGTGCCCATGGGCGGGTACTGATGTCCCTCTTTCTCGATTCGTGGTCCGCATGTGCACCACTGGTCTGAGGGGACGCTCTCCATGACGCCAGCAATGTGGTTTCCGCAGCCCCACCACGTCGTCTTGTCTAAAAGCCGCGTTAGACACAAACACCACGTGTGCCTAGGGAGAAAAAGAAACCTACGGCACGAGTCGCACGAAGCCTTTTTGCACATAGTGGTGATAGTTTGACTGTAAGTTTCAAGTATCCTTGGCAGCTGCCCTAGCAGAGAGAATCTGGCAACGTATGATGGGAATGTGGCGGATGCCGATGATGATGATGATGATGATGATGATGTCTGGTACCACAGCAAGAACCAGACCAGCACAAGCGTCGCGTCTCCCTATATACACATGCGCCCCTCTCCACGCAAAAATCATAGGTACGTGATTTTCTGTCCGCCGCGGCGCAATTCCCCTTGGATAAACCCCATCTCGGGGACCGTGGTCGCCATCGGCCAGGCCCTGTGCTCGCCGCTGATTGGCCCACGCACACATCGCTCCGAACTATAGCTAGGTAAGTCGGCGACCACAACCTTCGGCGACGTCGTGCTTGGAACCACTTCTGTTTATTTCCTTCTTCCTTCGTCCCAACTGCGTGTCCTCCCCCCCCCCACCTCCTCCCGGCTTGCACGACCAGGGACTAGCATACGGGTGAGGCGCTAGAACACACCATCCGGTGGTTTTTCCTCGTCTGCGCTACACTGCTTTTGAGCTCGCCGTGGGTCCGGTGTCGAGGCCTAAGCATGACAAGGCGAGGCCTCGCGGCTACTCGGCAGTGTCATCTTACTGCTGCTTGTTGACCATGAGTGGCTAGTATCCTTCTAGAAACTTGTCTGTAGGTAGACCTGGGCCGATGTATATCAGTCAGCTCAGCGCAGCATCATGCTGTGGACACGGCATCACTGTACCTGCGCACGCTCTCTCCCCCTCTCTCCCTGGCTGCCTAGCGCATGTGGCGCGGCGAGACATTGCAAATCAGCTCGTAGCCGAACAGAGAGAGAAACGTCTGCTGCACTGTGTCATGGCAGAATAGCATGCCATCCCTTGCTTTTCAAGTCTGATCGACACATCATACGCGATCAAGGCTGCATGTTTCTGCTAACGACGCCACGGTAATAAACTCCGGAGCAATCGCGTTGCACGTCCTCTGATCCAAGTGCAGATGCAAAGACAGAATGAAACCATCAGCTTTTTTTCCAAGAAACAACGTCGTATGCAAACTAGCCAAACATGACTGTCTATATGCCGGGTACTATGGTGTTTTTCTTTTCGCTTCTACGCACATGATCCAAGATGCCCCCGTTACAGAAAGATGCTCAGGTATTCACGGGTTCATGGCCCCGCATCAGCTGCAGCCTGTCCTTTCTACCTCGGCGACCAAACTCTTCGCTAATGTTTAGCTTGATTCATGCAACAACATACACTTCATGTAGTATTATCGCTCCTAGTCAAAAGTAATCTTCGTCGCAGCCTTGGCATTCTCAGTGTCTTTGTAAAAGGCACCATAGGCTCCGTGTTCCTTCTTCTTGACAGTGGTGCCAAACTTCATCAGATCTTCCGGTACGGGCTGATTCGCTGCCTTGAGTACATTGATCAATCTGCGAGACTTGTCAGCTCAACGTCATATGGTCGACAAATGCCTAGGGGGCCACTCACGAGCCAGAGAGCGCCTTGTCCTGTTCTGTGAAGAACGTAATGGCCAGCCCTTCCTTTCCGGCACGACCCGTCCTACCAATCCTGTGCACATAGTCCTCAGCTGTCAAGGGAAACGTGACGTTGATGACCAGCTTAACTGCCGGAATATCAAGCCCTCGAGCAGCCACGTCTGTTGCCACAAGCAGGGGCACATGGCCTTCCTTGAAAGCCGCGAGCGAGGCACTGCGCTTTTCCTGGCTCAAATCCCCATGGATGCCGCCCACACGGAATTTCTTCACGCGAATAAAGTTTTCAATGCGCACTGCTTCTTTTTTGAACAAACAGAAGACAAGGATACGGTCGTCTTTGTTTTTTCCCGACTGATACTGCTGGAGCAGCTGCAGCAGACGCTGTTCCTTGGCGCGGGTATCTAACACCTCGACGACCTGTTTAATGCGCACGTTGGCGCGGAGCTCACCCGATTGATTGTCGCCGATCGTGATCCTGACCGGCGAGCTCATGAATGTCGACGCCAGATCCCGAACCGAAGGCGGCCAAGTAGCGGTGAACATCAGAGTCTGCCGCTTCTTGGGCGTCTGCGAGATAATCTGTCGAATTGCTTCTTCAAACCCCTTGTCAAGCATGCGGTCGGCCTCGTCGAGGACTACGTACTCGGCTTTGCTGAGGTCCGCAGAGCCATCGCTAATAAGATCGTTGAGGCGACCTGGTGTAGCGACAACAATGTGCGCCTTGCGGCAAGCCGCCACTTGCGGGTCTTTTGGCACACCACCGTATACGCAAACTACCGACAGTCCAGCAGGTGTTGCCAAAGCTACCAGTTGATCGTAAATCTGGACCGCCAGTTCACGCGTAGGTGAGACAATGACGGCCTTGATACCCTTTCGCTTGTCCTTGGGCAGCAAGGCGATATTGCGCACGCAAGGTACGCCAAACGCAAGCGTCTTGCCGGAACCCGTCTCAGCAACACCAACCATGTCCCTTCCTGAGAGCAAGAAAGGCCATGTGGCTGCTTGTATAGGCGTAGGCGCGGTGAACTTGCAGAAAAAGGCGCGTAGGGTATCGTCGACGGGCAGATACTTGAAGTTCAAGATGGGACGCAGTGTGCGGGCTGCGGGCTTGGGGTCCTGAATGGTCATGGTGTTCTTGGAGAGGAAAGCATCGATTTCCGACTGAGGAAGCTGCGTCAACTCGCTGCTCTCCTCGTATTGCCCGGCCTCCGCGCTCGTCCCGTTGGCTGCTGCGGGCTCTACGTTGGTCGCCGCTGGTGGCGGCTTCGATGAGGGTGCGGACTCGGCGGCTTCTTCGCCTTTAGCCAATGCCTTGAGGCGTTTCTTCTCTGCCTTTCGTGCAGCCTTCTCCGCAGCCTTCACGGCATCCTCGTCTTCAGCAGCGACGCCATTGGAGTCGGGCGCCTCAGTCTCTGCCGCAGCCTTCTTCGCCTTCTTTGCCTCTTTGGCTTCCTTCTTTGCCTTCTTCGCCGCCTTGCGCTCGGCCTTTGACAGCTTCTCCTCGCCCTCGGAATCGTCCGCGCTCTTGCCGTTTGTCACCTCGTGCGTGTGGCCATTTGTCTCTGTCGCGTCAACAGTAGCGGATTTGCTGAGCCTCTTGCTCTTGTCTTTCTTGCTCTTCTTTCGTGAGATTTCGAGGGCAGTGGTCGCGCCCTCTTCGGTGACGACGTCAGAAATTGGCCGTTTACCCATCTTGTCGATGCGCAAAGCTCTCCGTGCAGAAGCTGTGAGGGAAGGTGAAAAAACGACTTTTTTCGTCGGCGGTCGGCGTTGGCCCAATCGATAAGGCGCGAGCTAGTCCTAATGGGCTCAACGCGACTCTAGACCGGCAAATCTCGCGTCTCGGAGCCCTACTACCTTGTCACCTAGTCTTCTTTTTTCCACAACTCCGACCGCTGGTTGGAGAAGGCGATGGGATTGTGCAATAGCCCAGCCTCATTCATCTTTCACTACGACTGGAAGTCATGACCAGATTTGCCCGACCACGTGCATCACCTTCAACACTCTGTAAACTGTCATGGCGGATGTAACAGTACTGAGGTGTTGGCCGGCATGCGTCGATGCAATCGATTGGTCCCCCGATGGCATCATTGCACTAGCGTCCGATGAGCGTGTAGAGCTGCTCGTACGTTTTATTGAGATCAAAGAATCCAAGATGTTCTTGCTGATGGCTGTCTAGTTTCCGAATACTGTCGATTTCGACAGAGACCAAGTCCTCCCTCAATGGCAGCATGTTCCGCTCAAGGTACCACTTTTCTCACTTGACGAGCTACCTCTCAAAGAACTTGCGCCGATATCCGATTACTCAATTGGTGAAGAAATCTCCAATAGTGCCCCCATTAGCATCGCGTGGTCACCGTCAGGCCTTGCAAAGCATCGAAAGTGCGCCCTTGCTGTTCTTACTGCGAATCTGACCCTTTCCATCTGGTCAGCGCAGGGTAAGCCGCAAGATGAATCAAGCTGGACCCGGTGTCTTATCATTAACGATGCCCTCGCTGATCACTTTAGCGGCTGCCATGGCGAGCCCAGCCACCTGACGGTATCTTGCAAAGAACAGCTGCGCTTGAGAAGTCGTGTTCGTGCTTTTGCATGGGCGCCAGCTTTACCTGACCCTGAGCCGGTCGCTATCATTGGGACTCGCTTGCTATTCTCTCGGCACTTTCTGGCCATGTCCAACGATGACAACCATCTCATCCTCATGGCGGTCGACTCGCCTACATCGACCTTGGGAGTAGAGCGAAACTGGAGAGCAGAGGTTTTGACTCACAAATCTTTGACACCCAATTCAGACAAGGTATTCTTGGAGCCACGTGTATTTGAAGATATGATGAAACAACAGCGACACATATCTCATATCGCATGGAGTCCCTGGATTCTGCACGATGGCTGTCAATACTCAGTGGTTGCGTACGCCACGAATGAAGACGTGCGGGCAAGGGTCATTAGGTATGGAACCGACGATATGCACATGGACGAGGAAGTAATATACCCTGGGGTTGAAATGCGATTTCAAGGTCCAATGAAGTGGTCGCCCAAAGTCGAAGATGGAGATCGACTCAAACTTGCCCTCTTCACAAACTCGGGACTAGTTTGTCTGAGCATATCTGCATACGATGCCTCTATCATTGAATCCAAAACACACGATCTTGACGGGCGATGGGACCAAATTTCCGGTGCGACATGGGATACCGCCGACGAGTCAATATGTCGCCTTCATGTAAGCTCACTGCTATCCACTCTCCACAGTCCGACGTCTGTTCTCGAGGCCTCTTCGGACAAACTGGAAAGCCTGGGGAATGCAAGCTGGCGAGAAAAGATTGAAAACAATCTGGCACTCTTCAGTGTTAAAAACGGGCTCAAGGGCAACAGTAAGGCCAAAGTGTGGGGTCTATCCAGCTCTCCGCTAGGTGACTTTATTGCGGCATGCAACAGTGTGCATCCGTCAGACATGATTGAATACGGGATACCTGCCGACAGAAGCGGGACCGTCGCCATTAGTTCTTTGCGACATGGCAGTGAACAGCGAGAGGCCTTTCCGAAAGCGAATGTTAGCGCAGAGGGAGTGACGTATACCATACGGAAGCTGGCAGAAGACGTGGTTGAGGACCCTGATGATATACCAGCGTTCGCAGAGGAGATTGCGCAAAAGCTCACGCAGGCTTATGCGGCTCCTGCAGCTCCGGAAGAGGAGGTGAAACAGCCGACTTTGGGTGCCGGTACAAGTGACATCCACTCACTGATCAAGGCGTTCAAGATGGCAGCGTTTCTGAATGAGCATACGCTAAAAGATAGGTATGCGATACTCGTATCTAAAGCGTGTAAGACGGGATCGCCGGACGAGCTAGCAAGAACGCTGATAGCGTATCGCCTTGCTAATGCGGTGCAGCGTCTCCTGTCATCAGTGGCTAATACGCCTTTCAGCATGGAGATTGTGGCCCAGCATCGACAGCTCATTACGCTCGTCAACGAAGCCATGGGGCATGAGCCCGCAAAGGGCGAACCCTCCAACCACACAGGATTCTCGGGCGGCGACAGTTCTTTGCCTGTCAATGATGGCACAAACGGCGATGTTAACGGCACAGACCAGGGGACTGTGAAGACAGTGGAAGACAGATGCGACTTCTGCTCTGCTTCGATCCCGTTTAGTGACTTGATGTCGGCATCGTGCACGAACGGGCATGAATTCCCGAGATGTGGATTGAGCTTTGTGGCCATCCAAGCGCCTGGTATCACCAAGCACTGTGGTATTTGCAGCACGCCATTCCTGAGCGACGAGTTTGTGATAGCCCAGGAACATGGGGAAAGGACGAAGAAAGATGAAGACAGCATCATGATGGATGTGACGCAGGATGGACATGGGAACGACGAGGACATGGGAACAACAAAAGCAACCAGTGCACCGAATGACGAGGAGGGAGAAGAGGCAGCTCAGGCCATGGATGGGGAAGCAGAGCAGAAAGGCAAGAATGCCGAACAAGGAGAAACCGAGGTGAAAGGAAGGAGTCTTCCTGTATCGTTAGCGCGTGTGCTGTTCCTGAGCTGCGATGCTTGCATCTACTGCGGGGGAAAGTTTGTCGGCTAATGGCGAGTAAGGAGAGGTGAGAAATGGGGAGTTGGGTGCAGGTGGCCATGCAGTACTTTGGACGAGTAGGGTCGAGGATGCTCTCGCCGCGAGCCAGCAATGCTTGTGACTAGCTATGGTGCAGAGAAACGAATATCCACACCATGTGTTGAGTTTGTCTGGAGCATGCCGTGGCACCGACGGCAAAGGATTATATTGATGGCTTTGTGGGTAACGCATGGAATGACTTGCATACGCCCGTCTTCGCATCTGCATACCTGGTTCTAGCCATTCACGGACGTGTTTGGTAGACGTTGGCAGCCAACCAAGAGTCTTCGCCCCTATCAGCGCCCCTCCGGAGTGGAGCCGTGTGGTTGAGAAGCGGACTTGGCGGCAGCAACATGGCAGCCGGCACATGGAGACGAAGAGAGGCGACTGTTAGGCGGGCATCTGCAATGCAACCACGGGCGGTGCGGGCATGGGCTTCCCTCTTGGCGCTACCACTGCCACTACGGCGACGATGGCGTGTTGGTGTCTTCTCGCACAAAGCGCGCAAATCCCCCCACTGCTTTCACGTGACATGGAGGGCGAGAGAAGAGGCCAGAACACCCCCACCGGCCTTCCCGGCCCCGGGACCGCCAAAATGGCGCAGGCCAATCACGCGGCGGCTGCACCGCGGGCAAAGTGGGGGGCCCGTCTGGGGTTGCCCTGCTAGGCAATTCCAGGGTCTGCGAGCCGCGAGTGCGAGTGCGAGCGGGGCAGGCCAAGCGCTTTGGGCGTGCAGCGTCGCCACTGGTCATGGCTGTCCGCACAAGTCGCGCATGCCTCCATATATAAGACTCTGCTGTCGACGCCCTCACCTTTCCTCCTCCACCACCACTCAAGCAACCAAGACTCTCTGAACACACACTTCCCATTTCCAACCACCCAAACCCAACCACTCCACCAACCACCACCATGAAGGGTAACTGCGGCTGTGCTTCCGGTGCCTGCAACTGCGGTGCCACCTGCAGCTGTGACGGCTGCCCCGTACGTCATGCCTGGCTCCATGTTGATTCACTCGCCAGCTAACAGTATTGGCAGGGCAAATAAGCAACAGACTGGCTCTCTACGAGTTCGACGGCACGACGGCACAACAATCATCGTGCCCAGACAATCAAACGCCCAACATGTAGTAGTTAGCATTGCATGACTAGGAACGCATCAAGCCAACAGGACATGATGTCACAAAGGATAAAATGACAACCTTTTGCCATGACACTCGTGCGTCGAATGTGCCCCTGTGATTGCTATTCCGCTGTTTGATTCGACCGTGTATCTCAAACCGATGACTATGGCTAACTTTAAGTCTCCTGTATCACCCCACCTCATCTTACCCGCAGCACACGGTGGCATCTTCCTGCATGCGATCCTCACCGCCTCCGCTGACACTGAAGCTCTCCCATCCAAAGACAAAGTATCCAATGTACGCCCCGATGAAGATGCAAATGATAAAGTATCCGTTGTAGTACATGGCCAGCAACATGACAAAGTACGCCACGGCAAAGGCACACGTGTGTAGCAACGCCCTAACCGCCTGTTGCATGATGCTCGGCCTGAACTTGGCTCGTGAAGCCCCCGCCATGCCCGAAGTTGCTCTCTCTGTAGTCTCTGGTTGTTTGTTCGTAGCTGCGCCGTTCGAAGACGAGGCCGAGGAAGAGGTATTCGTAGCCGAGACGAGCGTCTTGCTGTACTGTGTGACGAGGAAGCGATCGTATTCCTTTGCCGCGCGGCGCAGGAACTCGAGGAGAACTACGAGCAGGATCACGCCGATACACGAGCCCGCAAACATGGCCCTGGACCTAACGTGCCACGACGACGAGATGAAACATGTGTCAATGACATTCCAGTTCCACAGCATCTATGTGGCCAAGGTTAGCATACTGTGGTGCATCGCTTGCATCAACAGAGAGTGACAGGGCCACCTACGCTGATCTTGCATCCATTTCCCATACCCATTCCCATGCCGCCCATGCTGCTCGATGGCGACGTCATAGGTGCCGAGCTGCTCATTGTCGCAGTATCCATTGACATGACCGTTTGTGTAGACGCCGACATATCCATCGTCACTGTTGTTGGATGTGCATCGACGGAGTGAGAGGGAGTGAGTGCGGCGTGTTCAAACAGCAGTTGACCAAGTTTTACTCGTCAGCACGGTTGCCAGGGAAGGTGGAAATGGAAGAGATGGTGAGCTGGGGGAAAGTGCAGTGTCTGGTACGCTACACTTGTCTCTACACTAGACTGTGGATTCGCGTAGAGGCAATCAAGACCAAGCATAAATACAGTATGTAGCCCAGAAACACCACTCAGCCGGGCAGCACACGGGGGCCACGATACTTATAGCTACCCAGCATGCCCACGCACCGGCGCGTAGCAGGGATCCAGGTCCTACAATCCACACGGCAGCATGGGTCCTACTCTTACACAGGCGCCTATCCTCACCCCGATGTACACTAAAATGCCCATCTTCTTCTCTTTCTGCACCACCATAGCCTGACTGCTTGACGGGGTATCCCATGTTCCATGCCATAAGCGTGCTCGACTCGCAGCGCGCCTTGCCCAAACGGGTTTAACGCGCGCATGCAGATGAGAAGGTTTCCCCCCAGTATGAGCATGTTTCGCGCCTCAGCAGAGGATAACATGATAACAGTCTTTTTTCTTCTTTTCCTAGCGGTACCAAGAAACCATGTGTGCATGCATAATCGGCTTTTAGCTGCTTGACGCGTCAGGCGAGACAACAAGGGGTAGTGGCGGTGCCGGCACCGGGCTGCATGGGGGGTTGCATGAGCTGGGGAAACGCATCTCCCATGTGCGATAGATGAAATGCATATTACAAGCAGCGTGAAGGAACGGGTTATGGTGTCTGTGGGGTCCCGGGGCTGCGGACGCGGATACAGTGGTATAAGAAAGGCTACCTACGACTGCTGGGCTTTCGTCATGTGACGGGGTTCATCAGGAAAGCCATATAAGCACCGATCGACTCTATTCGATTCACTCTATTCTGCCTTCGACAGATATTCCAGATTCTATCCAGCAATCGTCTCATTCCTCGCAAACGGATCGACACTCGGATCCGTAATCCGCACATGCTCGATAAACCTCGCAATCGTCGTCGCATTCTCAGGCGTATACGTCTTCTCTACCCAATGCAACATCATATCGATACCCGCCGTGACTCCTGAAGAGCTCCAGATAGGCGGCGAACTCTCATTCTCCTCCACCCAGCGCGCGCTTGGCACCCACGTCGTGTTGGGGTTGTTTTCCACCGTCGTGACCCACGACAACTTGTTCGACGTTGCCCTTTTGCCGTTGAGAATCCCAGAACGCGCTGCTAGTGCCGACCCAGTGCAGATGGTAAGCACATGGCGGACTTTGGGTGTCGTATCCCGGATATACTGCATGGTGGCATTCAGGGTGGTGGGGTTGCGCCAGCCCGGTCCGCCTGGGATGATGAGCACGTCGAGTGGCGGCGCCGTCTCGAACGTGTGGGTTGGTGTGAGAGTCGGATACACAGATGAGTTCAGGGGATTCATGGCGGCGAGGGCAGGCCGCGTGGTCACGGGATCGAGCGTCTCGGCGATGTAGACTATATCGGTTTTGTAGGAGCCGCCAATGAATTGGAGGATTTCAGAGGGACCGTATACATCGAGCATGTCGAACATGCGGAAAAGAATGATTCCGTAGGTGCGTGGGACGCTAGTGTTTGATGCTGCGAATGTAAGTGGCATGTACCGTTACTAGTCACTGTTACCATGTACCGGCTACGACTATGCTAGATTGGAGCGCGAACACGCATAGAAATGCCCATGCTACCTGGAAAAAGCCCATTGTGAGAAGGTCAGGTTGGAACTGGATGCCGAACGAGCGTAGCAGTACGTCTGCTACTTAACGATTTACAGCCATATGAGCACCAAGCTTATTCCCGAGTCATGCAAGTATGAAGGCGTTTACCTACTATATTGCAGACAAATACAAGACTCTTGGCAAAATCCCGCATCCTACGAGTAGCAGTCTAGACTTTGAAGAAATATGGGAATAAGGCGTGCAGCCCTTTCCGAGCACTGCTCATCTTCCAATATACGGTTTGGGCGCCCATGAAGAATGTATTCCCCTAAGCAGAGACTGTTGGTCAGCTAATGATGAATTTCTATTAGATGTATGTCATTTTCTCACGCACCTAGTATCTTGTCATATATTCTGCGTATGTGAAAGGTCAGGGCTGCGCGTGATTGCGCAAGTTTCTGCACAAGGCAAAATGCGTGACGAGATAAACGAGGCGCCTGCATGCAAGATGTAAGTAAGGAAAAGCGGGGCGAGCCAATGAAACATCTTGTCCCTGTCCGTATTGCATCGACATCACAATCAACATTTGTAAAATAAAGGCAGCCTTGGATTAGAAAGATAAGCATACTTTTATGAGGCTGGTAAAACGCAAGCTACCCTCTGGTTGGCTAGCTTACCTACAGGCGCGCCAAGGCTAAAACGGTGCTCTTGGATATTTCGACTACATTAGAAGGCTGATGACCTGAATCTTCTCCGAGTATTATCTTGGAGAGGAAATGTGGCAGATATTAGTGATAGAAGAGTAATGCAGCGAATGTGTCTTCATCAGCAAACCCCTGCTGTGAAACAAGTCATTGGTGTCATTTACAATTCTCGTAATTGCTACGTATTACTGTGCGAGTTTACTCGGGTCTGCCCAGTGCCTTCCCTCACTGCTCGTGCCCTTATCTAGGAGATCAATTGTTGCAGGGATCTCGTGGAATGGGACTTCTCTCAACGAAGGCTTTACAGATCCTTGCTGGAGCAACTCTAAAACACGGTCACAGGTCTCTTTCGATGCTCCTAGAGATCCAGAAAGTTTGAAGCCCTTGTGGATCAAAAGCTCGACCGGGATCGTTACTGTTGGTGAGGCCACTCCTACAACAAGCACCGTTCCGCCTGGTTTTATCCCAGAGCAAGCTCCTAGGATAGTTTTGTCTGCACCAACAAAGTCAACAATGACGTCAAAATATATACCCTTTGCGTCTTCCAAGCTGTGGAAACAAGACTTTGCGCCCACACTCTTTGCTTCCTCGAATTTTGAATCGTTCAGGTCAAATCCATAAACGTCAGCGCCCTGGAGGACACCAAAGGTAAGCCCAGACATGCCCAGACGTCCAAGCCCAATGATACCAACAGCCATCCCTCTCTTGACCCCGGCACGAGCAACTACAGCGTGATATGCTGTGGCAAGCGCGTCCATTGATACGGCGGCTTGTGCAAAGGACACTCCTTCAGGGAGTGTTTTGACTCGCGACACTGGGATAGCTGCATATTCGGCGTAGCCACCATCGAAACCGAGTCCAATGGCCATGTTAAGATCGAATTCTTCGTAAGGTTGACTGATCTGATACACAGCGATGCGTTCGCCGATGCGATCTTGACTGACATTGGCCCCTGTCTTAACAATTTCCCCAGCCACTTCATGTCCAAGCGTTATGGGTTTCTTGGTTATCCAATAATCATTGCTCCCCTTAACGATGTGACAATCGGAATGGCACATTCCGGCTGCTCTAACTCGAATCAAGACTTCGTCCGGACCAGGTTCTGGTACTGGAACCTCAGTGAGATACAAGCCCTTGCCATCGCCATTGTATTGAAAAGCCTTCATCGTAAGGCGATGTGCGGGGTTTGTGGTTGTTGTTTTTGGATGGCTAGGTAGGATTAGTTCAAGACGCTGCAAGCTGAAAGGCAGACGAAGGTGTTTTCTAGATACGGATAGTAGACAAGAAAATTGAGGACAGGATCGACAGTATGATGGCCATGCAATTGGGTTTAAATATCCTCTATTTTGCCCGGAAGTATTCGGAAATAGCCTGTAATATTATTCCAACTGTCCTATCTCCATGGTAATGGAGAGTAAGATGCAACATCCGATGGTGTCTTAAAGTATCTCTATTGGCTAGAAGAACATGAGGGGCATCCTGATATTCGCCGACCAACGGCCCGACCGGAACATTATACCTTCGGCGGCTGAGAAAAGCCTGCGTACGGCTCACAAGGTAAGATCTAACTAAGCCGATTAGGAAATATATCCAGGCTGATCTTTACGTTGTTTGTGCGCTGCATGTCTCGGGCTGGCTGTTATGCGAATACCACGTAGGACACTACGCTGTAATAGTACTAGGCAACATTAGCAGCACGTCGATTTAGTCCATAATTGTATTGCTGCTGCTGGAATTGTAAAGATAGGTAGAACTTAATGGTATGTAAACTATCAATTGATGCTGATCAATTTGGGCTGAGCTGAGTCGCTTTATCTGAAGCCACTACTGTTGCATGATCAGGTCTAAAGTATGGCTTTCGAACAAACATTAGGTCTCATACAGAAAGCTATTACAACGACGACACTCTTCGTCACAATAACTTCTTTGCATTTCATCTCTATCCCAAAATGCCATTTGGAGAACTGCCAATTAGCGGGGCCTCTATTCCACAACATGCGCCGCCATATCCCAAGCATCCCAACCAGTTCAAGACTTCGTGCCTGAGCATAAAGTACTTCACAACAGCCTAAGCCGCCAGAAAAGTAGTCGCGGATATCTTTAAGATGGACGAGCAACCTATATGCCAAATCATGGTTTTCGATTACTCGATGAGCACTCTCGGAGCCTATTCGGAATTTGTCCACACGATTCAAGTCACGTATGAGAGGAGGACATTCGACTACACTGTTATCTTGATTCTTGATAACGAATCGGAAATCTTTGCCGGTCGCGAGCAATGGGGCTTTCCAAAAGTGTTTGGTCATGTGGACTTGAAAACAAAAACCGGATCCTCGTACATTAGCGCCCGCGTCGAACGCCCGGTAAGAGAGCATGTCGTTCAGCTTGGATTTACTCCTCTCGCGGAACAGGAAAGTCCCAGCGGGGTCGAGATGAACCCTACACTTTCTCTTGGTGTAGTTCCGGGGGTACATCAGAATGCATCACCAGCCGTCAAGGAGCTGGTGTCGTCTCGTATGCTGATGACTGGGGGTCACTTTTGGTTTGGGAAAGGCTGCATCGCGTATCCAATCCAGAACGCTCTGAGCCCTAGCTGGAATTTGCCCGTTGTGGCTCCTATAGTTTCTTTCTACTGGGCGAATACCAACGCTGAGTTGGTCTTGGAAGAAGTATTGAGTTTGTAAATTGTAGGATGTGTACTTGGGCTGTGAGCTTTCTGAGATCCCATAGTCACGGAAGGCTAGTACTAAGAATACCTTGAGTTTCAAGTTTGTGCCAGAGACCAGCAGGTATCGAGTACGTAGTTGAGCTTTGCAAGCTCTCAATCAAATGAGATTTTCCTTTGTACTCCTGATTGTCATTTTTGAAACCTACAGGTGGTAGAGACTTGTTAAATTTGTCGATGTATCATGAGTAAGAGATCCCTACTTCTATTGGAGTAAAACATCAAAAGATATCTTGTTCCAGCCCTGTAAGTCTTTGTGCCAGAAATGATGGCAAAAGAAGCTTTCATCTGAGGGTTTGCAGGCTCAAGTTTTCAGATCATTTTAGTGCTTAGGTGCTTCTGTTCGATTGGAGGGCAGGGCTTGGGTCGGTGTTCAAACTCGGTATACACCAAGGGTTTAAACGCTGCGGGGTTTGAAACCATACCTCAAAACAATCCACAGTCATTCTCTCATATCACAATCACCTTTCAGGCCTTCTTGGATATAAGTAAGATAATCTCTTTGCTAATGTTGTGGATGTAACTGCGCGCAGCTATCCTTGCGCCAAACGCCAAACGCAAAAACCCCAGGAATACTGATATGGGTGAATTTTAAGCCATACCCCAAGAAGGACAAGAATAACAAATTTTTTGCTAGAAAAACAAATTGGAAAAGGGAATCATATAAACCAAGCAACTACCCAACATGGGAGAACAAACGCGGCCTATGACTGTGACCGAATGGAACGAAGCATGGAGATGACGGGCAAGAGCTTGCGCAGCTTGTTCTTCTCGCTCGACTGGACAAAGTGCGTGTCCTGTCTCACAAGGTGGCCCGTCTGCATATGTGGAACAACTGCTGCAGCGCCCTTCTCGGCCGTAGGATCGCAAGCAATGACCGAGGTCTTGGTGCGTACAATGGGAGAGCCAATGGGAGACCGCATCTTCTCTGCGATGGGCGAGAACATGGCTTGTCTGCGACCGATGGGAGAGCAGACGACAATGGGGCGTCCCTCTTCGCCGGCCGGCGAAGTGACGACGATGGGAGTGTTCTTGCCTACTACAGGCGAGCAAATAATAATAGGCCTCTTCTTCTCGTTGACGGGTGTGACGAGAACAATAGTGCTCTTCTTGTTGTGGTTGAAGACACTGACCTTCTCCGTGGGAATGACCAGCTTGGGAGGTGTAACGGCCTTTGGTGCGTCTGCCGACTTGCGCTTCAAGCTAAAGTATGAACCATCGGGTCCATCTACCCAGGAGCCTTCGAAATCAGAACTTTGCATGGCTTTCCTGGCTACCTGGGCTTTGGCAAGATACATGAAGTCATCGCCTTCCACCTTGATCATGCAGTTGTGCCATGGCGTGGGAAGCTGGTATTCATAGACGGGGTTGGGCTCGAGACGCGTCTCCAGGGAGTCAATAGCGCGGACCTTGTTTGCGGGCAAAAGACGAATGGCAAACTTGGGACCTGCGTTGTTGTGCGCGTGAATAGAAAGTCGAACGTAGTTTGGAAGAAGCAGCTCAGTCAAGTTGGAGTATGCCTGGTTTCGAGACATCATTTCCTCTGCTACCAGAGCAGCTGTCTTCTTCTTTTGCTTTCCACTCATTGACTTGACTGACGGGATATCGGCCAGATCCTCAAGCATGAAGCGCGTCTGACCCCTGTAAAGACCAAGGGCATCGGGCTCTTGCTGCTCAATCAGCTGGCGGATATATGTGCGATCGGGACCGCCAATGCCGAGCATGAGCTTGCGGCAAAGCTCGGCGTCACCAGTAAGCTTCGTCTTGACGGGATGAGGCATTTGGTGCGAGTTGAGAAGCAGCTTTTGCAGGTCTCTGAAGCCGTCAGAGTCTGCTGCGAAGATGTTCTTGAGGCCCTTGAACTTGATGGTAGGGACAGGGCCAACATCATCCGGATACCGCTCCTTGTATATGGCTGCCATGCAGGCGTCGTAGGTGTCAATCATCTCGTCGTCAACGCCGACTGTTATTAGTTAGTGTTGATCTTAGGGCTTGCTGGTGAATATATGACTTACTGCAGTCGGAAAAGACGTGGCCGTCATTGATGATCCACATAGTCGCGCCAGGCGGGTACACGGTGTTGACTTCCTTGACAAAGTCGTGAAGTGCGTCCATGGCAATGTGCTCCGCAAGATCGGGCATGATGCCGCCAACCTTGTTTGGGTTGGGCGACTTGCAGGGAAAGGCAGGCAGGGCAAGCTGGATGGGAAGGTTCTTGTCGACATAGCCGTAGACGCGGTCCAGGAAAACCTCTTTGCCACAGACATCCCATTGGTCATCCTTGGAGACATTCTTCAGTCTTCGCTCGAAGATCTCGGCAATGGTTGTACAGGTCTCGCGGTGCTTTGCAGCCCATGGTGTGGTGGACGTGGACATGTGAGCGAATGGCTGAAACTCGGTCTCGAGGAGGACAAAGCGCTCTGCCCAAACACCAAAACCGTCGGCTTTGACAGACTTTGGTCTAGAAGTAACAAGGCCGATAGATAGGCCATTGGCGTGTTCGATCTCGGACACTTGGGTGTTGAGTTCTTCTTGTTGATATGAAGGTGGGAAGTTTGAGCGAATGTTGAGAAGAGCTGGGATGTCGGCGGTGACGTGGAGAGTCCTGATGGTCTTGCCAGAGGGAAGTTGAAGCTGATTCCATGACTCAGTAGCGGAGCACACTATGTCTTTGAGCTGTGTCCAGATTTCTGGAAGTGACTTGGAATTGCTTCCTTCGACTGCGAGCAGTTCTCCCGAAGCGTCTCTCCAGTACAGGCCCTGGATGCAGTGGTAGGTGTTGATGGACTTGTTGAGAGGCGCCATTGTGAAAGATCAAAGATGGGAATAAGAAATAACCGGGCTGGAAGAATAGGATGCTGAGTTTAGACAAAGGAAATAGATGAAGAGGATGCCCGAGGCTTGGATGGCGAAACTGTGGTGATTGAATGTGTGATTGATCTAGCACCAACTTTCCAGCATCTAATATATCAAAGACGTCGATGGCATATGCCCCAAACATTACCTTCCAAAGCCATTGCTCCACAGTGCCAAAGCGCAATAGGCCCAGCCTGCTGCGCATAGTATCCAGGCAAGCCACATGCCATTCTCGCAACGCTTACTAGCACGCTAATGCTGGTAGCTTCTAATCTCGCTACCACGGATTCAGCTCAGCGACTCGGCCACCGCTTTGCAAAGGTGCGGCCGTAGTGCGGGTCTCTTGCATTCTCTGCTACTGCGCTGGTACCAGTGGCATGCTGCGGTCCGCCGGGCGCACCGCTTGGCGTGCGCCGCAGTGCTACGAGGCGCGGCTGAAGCACGACGAATGGACAAGGGCGGGGCGTCCGGTGCAGGTTGGCATGCATCTGACAGTCAGATTCAGCGGGAAACTGTGCTGCGACGATGCGGGCTGAGTGGTTGGGGGCAGAGCGACGAGAGGCTTTGGCGGATGCATAGCGCCCCCTTGGCAGTCGGCCTGAGCTGGAGGACGGCCACCCTTGCCAGCGGGTCGAGAAACCATTGGCCCATAACGCCGAGCGTGGCATGGCGAGATGAATGTTACGACCCAAAGCTCGCTATTGTCTAAATGTAGGGGCGGGGAGGGAAGAGGCTTAGAGACACGGCAGGGTTGGTGCATCCGCCATTTCGCTTCAGCCCTCAGCCCTGGCTTGAGGGCACCGCCCCGCCATAGGGCTGATATGCTACTTGCATTGTCAACTGGGTTCAAATATGCCTGCCCAGGTAGCAACCGGCAGTATTGCGCTTCTGAAAGAAACATCTCCGCACCATGGTTTCCTATCTTTCGTTGATGTTTGTGGGAGCCTTTGCTGCCGTCTTTGGTGCGGTCAGCTTCTTCGTCTACCTTTTCACCCCTCCTCGCAACTTTCCCAAAAACATCCCCACAATTCCATTCTACTATGGGCTCCTGCCTCTCTTCAAGGATGTCGACCAAGCTGAGCTCTATCGACAATATCTCAAGGAACCCCTGGCCAAGCACGGCGCAGTCAAGCTATTCTTTGGCGGGCAATGGAACATATTGGTGACGAACCCGACCTACATAGGAGAGGTTCTCAAGCAAGAAGACATCTATGCAAAGTCTGGGAACCAAGTCAAGATCCCACATAGCGTGCTTGCTGAGTATACGGGCGAGAACATCATCAGTGCCCACGGCGAGAAGTGGAGGCTATATCAGCGCGTCATCAAGCCAGCCTTGCAAGCCGACCAGGACTCTGAGGACATCTGGAAAAACTCCAGAATCCTCGCAGATATGTTTCTGAGCGATACCAAGAACGCTCGAGGCAACGGAATCCCAATCTATGCGCCACTCCACCGGTATGCGCTCGCCAACCTTTCCGAAGTCTTGTATAGCTCCAGTTTCGAGACACTGCAGCACCCAGATTCCCCGCTGCACACGCTCCAAACAAAGATCAAGCCCATCATCTTCCACCCAATATTCATGAACTTCCCCTTTCTCGACTATCTTCCTTTGAAGATACGGAAACTGGGCCGCATGCTGAGCAGACAGTTCCGCCACACACTCCGCAACGCCATCATCAAAGGCCATACTCGACACGTTTGCAACGAAAACGACAGCAAAAACGTCGCTTGCAGACTCCTCGGGTCTCACCGTGAGGGCATGCTCAGCGACAAAGATCTCGACGACAATCTCGTTAGCACGTTTCTCGCTGGACACGAAAACCCCCAGCTGGCACTGATGTCTCTGATGTACCTTTTGGGCACACACACGCAGGTCCAAGACGCCGTCCGCAAGGAGATATCTTCTCTCTTTCCCGCCAACGCGTCCCCAGACTACGAGCCCTCGTACACCGACATCCACGACCTCCCCCTACTCACATCGGTGCTATACGAGTCCCTGCGCATGTTCCCACCCATTTCACAGCTCATCAATCGCCGCACTACAACCCCCATTGTCCTGGGCAACACGGTGCCTATTCCCGCCGGCGTATACGTCGGCTACAACGCATACTCTACCAATCGCGACACAGAGTTCTGGGGCCCTGATGCCGAGGCCTTTAGGCCGGAGCGTTGGGGCACTACAAACGAGGATATTGGTAAATTGTACCGCCGTGCGAACTCCAAAAGCGCTTTTATCAGCTTTCATGGCGGAAGGAGAGCTTGCCTGGGACAGAAATTCGCCATGCAGCAGTTGAGAATCACGCTGGTGCAGTTGCTGAGGGATGTCAAGTGGAGGGTAGATGACGCGTGGGATGGTAGGATGACGCCCGCAGGGCCGCTATACCCCAGGGGCTTGAAGTTGAAGTTTGAGAGGGTGAATGGCCAAGTAGAAAACGCGTGAGATGATATGACATGTTATTTGCATAGCGCAAGGGGTATTTTTCCGGAGTTTGGGCTACATTATGGCTTGATTTTATGCTTTGTTTGTTATTTTTCTTCGCAACTCCACATTGGGAGTCCTAGGTACTCTTCTGCAATACCCGTTGTTCTGACATTGCTTGCAATGAGAAACGTCATAATCACATGAAAGTAAGCAAATGTTACCGTTACTACAGCTCGTTATGTCGAGGCGCATTTTTACCGCCTGCTCTGGCCCCAATAGGACAGCCAAGCAACAATCTGACGTGGGGTCCAGAACAACTGGATAGCTAAAGAGAGGCGGCGGGGCGGCCCTTCAGCAAACAAGGGTATGGACCAGGCGGCATGTACGACGTACAACGCTGACCCGCTTTTGCTACAACGGTAGTACCTCGTCTTAAACACATCACGATATGTCGATGACACCAAGAAACCTAATGAGTCACATCCGCCCCGTTGTGAATCCTCCAAGGCGGCCCAGCACTGTGGAGACCAGCGATAAGTTTAGTCGAGTTTCCAAGAAAGAAGTGGAGATTACGGTAAGTAAAGCTCAATTTCGGCTCAAGGATGTGCCAGAAAAACGGTTTTCTTGCGCTTGTATACACACTCAAATCCGACTTCAGGCCCCCTCCATGTAGCACGTGACTTGCTTACGATGGATTCCCCCGAGACTATGCCCAATGCGATTGTGCAAGTTGAGACGACAACAACAACAAAACATGGAAGCTGGGGCATGGCTGCTGCTCTTGAGAATAGGTTCCCATGGAATACATGCATTTCTTTTTGGCCCCACAGAATACTTGGATTTCCCCTGGTGATGTGGTCGAGTTTGCTAGGGAAGATAGCGTCCTTTGGGTGGCCCAAGAGACGTCGGCGATTGGATTTCGCCGAATCAAAAACATCCATGGCAGCTGCTTAGGCTGTTGATAATACCAGCTGTTATGCGCTAGCCAGCTATGCCTGGATTATATGAGCGGGGGAGAAGACTGGATCCAAGTGCAAGTTCCGTACCACTCCGCCGTTAGTAAAAGAAAAACCCAGCATATCAGACGGAAGAAATCCGCCAGTGCCTGCTCCCCGTGAAAACAAATTTCTGTGCTACATCTTGGGCCAGATCATGGGATGCATGAGCCACGTTTTGAATGACACGTAGAGTTTGCGACTGTTGCGCCCGCCTCTCGCTCTTGAGAGGACGATTGCAGTGGCTAGAACCAGAGTGACGCTTATAGTCTGCAAGCTTCTCTCCTGGCCAGCGAGTAAGAACAGTAGCTAGAGAATAGCGATTGTTGGGCGTTCAATGCAGAGCAAGATTCTCCGTGATTGGACCATGCGAGTTGTTCAGCTGCTACCGATTAGCAGCGTGGTGCGTGTAACTCGCTGCACTACTTTGCTGCACGCTGCACGCCTATCAAGACAAGCGAATGTGGCCGTGGTCTAATGCCGCCTCCCGCGCCGGTGAATTATCCATCCCGTGTTGTGTTGTGTTGTGAGGATATTTTCGATTGTGTTAAAACCCGACCCATATGCTTGCGCCACGTTGCTTTGGAAAAGGCCGTCGCACGTTGCCTTCCCTGGCTTCTGTCCATGTGGTTGACTACCCATCCTGGAGTTTATAGAGGCGCAGTATATGTGTGCATAGTCGTCGTTTGGGTGCATATGGGCGCTAGGCAATTCAGCCTCACGCTTACCCCAGCTCCTGCGATCGGCTGTGTAAGACGGGCGCTAAGTAGCAAAATAGACCGGTTTTGCTAGTGTCGAAGTGGTGAATACGCCCTTGACTCGGGACAAAGCAAAGCCAACAACACCCTGCACAGCCAGCCGTTCTTTCACGCTTCAGATCCACCCAACGAACGTGGCAAGGGGTTGCATGTCTGCTAGACAGCAAAATGTCACCAGTAATACCGAGTGTGAGGATACGCCCACAGCCCTCATAGTGTAAACTCTGGTAAGTAGGCGTCATCACTCCCGTTCACGAAAGCATATGCAGACCGCGCCCGTGTAAACATCATCACCAACACCAACACTGACACCAGCAGCGCAATTCCTGGTAGAAGACTTGGACACGTGATGTTCGGGGGCTGAAACTAAGGGCCGCCAAGTCATGCACCCAAGCATTCCTTTGGTGGGAGCTGACCACAGCCGAGACGAAAATACCTCCTTTGTACCAAGCTGTCTTCCTCAAGCGAGCAGCCTGAAAGCGGGGCTATGCTGTAGGACCATTCCGGGCACAGCAAATGCGCCCAGAGTAGGGCGTCAGGGATCCCAGTGCTGCGTAGCGCACAGTCGACATGTAGGCTTTCCCGAGTTCGGGGCTATGCTGGTGGTGTTGGCCAGACATATCAGTGTCTGCATGCTTCCATCCTGGGACAACACACTTCATACTGTCCAAGACGCATTGTTGTTTTTTCCTTCACCATGCGCTCGCCAATCGATTTTGAAAAGGACCATTCGTACGACCGATGCCGTGACAGTGTCGACAGCTATGACTATCCTTCACCACATGACAACGAGGAAGCACCCGAATCATTCGCAGATGATACCCCTCTCGCACCCGCCCCACCGCCGTACTCGGCCTTTTCGATTAACCGCAGACGCTTCATCTTAGCTGTCGTTACGGCAGCCGGCTTCTTTGGACCACTTTGCGGAGCAGTCTACTTGCCTTCGCTCAAACTGTTCCAGACAATTTTCAAGACTTCCGAGGCCGCAGTAAATGGAACCGTCTCCATGTACATGATCGTGTTTGCCATTGCAGTGCGTAATCCAATATAATAGCTGCAACCCTTGCTAATGTCCAATAGCCTCTCTTTGGTGCGGCAGCCTCGGATATCGGTGGCAGGAAGACGGTATACATGGTTGGTCTCGGAAGCTTTCTCGTCGCCAACACATTGCTTGCTACACTTCCTGCTCATATCGCGCTTCTCTACTTTCTTCGCATCTTCCAAGCCTTCGGGTCATGCATCGTATTCTCTGTTGGAGCTGGAACAGTAGCCGACATCACGGAGCCTGCCAGTCGCGCATCGGCTTTGGCCTGGTTTCTCATGGGACCTCAGCTTGGGCCTATCCTAGGACCTCTAATCGGTGGTCAGTTTGCGACCGAGACACGGTGGAGATGGGTTTTTGGCTTTCTCTCAATCAGTAGCCTCCCGGTATACCTCGCCATTGTCTTCTGCATGCCCGAAACATTGCGGTCGCTCGTCGGAAATGGTGCTTCTCTTGCCAAACAACCCTGGGTGTCGATACCAAGATTCCGGACCAAGCCTTGTACAGATGCGAATGTTCCCAAAGCTCCTCGACCGTCATTCCGGAAGTTCATGCACCTTCTCAAGTACCCACCTCACTTGATCGTCTCTTTCAACGGAGCCTTGCAATTTGCTGGTTTGTACGGCATGTACGTTTCATTCCCTACCATCTGGTCAGAGGGATACAAGTGGACCACCGCCGAAGTTGGTTATGCCTTTCTCTGCCCTGGAATCTCCATGTTTGTAGCCTCAATCATTGTCGGTCGGCTGTCTGATTACATGCGAAAGAAGGCGATTGCCAACAGTTCAGACGGAAAAGTGGCACCAGAGCGACGAATTGCCATTCAGATCCCGGGATTTGTCATAGCAGCCGCGGGAAAGATAATGTTTGGATGGTTCACTCAGAATCGTGTGCACCCAGCTGCGGGCCTCTTCGGCTCGGCTCTCGCCGCGGTCGGTGTCTCCGTGGTTTTCGTTACGAGCACCTCCTTCCAGACAGAATGTGACCCCGCTCAGACGGCCAGCTTGGTGGCACTGGGAGGTTTTCTCCGGAACGTGGCTGCTGCGATTTGCGCAGTCATCATGGGCGGCATCCTACGTGGAATGGGCTGGGGCTGGGCGTTTACGGGTCTTGGAATCATGGATCTCCTCTGCATACCAGGCGTGTTGTTGATTTTAGTTCGTGGGGCAAAGTTCCGTGAAGCTTTGAAGCGTGGACAGCCATAGGGACGAAAAGCTAATACAGAAACCGAGATTACCGCTTCTTTCTCGGTGGATATTAGTAAGACTGTTTCTTTGCATAGCGAGGCATTGGTGGGTATTCAGTCGGCTACTTCTACAGAATGATAATATACGAACCTGTTATTCAATACCCATGGCACTGTTGCCACGCTTGGTCTGCTGGTTATCCATACTTCATCTAGGCGCAGCAATTGATCATAACGTTGCCACCCACACTCGCAGAGTGGTGAATAGCGTTCCAGCAGGCGACACCACTGCCACTGCATCCGCATAGACTTGAAAGCGGTGGGTAAGGGAGCGGGTACACACCCCGCCTAAATCCCGGAACTCCGGAACTTCCGAGTCCCCTGGCAAGGCCGGCTATGGTAAACTTCATCCATCCCATTTGTCAGCAGCGCTCACTGTCGCTTTTTCATTCCGCTGAATATAAAGGGAGGCTTCACTCGAAGCGATGATATCACCCAAGTAGCGGTATCCATCTCACACACAATCTCATCGTGGCGTTCCGAGCAAGTCTACGCAGCATGACGAACTTCCAGATCAACGTTGTCATCGACACCGTGTGTCGTAAGTCTTGGCGATATACCCTGCATGTCCCATACTGATAATGTCTGTTGCAGCATGGTGCTATGTGGGCAAAAAGCGCTTGGAGAAGGGAATTGCGGCCTACAAGGAGAAATACCCTGACTCCAACGACACCTTCTCCACCTCATGGTTTCCCTTCTACCTCAACCCGGATGCGCCAAAGAGCGCAGACAAGCAGCAATTGTACGAGTCCAAGTTTGGCAAAGAACGCACAGCAATGATGCAGGTGCGCATGTCAGAGCTTGGCAAGGCTGAAGGTATTAATTTCAAATACGGCGGCAAAACGGGAAACACACGCGACTCTCATCGTCTTCTCCAGCTGGGCAAAACAAAGGGCCCTTTGGTCCAGACGCGTATAATCGAAGAGCTCTTTGCCGCGTATTTTGAGAATGAAAAGGACATTACGAGCCGAGATGTCTTGACCGAGGCTGGTGTCAGGGCTGGACTTGACAAGAAGGAGGTCAAGGAGTGGCTGAAGTCAGACCAGGGTGGACCCGAAGTGGACAGGGAGGTCGTGCAGGCCAGACAGCAGCACATCACTGGCGTTCCCAACTTTACCATCAACGACAAGTACGAAATAGGAGGCGCGCAGGAACCAGCTGCTTTTGTTCAGATTTTCGAGCGTTTGAAGAAGCAGGAAGGCAGTCTGTGAGCAAAGACTACTTGGTCTGTATCCTAAACAAATCCATGTAATCACATGCAAGTCTGGACATCTTACGATTTCGGTTGTGCCGCATGGATATCCTGTGTGTTGGTATACACAAAGAAACGTACATGTTGGATTACAAGCAATGTGAAGCCCAACTGCAGGACGTACCTGTGCCGCCGTCGCCGTCGCTAATCCAACATCCCAAGTTCAGGCAAGCAGTCATGCACATGTGCGGCATGGCAACCATCCCGCTTCAGGCAGATAGCCTCTTCTCACCTGGAAATCCACACACCCACCAAGCCCACGCAGACACACAGCTCTCAGCCGCTAATCTAAGACGAGATCTAGATTGCCAAGTGATGCGCATATCTCATCTCATCTCATCTCATCTCACACTGTGATGATAAGCACCCTTTCTGTTCGCATTCCCGATATCAGATCCTTTGGGGCTAATATTAGCTTCAGGTATTACGCCCTGTCCGCCAGCGCACTCTTTGTACAGGAGAGCTGCATACAATACCAACTCATTGCCCAGTGGTGGCTGAGATGATGACGATGTTAAATAGGAAAATGGGCCAGTTGACACTGTGAGAATGATTTGGAGGACCACCCCCCTACTTCAAGCCCTAGCATTGAACGCCCTTTGAGTGAGAGTTCAATATATTGAATGGAGTTGTCGTGTATAAATCGTGTTTCCTCAGTGAGTCTTGTCTCCTGGTACTTCAGGACTTACAACATGGCCTTACTTGCGATCTTTGCCTTGGGCGCCATTTTTCTCATCGGCCGAGCGCTCCTTGTACCGCCGTCGACATACCGGAAAGCCAGAGTTGAGTCCTTGGCTTATGAATCAGATTTCCCCACACCAGGAGGCCTTGGTGCCTTTGCTGCGTCCTGTTTCAAGATCATTGATTGGTTCCATGTCACTGCCTTGCACCAACAGTGCGACCCAGTTGCTTTCAAGAACAAGAAGATTGGCGAGATTGAATCACTGGCAGAGCGCCATGAAGTGGGGGAGATCTTGCATGATCTGATACAAAAGGATGGAGCAGGATCGTGGCCACCAAATGCCAATCATGACAATTCGACTTGGCCCGCAGCACTTCGAGCATACATGGATATATACTTGGAAATGGCGCCCCTTCTGCCTCAGGCGACGCCTTCTCTCGATGACGAGGTAAACGTGGCGCGTATTTCAGCGTTCCGGCTACGCTTTCAGGACTTGCTTCGTGAGAGGGTGGATGTGGTCGCAGTGACAAAGGTACGACTCATACGAAATATCACCAGTTGAAGCTAACATTCCCGACAGCTTCTGGTAGCAGTCAGCGCAGGCGGATGGGCTGAACTTCCTCGAGACGTATACAATGCGTTTTACTGTTGCATAGCATCAAGTCGACATGCCTACAGGTGGGCTACGATCCCAGTGGTAAAAGCAGCCCAGATAGAGAAGGCAGTCAATCTCCCCATCGAGCTGAGAGAGCCATGGACGCTGATGCAACAGCACTTTGGCTGTGCCTCAGAAGCTGGCAATAACAGTGCGTACCCTCAGTACCTCATGCACGACATGTGAATCCTGTACAAGCAAAAGACTAATCTATACTTCCAGCAAGCAACCTGGTTCTCAAGTTCGATACGAACGGCACCTACAACTATGAGATCAACAGTGGCATGGCAACCAATGTGCTTGCGGGCGAAGAGACTTTTGCACGCATCTTCTACGATGTAGAAGTCTTCGGTGTGCCTATTTACTGCGACATGGTGCACGCCATTGTCGCCTTCTCACGCAGCGACACAGCCGCCTGCGCCCAGCACGTCGCCAACATGACATCGCAGCTGCGGCTCGTCACAGGCAGCTACATGGAGAACATGCACGACAAGGTGATTGCGCAGTCCGTCTGGCTGTCCAAAATCCAGGGCTTCTACGGCTGGGGCATCGGGTACTTTGACGCCGACGAGAACGCGTGGGAGAAATTCGACGGGCTTAGCGGAAACCAGGTCTTGCTGTTCCAGGCGCTCGACGCCTTTCTGGGAATCGACCAGTACCTCTCTGCGAGGGACCAGGAGAGAAACGTACCCAGGAGACAAAGAGACCTGTGCCATGCGCTGAGGAAATACTCGTTTCGAGGCGTGCTGAGCGATGGAGGGGAAGATGAGAATGTGCACCGGATTCTACGTGATTTTGATGCGATTCTGAAGCGGCTGAGGGTACGTTGTTGGTCTGGTGCTACAGTGTATGAGGTTGCAATGTGCTAAAGCGAGCGTAACACAGTTATTCTGTGCGACTCATCGGACGCGGTCGAAGATATACCTCTCGCACCCTGCGCCTGAGAGACTGCCCATGACGGCTGGAAAGTCGTTGCTCGCTCCGGATATCGGCGAAAGCCTGGAATTTCTCGACACCTTCATGGAAAGGCGGTTGGCGCAGACGGTGTAGGGCTCCTGGTTTGCAAGGTAGATGTCCGAATGTGGATGCTTCGGAGTTGGGCGTGTCGGCGTGGGCATACTTACGGGGATATACACGCACATGTAGAGATGCAAGCGAGTGGTGTCTTGGATGAACTTGCCAGACGACGAAAGCCCATCATGAAGCCAATGTATATATTTCTGGTGAGGAATCCAAGTTGACATTTCCATTGCATGTCGGCGATCGACGCTCGTGTATCCGCACATGGACAAATGCGCCCCAACTTGATCATACCATTTTCCCCATGTCCCTTCTCCGACGCTAAGACGGACGCCCAGCCTCCGCGACCAAAACAGCTACCTTCTACCCGCCTTGTGTTGCTTCAGGAAGCCCTCCGGCACAGCCACTCCAACGTCTTTTGCCTCCGTACGACATGGCCATTATGGATTTGTTCCGGTAATTAGGGCGGCGGTTTCTCCGCACATGATGTCAGTCGTGCATGGTTGCTTTTTGTCTTAGACCCTTCCAATCAGGCGTCTGGGAGACCCATATATTTTCCCCAGGAAAAATGGCTCTTTGCTGCAAGGCCGCTCGAGTAGGTCGCTGGAAAGATTCTAGCTCTGCTTAGAGCTCATGGACGCTATTTACCGCCTCGATCCTATTCGTGGGGTATATCATGTCAAGGCCATGAGGGACTACTTGGTTGGCGTGGTACTGGCCGGCCGCCGGCATGCGTGCTAGATGGATGGCGGCGGGCCGGATCCGCTGGAAGTGTGTATTATATATAAGCTCCAACCGACGTCTGTCCAACATGCTTGGTCAATCTTGGTTTCTTGTTTGTGGCTTGTCACGATGAGAACCTCTTTGCAGTTGCTTTTGGCCTCGCTGGCTGTGGGGTCGGCTCTACCAAGAAGTTACCATGGTTCCAACGAGAGCGTCATCGCTGACGATGACTTTGTTTTTGTTAATGGGACAAGGCTGTATAATAAAGATGGAATGTACTATCTCACGGGTAAGATGATTATTTTCACGACACAAACTTGAAGATTAACAATGCTTCAGGAATGAACTACTGGGCATGTATGAATCTTGCTGCAAGCGACTCGGTAGGCGGAAACTACGCTCGCCTTGTAACGGAGCTGGATCAGATGGCTGAGCGTGGAATAAACCATCTTCGTATCATGGCTTCGTCAGAAGGCGCACCGACACCGCAGCCTTTTAGGATGACACCCGCTCTACAGCAAGCCCCTGGCGAGTACAACGAGGAAATCTTCAAAGGTCTCGACATTTGCCTTGCTGAAATGTCAAAACGTGGTATGCGCGCTACCATGACCCTCAACAACGAGTGGCAGTGGAGCGGTGGCTTTGCCCAATACGTGTCGTGGGCAACCAACAACACCAAAATCCCGTATCCCCCAAGCTGGAATCTGACAGCGCCGCCTCAGCGCGAGACGCCCGGCACAGGATGGGGAAACTACACCGTACAAGGCGTTGATGCGGCTTCGTACAACGAGTTCACCGCATACGCCAACCTGATTTACAACAACACGCAAGCAGAGCAATGGTACAAAGACCACATCAAAACTGTCATGAGCCGGCGCAACACCGTCACGGGACGTCTTTACACCGAAGACCCGACCATCATGACATGGCAGCTGGCCAATGAACCCCAGCCGTCTGATCAAGTAGGATTCACGGGTCCCTACAATATTTTCCTCAAGCCTAATCCAGACGATTTGCTGTTCCCGTGGGTAGACCGGATATCGCGCTACATCCACTCCATGTCAGCGCGGCAGCTCATCAGCGTGGGCCTCGAGTCCAAGCAAGGCGAGTACTACTTCAAGCGGGTGCACAACTTCTCCACCGTCTCGTACGCCACGACGCACTGCTGGGTGCAGAACTGGGGTGTCTACGACATGTACAACGCCAGCGAAGCCAACCTGGCGGCCTCGCAGAAGTTCGCGTCCGACTTTGTCAAGAACTCGAGTGCGTGGGCCACCGACATTGGCAAGCCCGTGTTCCTCGAGGAATTCGGCATGGCCCGCGACAACTGGGAGAACAAGGATAAGGAGTACCCTTATTTGAGCAGCGCGAGCACTACGCACAAGGATCAGTACTTTGACACGATTATCGGGGCCGTCATGCAGGATTTCATGAATCATGGCCCGTATATTGGGACTTGTCCGTGGGCGTATGGTGGTATTTATCGCCCGGAGACGCAGCATGCGGATGAGTTTGGCATGGTGTGGGCGGGTGACCCGCCACATGAGAGTCCGGGGTGGTATGACCTTTATGACGATGACATTGCCATGGATATTGTGGAGAAACAGCACCGGGTTATTGAGGCGTGGATTGCCGAGAATGGGGACGATGACTGTGATTGAGGTTGAACGGTAGTCAGTAGATTGATTACTTGGAGAAGTGCATCTGAAGACGAGTTTGACTTGGTGGTGAAAGAAAAGCAAAGGAACAACGGCCATGTCGGTTTTGAACATTTGCGGTCGCATTCATGCCATTCATAGTTTGGTGCAGCCTGTGCATGCAGTGCAAATGCACTCAACGGCGACGCTATACAAGTCGAATTCAGTGGTATTGTACACGCTCGGTATTTCTTACAAGAACCGTGCGGGCGAGCTCTTCTTCAGCACCAATGGATGCCTGTGCACGCTGGGCATCAGACCCAGGCCGACGGCCCTCCGTATGGCCTTGGCAATCTTGCGCTGGTTCTTTGGCCGCAGTCCGGTGTCCTTTGAGTGCTTGATGCGCCCCATTTCGGTCATGTACTCGGACATGATGGTGAAGTTCTGCCGGCGCCGTTAGCCGTCGTCAACCTGCCGCGTGCATTCCCTCCGCACCTTGTATTCCATAACAGGATTGACGCCTAAGACATCAAAAGCATCCTCCTGCGGCTTCTTGCGTCCCTGCTTCCACTTCTTCTGCTCCGTCCCGCTCAGATCGTGCGGCGCATACACATCGCCGGGCTGCCATCTGCGGAAAACCTGTCGCTGGTACTGCGCGAGTCGCTCTGACTCGGCGAGCTCGCGGGATGGGGTCGAGGATGCGCGATCGAGGCCTACACTGCGGACGAAGCGTGAGGCTGCGGATTCGTTGGCGCGCGGCTGGCTGGCGGCGGGGGCATTGGCGGGGTGGCGGGCGGCAGTGCTGTTTGCGAGGATATCCAGGACATCCTCTGGAGCTATCGTGTTAGAGAGGGGCGGTGGTGAGGAATCGACAGAGGCACAAGAATGGGAATTGGCTGCGCACCTTGCTTCTTCGCGCCCGACGAGAAGCACCGGATGCATGTCGCGCGTGCAGAAAGCGCGGGCCGGATGGGCAGCCGCATCAGAGACATGTTGGCGGGGCGCTCTCTTTTCACTGTCGCTGTCGCTGTCGCTGCCAAGTGACTTTTCGATATGCGGCGGCGTCGGCGGCCGGAGGTTGATTAGGTGCGTGCCTGCTTTCTTAGTTAGCGCCATATCATTTCACCAGGCCAGGACCTGCCGCCGCGCTCCCCTCCCCATTCGCCTCCCCCCGCAGTCTGCGCCCGCCCTGTCGCCCCGTCTTCTTCGTGTATATATCGTTTCTGCGCCCTGTTCCGCCCCATGGAGACTGCATTCCCGTAGATAATCTGCGTCTCCTGCACGCCAATTGCTCTTTCGGCGACGTCACGGCTACTACCGCCACCATGCCCTCACACTTGACCCGCGTCGTCTTTCGCAACCTCATCGCCAACGAGCCTCTCTTGTACCGCGGATGTCGCCATCGAGCCATTCACCCGCGCGCACTCAGCCAGCATGGCACCCGGCCCCTCACCCACACGCAGCGTCGCACATTCTTCGGCAACCTCTTCAAGCAGCAGCGCAAGCTGAAGCCTGCCGAGACCCCCGCCGGACTCGAGAAGATGACCGAGGTGACATACGCAAAAGACAATGCCCTCAGACCCCCCCAGCCATCCGAAGTCGCCCAAGCCATCAAGGACTTTTTTGCCCTGCGAAAGGGAAAATTTGAAGACTTCCACGTAGCGAGCGCCTACCAGGCACTTCACTATCTGCAGGAGAACCCCAAGGACGACGGACAGGCCTGGCTCACCAGAAGAGAGCTAGACACTATTTTGGACGAGTTGATGGTAGCCCCAAGACGACCAGACGTGGTTGGCAAGTGGCATATCCCATTCGGCCTAATGCTCATTGACGAGCTTGCAAAATCAAGCAGTGAACACCAGGCCCAAGATGGAAACGAAAGCACCAAGGAATCCGATGCAGCATTCGACATGTACCTAAAATCAAAGCAGATTCAGCTATTGTCCCTCTTTGGTGCTGCTGCTGAGGCCAGGCAAATCGCCCTCGCCTTCTCCTTCGACCCCAAAGCAACCGCTGCTCAACAAAAGGCTTGCACAAGCGCATGGAAGACTGTGCTTGCAGGCGTTGTCAAGGAAGGTAACCCGGCTGAAGTACAGAAAACGATAGAAATGCTAGAGGCCTGTTCGGTTCCCCTGACGGTGCAAATACAATCGTCACTAGTCTCATTCTATGCCGAGAAGGGCGACGTGGAAAGTGCCAAGTTTTGGTATACAAAGCCAGTTTTCAACAAGTTCGGAAGACCCGCGACGATCCCCGGGAAGACAAGCTCTGTGTTGTTCAAGGCTTGCGCCGCCACCAACGATCTAGCTTTTGGTCACCAGATGGTTGCCAATCTGCTCAAAGGTGAAATGCCTAGCAAGGAATCGTGGGACGCCATCTTTCTGTGGTCGGTCGCTATCGGCAAGGGGCCCGACGAGGTCAATCGCATGATCGATGTACTCATTCGCCGCAACGATCAGGCGCGTCAAAAAAACCCCAAAATCCCTGTCATCCGACCAGACATTGATACCATCAACACCTTGGTAGAATACTGCATGTCGCAATCAGACCCCTACTCTGCTGAGCGTTACATCGTTTTGGGTGAGCATCGTGGTATCATCCCAGACGAAACAACCTACACAATGCAGATTACATACCGCATTTCGGTTGGAGATCTCGATGGAGCTAGGGCTGCCTACTTCAACCTTCAGGGCTGCTTCTCAGGCAGCGATCGCAGTGTCGCGGCCATCAATCAACTAATACTAGCTCTCTGTGGATCCAAGCAGCACTACTTTGACGAGTTGATGGCCATGGTAGATGATCTACATGAGCGCAAGGCCAACTTTACTCCCGAAACCGTCGCCGCACTTACCCTCTTGCATCTTCGGAGGGGCGAGATCCCGGATGCCATGGACCTTTTGCAAGTGCATGCGCATCAATACGCACCAGTTCAGCGAAAGATTATCCAAAAGGCTCTTTCTGTATTCATACTGGATGGCGAAACCAGCACAGCAGATGCTTGGGATGGCTACCAAATTATACGCAACGTCTTTCCCGAAACGCCCCGTGAAGACCGGATACCCATCATGCGCAACTTCTTCGCCAGGAACCGGTCGGACATGGCTTGTCACGTCTTCTTCCACATGCGCAACCATATTAGCCCAACCCATACTGCCACAAAAGAGGTTTATGTCGAGGCCTTTACCGGTTTCGCTCGGTGCGCTGATGCCGAGTCTCTAGAGTTGACACATAACCAGCTGAAGCTGGACCTCAGTGTGGACATGGACACGAAGCTGCGCAATTCTTTGATGCTTGCCTACGCTGCCACTGGTGAGAACAGGAAGGCGCTCATGTTCTGGAGGGATATTTGCGAGTCAAGGGAAGGCCCTTCGTACAACAGCATACTCATAGCCTTCAGAGCCTGCGAGGGTATGCATTTTGGATCTGACCATGCCAGATCCATCTGGGCACGCCTGAAACAGCAGGATATTGACATTGACAAGCCCATCTGGACAGCTTACATGTCAGCCATTGCAAGAAACCACAATCATGACGAGGCCATGGCTCTTATAGAGACGGTGGAGGACGAGTATGGCTTCACTCTAGATTTGCAAATGTATGTCTCCTTTGATGGACCATTCTTTCTATCAGCATGCTAACAGGGCCCAGCCTAGGTAGTTGGTTCAACTGTACTGCGAATGGCGAGAAGCAACAACGCGTCGAAGCATGGATCAAGAAACGATACCCTGAAATCTGGGATGAAATGGAAGCATTGGGCCATTGGGTTACAATGGATGGGTTCGGATATCGACAGTACAACATTAACCGCGACCTTGATCCATAGATGATGTATAATAGTAAGATCAGAATTCGGAGGTCATAAACCCGCAACCTTTCATATTTCCGTTGCTGAACGGGTGGGCAGTGTTTGGTATCTACTGTTTTGCAAGTGACTTTTTACTGCTGCGAAGACTCGACCAGAGCTGAGTGAGCCCGCGCTATACACAAATAACGTAATACTCTCACCTCTAGCTGGTGATTTGATTGCCAAGAGTAGCAAACAGTGAACGCGCGCGGGCTCTACTGCTGCCTTCACCATCACACCCGCCACCCACCCACTCAGTATATAACGCGAACCGCCCTCGCCAACTTTGCTCTTTCCTTCCACCTCAGCAACTACAACCTGAACCTAAGTCTCACTTCAAACCTATTGCCGACACCAATTGCATCACAGACAACCGATACAAGGCAAGTGACTTGATTTCCACTCGATTTCGAAATAGCTAATACCTGGGCAGTAGCCGTCATGCGAGTCACCCACCTCATGTACGGCCTCCTCGGCCTGGCCAGCTTCACTCAAGCCGTACCATTCCCCGAGTCTGACTCTCCGACGTCTCTCTCCGCCGAAGTCAAGGCCAGCCAGGATGCTCCACACACTGTCGAGGCTCCGATTGCCACTCTCGAGTCCAGCGACACCAACAACGCGCCTGCCCTCGGCGACTTGGACACGGCCTCCAGCATCGCCCCAGGCCCGCCCTTGGTCAAGATCTTCCCCAAACACCACAATGGATACTACGCGTACCTCACCGAAGCGCACTTTGGCCTCTGCCTCACGCTCCCCTCCCACGTCAAGCACGACGTATCCTTTGTCCTCAAGGACAGGGGCATCGAGTGCACCTTCTACAACAGGTTCTGCGAGGACTTTGATCACGTCACCACGCTGGAAGAGTTCTCGGCCTACTTTCTCCTCGATGACGATGTGGGTGCGCTCGCGGGCAACGTCCGCTGCAAGAAGGTGCCTCATATGCCGGTTCCGCCGCGCCGGCGCTCCGTCCCAGGTGAACAAGACTCGGGTCGTCAAGGAGAAGCGCAGAAGCAGTATGCTCTTCCCGCAGATGTGCACGTCTCGCGCATCGAGTCCACCACAGTCTCGGCACTCATTCCCGCTCCGCCCGCGCGCCTCAACCCCGGCGACGTGTACGTGTGCGCGAACATCAAATCACCCGGATGTGCGCTCATTGCCGCGCGCAACATGTGCGTATCGTTTGGCTCGAGGTTGGCGTACAAGGCGGCCGAGATCCAGCAGGCCGGTGGCTCCTTTTGCAAGTACTACACCAAGCCTGGCTGCGCGGATGCAGACGAGTACTTTCGGTATACGACGCCGCCGCGCAACGATGAGATTGTGAGTGGATGGGGAGTCGCCAAGATGGCGGCTGTGTCGTGCTTTGCCATGGGCATTGATGGGGATGTGCGCGAGGGATGAGTGATGCGTGGATATGGATACCGTGGATAGTCTGATGGACTTTCTCTACAGACTCATCTGACTCGTCTCAAGCAATCCCCCAGACAGCCTTGGAGCAAAGTAACATACCACAAGGCCTCTGAGTAGTAGTAGTAGTAGTAGTTCACTCTGGTACTGGCACAAAATGGGAAAATGAAATCTTCAATTACAATCACAATCACAAGCTCATTCATCCTCGTTACTTCTTTGTCTTGCTCGTGAAGAAAAAAAAATAAGTCACAATGAAAATACAGCAACATGCATTGCATCCATGCATACACATACATGCTTGATGATGATATACTACTCGATTTCATTATTTACTATTCCACATCTACACATTTCGTATACCGGCATCCATCCAGCCAGCCAGCCAGCCAGCCAGTTAGCCACCTACTCTGCATAAACCATTCTTCGCATCCCATGTAATTATCCATAATTAAGTATGTCTGTATGTAGTAGTAGTAGTAGTAGTAGTAGTAGTAGTAGTAGTAGTAGTACGTTTTGTCACCCCGCCAAGGCAATGCTTTGCGTTAGGGATTTGGGTTATCGTAGGGGACATGTCAAAAAAAAAACGAGAAAATGGGTTGATGAGAAAGTGGGGGGAAAAAAAACAGGGCTCAACAACTTTGGCTGGAAAATGAACTCCAAAGAGAGAGAGAGAGAGGAAAGAAACCAAAAAAAGGGGGGGGGAATCGTCGAGGGAACCAGAAAGGGAAAAAAAGGGGGGGGGGAATCGTCGAGGGAACCAGAAAGGGAAAAAAAGGGGGGGGGAGAGTAAGTACAAGGAGAGAGATGGACAAATCCACGTCGTATCACCCTTGCAATCCCCGTTAATCCCGATTGATAACCCTCAGACTTCTCCTCGGATTCAGCAGCACACCTTTTGCGCCCCAGAAACACGGCTCCTGTCCGTTCAACAGACTATCGACAACGCTGCCCTCGCTATTTCTTCGGCCCCACGTTTCGCCTGGTCCGCCATACGCCGTGGTGCCGTTTTCCCTCGCAATGTCAAACGAGCCGCCGCTTGGGCCACCCTGGCTGCTTCCACCGACTGTGCCAGGTGTGCGTTCCGAACTCAGTTTTCCCGACGAAGAGGCATATGTGCCGTTTTTCTCGGCAGCGGCGTTGGCGCGTTTTTGCTGCACGGCGGCGTGTTCCTTCCAGATTTTGACTTGGCGGCGGTAGATCCAGGCGCAAAAGGCAAAGTAGGCGGCTATAACAAAGAAGACGCCGGCAATGACGCCTGCAATAATGGCACCAATGTTGGGGCCGTCATTACCTCCAGAAGGGTTTCCGTAGAGTACGTTGGTGATGGTTGCGCCGTCCGGGCCGGTCACGGTGTAGGTTTGCGGTTTGCCGGTTGCGAGGGGGCCTTGTGTGGCTGTTTGTTGAGGTGCAGTCAGCGTTGCGCCGCCGGTCGGTCCACCTCCGATGACTTTGCGTACGGGCTCAGGGACTGCGTAGCCGTATGAACCTTGTACACCGGCGTCGACGCCGTATCCTCGTTGGTTGATCTGCTGGGCGAGTGGGTTACCGGTGCTGCCCTTGTCATCCTTGTTGTATCTCTGCAGCGCGTTCTTTGCTGTCACGGCGGTGAACTGGTTGCTCCAGCTGAGACTGCTCATGTTGAAGACGTAGATGCCGGGCGTGTCGCAGCCGAGGTCGGTATTGTAGCCGCCCAGAACAATCATTTGTGCGTCCCAAGCCTGGCAAAGATGTCCGGCACGGGGAGGAGGAATACTCGCCTTTGCGGTACCCTGGTCAACTTCGATCCAAGTGAAAGACGGGACAGACAGAATCCACATATCGTTTCGCTGCGTCTGGTTGCCGGCTGGTGTTAGGTCCTGACCGGCGAACATGTAGATGTTGTAAGACGAGCCGCTAAAATTTGCATTAGATTGGGATGAAAGTATAATGGCGCAGCCGGTCAACTCACTCGGCAGCGGCTGCAACAACAGTACAGGGATTAACGCGGTATTCAGGCGTGTTGCCTGCAGTGCTCTGCTTGTACCATGTCGATGTCGCGATGTCGTAGACGTCGATGGTGTTCATTTGCGTCTGCTATGGTCAGAATTCTGATCAAGCATGTGTGAATCGAACTTACAAAAGTAGCATTGTCACCACCGGTGAGACCAATCAACAAGCCTTCCTTGCCAAAGCCAGGGACGTACACGAGAGCACTATCCGCGCGCTGAGGAAACGAGGCTGTATTTTGGAGTCCACCGTAGGTGATGTTGCGGTACACACCGTCCGAGCCAGCCGTTTTTCCGTTGCCCAAAGATTCAACATTGTCGTTGGTGCGGCCAGGAAAGGTGAATTCCAACAAGCTCTTCAAGTAGACTCTTGCAATTTGGTTGCTCCAGTTTTCAGTCGTGAGAAAATCCAGGTGGCCAGCAAAGTAGAAGCCTCTGCCCAGCGTGCTCACAGTCAAACCAGCACCCTCAGCAACGCGCTGTACCGACTGTCCACCGCTCTCCGATTCAGTTCCAGAAGAAGTCTTCGGGTCTGGATGTTCGATCCACTGTTTACTTCCAATGTTGTATTCCCAAACCGAATTGTTTCCTGCTTTGACGATGGGACTGTCTGAAAACTGACCGCCATAAAGCCATAGCGAGTCAGGAGATGCCCAAAGCTGGCCAAGCGACACAGCAGGCGGGCCGACGGGCTTGGGAAGACCAGTAAGAGCGGGCGAACTAATCTGCCAGGACTGAGTAAGGTCGAGAGTGAGGAAGTCGTTATCTGTTTCCAGTTAGTGCTGTAGATACACAAAAAGCATGGTGAAAAAAGAACTCACTCCACGTGTTTTGCGTCTGCTGAGCCTCGGTAGTCCTGCGGAAGCCGTACATGTACAGTGTACCGTTCACGACTGCGCTCTGACCACTCCATCGCCTACATGCGTCGGTAGGACTATCCTCGCGTCTGACGAGAACCGAGTTCTCAGGGCTGGCTTCAATCGAGTTGGCTGGGATCATGCCACCTATTACACCAACGCGTTTGAGCGGGTTGAGCTGCATGATTGGCAGCATCAGAGCCAGCAACAGACTCAGCAGTCCCAGGCGATAGATCTTTGTGGGAATAAAGGTTTGCGTAGCAGAGGTCGTCATGGACGGCAGCGAGTCGTTTGTTTCGTCTTCGTCATATACCGACTCCCATTCATCCTCATCGTCGCTTAATTTTTCTCCTCTTTCGTCAAAGATGCTGTTGTGGCTTCGGAACCTCAACACCTTGGCAGGCCGCAACTTGCGCAATGCCTCGCCATGTGCGCGCACCGGACTGCGCTCTTCTTGAATTTTGCTCTCATCCATCAGCCCAACCTCTGCAAATACCGACATGCGGCGAGCCGGTGCATGGGGCGCGGGTTGTGGTCGGACTCGCTCCATGGCTCCCAATTTGTCGAAAGCGAGAACAATGCAGCAAGGCGGAATGCAGAAAACGGGCGGCCCAGGCGGTTACGAGTCGAGATGGATGGTATGTTGCTCCAGGTGTGTTGCTTGGCAGGTGCTGGAGTAAGTATACAGGCACAGGGGCGGCTAAATGGTCAGGGAAATGACGTGTTGGGCTGAGGAAGCAAGGCGCGCGGCGCTGGCCTTGATTTGGAGTGAAACGAGTGGGTTGACGAAAACGGCGGCGGCGTGGCGAGGAAGGTGCGGGCGCTGATTTGTCTGGGGAGAGTGTCGTCAAACAGCCGTAATGACAATCGGCACGAAGCGAGGGGAGCAGCAGCGCAAGCCGCCGTGTTAGCGAGAGGACAGAGTTGTAGCTGCAGGGGAGAATGAATAGAGGGCCGGGTCGCGATGAAATGTGGGGGAGCGGGCAGTAGTGGTAGCAGTAGTGGTAGTGGTGGCAGTGGTAGTGGCAGGATTGGTAGTAGAGGCAGCAGGACCAAGCCTCGTCGGCACCACCGCTCTTTGATCAGGTTTGGCTTCGCGGTTGGGCCACGAGCGGGGGCGTGTGTGCATATGTGTGTGTGTGTGTGTGTTGCTGACGGAGGGTTGCTGGGCCAGTAGCGGGCAGACAAGCACAAGGGCGGACAAGGGCACGTCATGGAGGGCGGGCGGGTGCTGCGGCCAAATCGGGCGTTCAACGGCATCGTCGGCGCCGCTTGGCTGGCTCGATAGCCTGACATGTGCCAAGCCGCGTCCACGTGAGCGCCCACGCAGGGAGCCTATCGCGGCCCATCACCACGAGTGAGTGAGGCTGGCAAGCCCTCTCTACGTACTTGCTGTACTGTTCCACAGCTCTCTCTCTTGTGCTGGTGCTCTCGACATCGCTATGCCGTGCCGTGCAAGACCCTCGGCCCGCTGTTCTGCGCTATTGCTATTGCTATGCTCATCACTGCATGCTGCTCCATTGCCGCATCCAGCTGATTACGTCATCCATGCTAGCCGCTAGCCTCTCTGCTTCCCTTTCCTTTCCGCTCCACCACCGCCAGGAGCACCCCGACCGCCCTCTCTCTATCTCTCACGCGCCCAACCCAGCCGCCCTCGCGCCGCAGATACATACCATACACCACACATTCCCATGTTCACGCTGATACCAGTACCGCTATCCCCGAAATTTTTTCAATCAAAAACAATAACGCCATGTAACTGCCTGTGCAGCCTTGCAGCACGTAGCCTGCGCTAGCTAACATGGTCGCAACAAGGGAGTGCGAGGGGGCGCGTGGGTGCACCCGCCGTTTCGTGACCCTGAAAATTGTTCCATTCTTAATTCTATTTTTGCCCTTTTTTTTTGGTCCGCTGCTAAGCCGCGACCGACGACGGCCACAGGAAAGAATTCCCGCGTGCTCCGTTGATCGTGGCTGTACACAATATAGACTACCCACCGGTGAGTACGTGTCGCGTGTCTAGAACACTGGAATGTGGCGAGCATCATGCGCACCAAATGCACCCCATCCCCAAGCCGCCTGCCGCCACTCGTGCTCGCACTCGCTTTGTCTTGTTTTGTGCACGCCTTGCCCTGCGCATGCGCCGCGTCTATCGAGTGGGTATTTTTATGGGGTGGTGAGATCTTGCCTGCCCTCGCACTAGCGACCCATACCTAGCCCCGCCCGCTGCGTATTGCCTTCGTATACACCCTCACCAGGCGCCAAGAAAATTTAGGTTGGAAGACGGGTCACCCGATACGAAAAAGCCCTTGTCCGTATGCTTTGCTATGCTTGATTCGACCCTGATCGGCTTATCCGCTCTCTCGGCACACGCACTACCCCAGAGCATCCCCAAATCCTATCCACTCCAAGCTTTGCAACCACGACGCTGTGCCCCTTCGTCAAACATCCACTCCTACGCCGCTCCGTAGTGGTCTTCAAGCTCGTCCCCATGCTCTTCGCTGATAAAGTCCATAACATCATCCACGGTACCGGGAAAGTCGTCGCTATCCACCTCTCTGCCATTGTCGCGAAGAAGTTGAATCAACCCATGCAGCGCTGACTCGAGAGTTTGTCGCGACCATGGGTACCCCTGATCTTTCCGAACATCCTCCCAGTCAATGTCTTCCTCGTAGTCGTCCCTCCGATCTTGCAGCTTGAAGATCAGATCGTACTTGTCGCCCCAGAGCATTTGATCAACGCCTGGCGCCACCAACTTATCCGACACGCCATTCTGTTCAAGTGATGGTGTCGCCGGCATAGCAGAAGCCTGCTTCTCCACTTCGACAGATCCCCGGTCCTCCGCTTCGGCAGACTCCTGCTCACTGTCTTGGGCAGCCTCACTGCCACCCTCTTGTACCATGTCCTCGCTTTCTTCTCGTGATTCGTCGTCTTCTACTTGATCGTCCTGCGCTTGCTCTTCTCGCTCATCTCCACCTTGTTCCTCCTGCAGCTGCTCATCCTGTTCTAGGCCATCTTCGTCTTCATCCTGCTGAGCCCCATCTTCTTGGTCCTCAAGCCCCTCTTCTACCACCTGCCTCTCCGATTCTCCACCCTCCCCGCGCTTGTCTGTTTCCTCACTCTTCTTTTTCCGACCTCGTTCCTTCTTCTTCTTCTTTTGAGATGACGGGACGCTGGTCTCATCGTTGCCATGATCTTGCTCTAGCTCACCATTTTCCATCTCATCCTCTTCCCTACTCGACCTGCGACGCTTCTTGGGCTTGTCAGCTTCCGAGTTTTCGCTTTTCCGCGCCCGTCCACGTTTCTTCGGCGGTGGTGAATGAGCTAGCTCGTGGTCGTCAAGTGCCTCCTCTAGATCCGGGCTCTGAAGCTGATCCGTCGAGCTCTTTGATTTGCGAGATTTTTTGCTTGCTGTAACACTCGCTTCGGGTTCAGGCTCGTCTTCGACCTCCTTCTCGCGCTCGACTGGCCCTTCCTCATCTGAATTCTCAATCCACTCCTGTGACTTGTGCGTGTTTTGAGGGCCTCCAGATCCCTTTCCATTCCGGGCATTCTTCTTTCGACCTCGCCCAGCTTTCTTATCAGTGGCTTCGTCGCTCTGTTTAGACTGTACACCTGACGCTCTGGGCCTGTGTTCTATCTGGATCACAGGTGGATTTTCGCGCTTCTGCAATCGCGCCCATTTGACTGAAGCCTGAATGCGACTACGTGAGTTGCCCATCTCACGAGCCACCTGAGGCCAGTTGATATCTTTACTCGTGTACTCGTCCCGCGGCGGTTGGCCCGACTCGGCGCGGTGGTCCTCGTCTCTCTGTGCAACCGTCGTCACTGCGCGGACAAGAAGCTGTTCTTCCTCCTCAGTCCACCGAGATGTCTTTCGGTTGTCGCCATATTGCAGATAGTCGCGCCATCGGTTCACACAGTCAGGCATGGAACGATCCCCCATGCTGACCGAGATGAGCTTCCATTGATTGGGATACACCGCGTGCAGATTTCGGAGTTGCTCGTCCTCCTCTTCCGTCCATGCGCCGCTCTTGAACTGGTGATATAGGTGACGAATATGTCTCCTCATTCTGTCATGCGAGCGTCTCACCCCAATGCTCCTAATTTCGTCCCAGAACTCTTCACTTTCCCGCGAGTCCTCGAGATCTTGAGGCGACCAGTCACTCTTACTTCGGAAAAGCCCAGGCTGGCCCTGCAACCTGGGATCCTGATAATTCCATTGAATAATCTCAACCAGTTCTGACGTGTCCAGCCCCTTTCGTTGCTGGAAGTCTCTGATGGCTCTGCGAATCAGTTCTTCTTCGTCATTCGTGAAGTCACCCGTTGTTCGTAAATCCGGAGGATGGCCCAGATCGCGGCAGGTGTTGAGTGCGCGTTCGGCCGAAGACAGTGAATTGATGAGGTTGCCATTGCTTCTGCGAAGTCGTCCCACGCTTGCATGGACCGTGTCCGGCGTCTCTTCTGCTGTCTTTCTTCGCTTCCTTTTCTTGGGTGTCTTCTTGGGTGTCTTCTTTTCGCTCCTATCGCCTTCATAAGGAGGGTCTGCAGGAACCTCATCATCACTCGAGACAGGGTCTCTCATGATTTCATCATCGTCAAGTTGGTTGCTGGATGTCCTATTTGGCGACTTGCCAGGTTTGCGCACCGGAGCAGCCCAGTCGTAGACCTCGCCGTTATTCACCGTCTTGTATTTGCTTGCGCTGCGCTTCTTGTGAGAAGGATTCTCTTGTGCATCCGCTTCCCTTTCCTCTCCAGACGGTACGGGAGCATCGTCAACAGGGGGTAACTGAGCCTCGCCGTCCTCGTTCATATCATCCGCCTCATCTGTGGGAATTTTGTAAACGTCTTTGAACTTGGCAATCGGTGTCAGCGGTTTCTTCACTCGCTTCAGTCTTGTCTTTTTGGCGGGCGGAGAATTGCTGTCGTCTTCAATGGGGTCCGTTTCCAGCAGATCTTGTACAGTAGTTGCCGACCTTGGCGTACCAATCTTCCGCTTTTTGGCTGGAGCAGGTGTTACATCTGCCGCCGCACCTGAAGAGCTTCCTACATCTCCAATTCTCGAACGCTTGCGCTGGCCAGACGTGTGCACAGGCGAAGTTGGCTGCTGTGCACTCATGTTTGTGTCCGCAAGTTCGTCCACCGTCTCGCCTGGTAGGACGTCTTGAGTGGCTTGATCCCGCTTCTCCTTTTTGCTTTTCTTGTATGTCCGCTTGCTCTTCTTGACGCTCGAGGGCACTACGAAACTAGACATGGGTGGAGCAGGCGTGCTTGTGGGGATTGTGGGGACCTGAGAGTCGGGTACCTCGACGGCGGGCGCATGTTCGGAAGTGCTCGACAGCATAGAGAGGCGATTGGGCGCTGGTGGGACAATTTCGTCGGCTTCTGGCTGGGTCGCGGGGAAAGGAAACGGGGAAGACGTGGGAACGTTGTTCTGTTTGCTCGTGTCCTGATTCGTTTCTGGGGCCGCTTTTGTGCCCTTCTTCGTCGCCTTGGCCTTGCGCTTCCTCCGCTTCTTCTGCGCAGGTGTAGGCGTGTCGTGTGCGCTGGGCCGAGAAAGTTTCCTGTCGTCGTCGTCGGCGGGGTTGGCGCGCGCGCCCTCGTCAATGAGCTGCTGGGATGCCGCTACGTCATCCATATTGGGGCCTAATCATCCCATGGGTTAGGCGCGTGTTGGCAAAAAGCGTCAAGCTGCGTAGGAAACAATTCTCTCGCGTGTCAAGGTGGTGTACTTACTAAAGTGGGACGATGGCGCCGGGCCCGGAGAAGCTACTGTGGAAGCGTCGGCGCCGCGGCCTGCCGTAGAGATGGGTTGTGACGAAGAAGTCCCCATCTTACGTCGCAGGTCGCTGAATGCCGCATATCCAGGCGCAGCAGTGACCATCTGTGGCGCATCAAGGTCCAGGAGTCGTGGCTTTGCGATATGTTTGATGGTGATGAGGCGCGTCAGCACGACCATTGGGTGTTCCTGGCTAGCCCTGATGCGTACTAAGTAGGCAGCCCCCAATCACTACCACTCACGCTAACCCTTCACCAATCACTGCTCTACTTGATGCACGTCGACTGACTTCACCTGAGAACCTGTCGTTGCTCATGACACTACCAAGGAGACCTTGAACACTACATGTCAAAGTATCCAAGCGTTTTTGTCTGCACCAATGTCTATTAACTAAACACAATCCACGTCCAAAACACCACCCCTTCCATTAGCAGCACCATGACACCAATCCCCATTCCGCCTCCGACACGCTCCCCCATCATTCTCTCGCCATCTCGCTCCGTGCCCGATACACCAGGGCCGGTGAAGATCCACAGCAATGCCGCCATAACACAGGCGAGAAAGCCAAGTGCCAGTGCAACCAGAATGCGGAATGTGCACGGTGCGTACAGAAACTCGATTGCCGTAACCATTGACGGTAGAGGGCGGCTTGAATCTGCAACACGGGGATACGTGTGTTGATAGGGAGGGCGATGCGATGAGTTGGATGCAGCCACCTGTCTTGCCCAGTGAACCCATGCATACCTTGCTTCCCCCGCGTTTGGGTCTCTGAACAGCTTCATCAATCCTACTTCTGTCAGTGAAGATTTGGTTTCTTCCATATCATCGATCCCATCTCCTCTTGCTAGCAGCCCGTCTATGCTTGGTATGCTAGTCCAGGTTGGGTTCCCGCTCCAGATACTACATTGCCTGAGGCGTATGGCACGTAGTCTGCGAGCACCGAATGTACGGCGAACCCAAGACCCCACCAGCTTGCGGTGGCCTGCTTGGAGGTGTTTCGCAAAACACTTGTCGTCAAAAGGTGCTGGGCTTTCCTTCGGCGTTGGCGTCTTCTCGAGGCCACTTGAGCCATCAAGGGAACATGTACCCGGCACGATGACGCGAATCATCTTTTTCTGCATCACGTCGTCGCTGCTTTTCCCCCAACCATACCTCTGTAATCTCAGCCAAACCACACTTTGTGTGCCCTCTTTTCTGGGCACAGCATCCCTTTTTACAACCCCCGGTGTGTTTTCGCTGCAGTGAAACTGGCTTCTGGAAATGCCGTCTTGCTCGCTGGGATTTAACCCGAGCATGTGATTGCCCTTGTGGCCATCATAAGGTGTTCCAAGCTCTTCCACTCCACCAACACTACCCAGCCTTGTGTATTCCTCCCGAGCTTGGCCGCACATGCCACTTTGTGAGTAGTCCCGTTGAGACTGTGACTTTGCGGTAAAATAGTCCTCTTCCGTGTCGGAAGAGTACGGTGTCCTGATAAAAAGCGATGGTAGATATGCAAAACCATCGCCGTTGGCCGACAGCAAAGGCGACATTGCCATGCGCTGACTGCTAGAGGAAGACCATCTCGGGAAGTAAGAGGTCGTGGCCGATCGCAAGTACGTGTATCCATACGGAGGCGACATTTCTGTTTTCGGAACGGCTCGTGACTCGAGTGCACGTAGCGTCATGAGGTGAGCGTTGATGACCGAGTCGGCGAGCGTACTCTCGGACGTATTTCGTCTATGCTCGCCTTGGAGTTTTGGACTCATGGGTAAAGGTGTATGTTGATATTCGCCACTGTTCGGAGAAGAGAACTGACCAGCTCGTTCTCTCTCTTCACTTGGGGGTGTGGCTTCGAAATGGCTGGTCCTGGTTGATTGCTTTGGAGTGGTGACACTCGAACTAGTATGTACCAGACGGACATCGTCCCTGTCCAAGCGGTGAAGTGACATTTGCCTGGCTCTATTCGGGGCTCCTCTAGTCACTATTGGGCCAGGGGTGCCTTCATCCGCTCGATCTTTGATGTCCGATCCTCGGTTGTACACTGAAGACTTGAGCAGTTTTGGTAGCGAAGCTATAGTGCTTCTTCCTATGCTTGTTGTTTTTCGTCGCGATTCTTTGACTTGATCGTGAACGTCTTGTGCCAGATTCTCTGGGAGAATCCCGTCGCCGGTTGAGAAAGTTTGGATGAAACTGCCTACGTTGCTTTCGCATTCGCCGTCAGATGAATCATCGTCAAGGAAGTCATTCCCAACTGTGAATTCACGTCTTGTGCTATTGCTCATAGTAGAATGTAATGAATCCAATCCTTTAGTGAGAGGAATAGATACATGTAGTGGAGAAATTGGAAATGAATGGATGGCGTTTGCGAAAATAGATTTGGGGAAGCAGGGTTTGCTACGAGATGAGGCTCTGCAGCCCCCATTTCATAGTTTTTTACGGCCAACCGAATCGGCCGATGGCATCTGTCGCTTTGCGCGTGCCGGAAGCGTATTCAAGAGATTCGCATCGATTGAAGAGCGATCAGCGAACTTGCGAGACGTGGACATGAAACCGATGAAGAAGAACGGGCCAGGCACTGGCATAGAACAAAGCACAAGACGAGGTCCACTGACGCACAGTGGGGGCGAGCATGCATAAGTCAACGGAGAATTAATAGAACAAAGAAGGCACACACCAGAAGTTGCGGCTCTGCTTCCGGCGCTGTCCCGATCCTGTAGCTGCGTGCGACTCGTGCTGTGGACATGCAATAGTTCGCCAACCTACGGATATGTTGAATCATCTCACTGTCTTGTCGATGCCAGCCCATGACCAAGCCCAGCAGGTGTGAGAAAGCAAGACGTAGCAATAGTGGATAAAAGACCTATTGGAGACGGACAGAGTAACGAACCTATCTAGAAAGCCCTTGCTCTATACGCATGCACTTAGACGAAACTAAGAACGCCATGTGCAATGCCGCCAACTGAGAACCAACATAATACGACCATGATCAAAGAAGAAAATGTAGATCGTACAAGAATCGTTATAAAGGGCGGAAAATGCCTACTCGCCATCTCGGTCAAACATCTTGGTCATTGCCTTTTGCGCAAGCTCTACGCCAGCGAACGTGGCCGCGTTCGCAGGCACTGCTCGTGCCATGGCAGGGCCGATACCAGGGAAGAATGCTTTGATACCACCGCTCGCATAGAGTCCTCTGATTGTACCACCGATTGTTGGTCGGCCTTCAGCACTCTGCAAGCGGGACTTGATGGTGTCGACGGGGAACACGGGTATCCACATGGCAACACCTGCAGCGCCGCCAGCCACCATGACAGCGCCTATGCTGAGCGATCCGGGCTGTCCTGTAACGGGGTCCTTTGGTGTGAGGTTCCGCTTGATGACTTCGTATGTGGCAAAGTAAAGCGCTGAGCCTGGACCGTCACGCGCCAGTGTCATGGCCGAACCACGGTACACTGAGCGGATGCCGCCCTCCTTGTAGAGCTGCCTGACAACATCGAGACCACCAGAGTATTTGGGCTTCTCTCCAGGCGCCAGCTGCTTCTGTCCCTGAATCTGGAGGAGGACCTTGACGCGCTCAAAGGGTGCGGTAATGACGGTCATGGGGATTGCGCTGAAGAAACCGGCAGCAGAGACCTGGGCGACGCTGTACTGGTTGTTCTCGACCTTGGAGACGCTGGAGACGAGCTGCTTGCCGAGGTCGTAGCCCCAGAAGGAGACGGCGACTGTCCCGCATCAGCCTTGCTGTTCCAACGGCTTGCTTGGGGAGTACTTACACATGGGCGTGACACCGACAAGAGGCGCAGAGACACCGGCGTAGAGGCCCCTGGCCAGGCCCTCTTTTGCGATTGTTTTCCTCACGACGTCCATGGCTCCCGAGTAGACACCCTTTTCCGCCGTCTGCATGCGCACCTTGACCAGGTCGAAGGGGTGGCCTACAACGACGGCGCAGACACCTCCCACGCCGCCAGCGACCAGCGCTCGCAGCGACTGGACCGTCGACTTTGTGGCTGCCTTTGCGTCTTCCTTGAGGTCTGCCGTGGAGGGCAGTTTCTCAATAGCGGCGTCTGCTGTGCTTGCCATGGTGGGGGCGTGTCAGGTAGTCCGAGTGACAATTGCGCGTGCGAGAAGTGACTCGGAGATGCACAAAGGCGGCTGGAGCAAGCTGGAGGCTGCGCGATGCCTACCACGGCGGTTTTGAGAGCAAAGGAAATGTGCAGCGAGGACGGAAGCAAACTTGGTTCCAACATGTGAGCAGCTCCAGTGCTCCGGACGCTGGGCCTACGTCGGTTCAGCGCTCGGCTGGCTATTTCGCGTGCCGAGGCAGCTCAGCGCCGAACACGCGCACCCTGTGGGATGGCGCGTACGGTAGCAGCATCCACGTGAGCACAAGACCCAGCCAGTGCCGTCGACGCTAGCAAGTTCGAAAAAACTCTTGGTGGTCGGCAGAAAGAGGTTGGAGATGCTACCCCGCCTGCACCGACGCTGCAGTAGACATGCTCCGGTCCAGCGGGATGCTATGGTACTTACTTGTATTCTGCATGTGTGCCAAACAACGCCAGGCCTAAGCCGCCGCCATGCCCTACCCATGACAGTGAGGCTCTGTAGTGGGCCTCGATACTAGTCGTGCCAAAGCCCAGCCAAGATGGCATGTGAAAGTCGGGATAATGCCGTGTGACCATAAGATCGAGTGTAGCAGTCTTACTTAGGCGTTGGGCTCCCCAAAAGTCACTCCTTCCTCATTCGGTGCTCCTTCACTTCCCAACGCCACACGTGACTCAGCTTCACTCCTGATCCGTGCACGCTCGCCTATCTATTCCTCGTGCTACAAAAGCTCAAACTCCTCCCGCCCTCGCTGCCTCCGCCCACCACACACGAGAAGCGCCGGGCGCGCCTTCAACCGCGCAAAGTCGCCAGCTCGGTCGCGCCTCTTGTGGTCGCTATGGTCTGCTCACCATCTCGCGAGAACGAGCTAGGTCATGGCCGCCGAATCGGCCTTTGGCTGTCGTTACAGTCACGCCTTGTCGGCTTGAACTCTGCGTTCAGCTGGCGTCTCGAGGCACCCCCAAGCCACACGTTCTCAGATACACATCAGTAACAGGGGCATCCACGATGCCAGTGCTCCACACGGACGGACGTTCGCCGCTGCCGGGATCGGTGGATTCGCTGGCCCGAGTGTGTCGGCCCTCGGAAATCCGTGTGACAGTGAGGAGCTCTTAACGGGGCAGGTCAACAGAGTGGCGGGGCTGTTGGCGTACTTAGATGGGTACTATTCTCCCCTCACACTGTCAAGGCATACCATTGCTAACACTTTCCAGTATCTGCAGTTCAGAAGATAACAAAGCTCATATCTGGCGTCTGTATCAGACGAGTGCTCGACCTCCGGATTAACCTACACTGCCTGTTGCCGTCTGTCTGTCCGTAGAAGGAAGCAGATGATAACTTTCAGTAAAGGTGGATGGTGAGGAAAGGCGGGGCTCCTTAACGGGAGCGGTTGAGGGAGTGGTGGGACCCTTAACACACACTATTTTTCTTTTCGTTGGTCCTTCCGGTCGGCTGGAGGGCTGAAGGAGAGAGGATACGATACAGATGCATGCTGTTTACTGGATGCTGCTCCTCATGTTGGGAGAGCAACTTTACAGTGCAACAAGAGCGCGTACGAATTCGCAAACAACTCCGGGTTTGGTGATTGATTGTCACAAGATTGGGTCAACAGTATCATTCCGATCGACCAGCAGAGAGTCTGGAAGATTTGCAGTGAAGAATGGTCATGAAATCTAGATGTACAAAGTCAAAGCAACATACAAAGCCCGCACTCACAGACCCACCACAAGTCCCACTTTCTAATGCCCACTTCTCGATATTATGTCTCAACCCACCTTGAACCTCTGGTCATGTAGAAGTTCTAGCAGTAATATATTTTCTAATTCCTCGCTTTTTCATCAAAAGGCGTTGTGGCGGAGTGGTTATCGCGCAAGACTAGAAATCTTGTTCCTTCGGGAGCGTCAGTTCGAATCTGGCCAACGTCGATTGTTTACTTTTTGCAGTTATGATGTCCTTTTTGCCTTTTTCCAGAGTATGTAGATATATCTCATATCAAATCCAGCCATCCTTGGCTGAAGGGGTTTATATTTTTGCTCTCCTTGTCAAGCTGCATGTGTCTCTGTGAGGGACGTGTGTTTTTGCTACCCGAGAGGCTGCGAAGCTGACGCTCATCAAATGGGCGAAGATGAGAACACTCTACAAGTGGGCTGTTTAGGTGGTCGATATATGGGCTTGGATATGTCGTGAGACACATCCCAGGGGCACTTAAACTCGCAGAACGCCTTGAGGAAATGACTTTATATCGCCCCAAGAAGTATTGTCACAGCATATACACTCCCTGGGCGTGGAGATTGGAAATTGATATTCCCCTCGTCGACAACAATAACTACTACAACTACATCTAACTGATGGTGCAAATCACCTTGCCCTTTGTCTTATTCTCCTCGAGCAACTTGTGCGCGTCCTGAATCTGCTCCCACGGCAGGACCTTTTCTATAAACAGCTTCAGCTTGCCCTCCTTCATCAAGGGAAGCGTGTGCTCGACTAGCTGGTCCCTCAGTTTACCCTGGTACTCCTCGTCGCGGCTGCGCAGACTGCTGCCCACATAGCTGCACCGCTTCCGGATGAAGGCGCTGATATCCGTGCCCTCGGGCAGCTTGGTGCCGCCCATGAAGCCCAGGTTCACAATGACGCCGTCTTTGGCTACGGCCTTGAGGTTCTGCTGAAAGTACGATGCGCCGATGAAATCGACGATAATGTCAACCCCCTTGTTGTCCGTCGCCTTCATCACCTCCTCAACCCAGTTCTGCGACGTCGTGTTGAAGGCGGCAGTCGCGCCCAGCTCCTGGACGGCAAAGCCGCACTTGGAATCCTGGCGCGCCGTCGCGTACACGGCCGCCGCGTCGTCGGAGCGCGAGAGCTGGATCCCGGAAATGGACACGGACGACGCGGCCGCGTGCCACAGGATCGTCTTTCCAGGACTGAATTGCCCAATTAGGTACATGGCTTGCGTTGCTGTGATCCATGTCTGTTGTTGGTGTGCTGGTTAGCCATGTGTCCACCACCTACTTTTTGCATAGAGAGTGTGAATATACCTCGGGAATACCGGCGCACTGCTCCCACGTCAATTCCTGTGGCTTGCGTACCAGCATGTGTGTTGACACGGCAATGTATTCGGCATACGCGCCTCCATAGGCCAGGCCAAACACCTCGTCGCCCTCTTTGAAGCCTTCTTTGCCGCCACCGTCTTCGCTCAGTTCCGCAATTGTGCCCGAGAATTCTACTCCCAGGATCTTGGATGCGCCCGGCGGCACGGGATACTGTCCCTCGCGTTGTAGCAGATCCATGCGGTTCAGACCAAACGCCTTGATCTTGACGAGCGCTTGCGACTTTCCAAGCTTCGGCTTGGGCACTTCGGCAATGTGCAGGTTCTCGAGCGGCCCTTTGCCATTTTTGATGTCTGAGCAACTTTAGCAATCTTGTCCTGTTTCGCGTAAAACTGAATACAGACCTACTGCGCGCATTGTCCCGCTCATCTTGGTGCTGTCTCTGTTCTCGTCGCAATTAAGGTCTGAGTATAAGAAAAGAAGACGACATTCGACCAAACACTAGAATCAAAGAGTCTCAAGCAGGGACAAGAAATAGATGCCTCGGTTTCTGACAGCATCCCGCTTGCTACCGGAATGATTGGTAATGACGTCTTGGGCGGGGCAGCTCCGCGACTCATGAAGCTGACAGCTATAGTGGGGTTCATGTAAATATCGGACAACATAGGCGACGGAAATAAGGTAACAGTTTGTGCATTTGGTATCATACAATCGACATTACTGGCACGCGTTCAAGCACAAGACCTTGATTGCGCTACGTCTGCGAAAATATACAGAACTCATGAAAGTATGCATGCCAACTGCAATTGGAGAACGTGCCTTGCCGTTGGGCTTAGTTGACGAACAAGCTGTCCTCGTTCATATTATATTGCTTGATGAGCTGGGCGAGCTTGTTGGCTTCCTGGGCATAGTTGAGCGGGTAAATGTTCAGCACTTGATACCGAGGCCTGGATTCGTTAGCATCTCTCCAACCAAGTTGCATGGCACGACTTACTTGGGCTGATCCTGGTACATCTCCATCTTCCCCCGCACTCGGAAGTTGAACGTCTTACAGGTTGCCTCCTGCATGACAGTCATGAATTTCTGTGTGCCATTCTCATCATCGTCAATCTTGATCTTCATGGCTTCGTTTGCCGACATGCCAACAATCGCCTGACCAGCCTCATCGAAGCAACTGAGCCAAAGAGTGCCAGTATGATCGCCAACGTTGACGCTAAGCACGTAGCGATAGTTGGGCTCAGGAAACGCAGCTTGGCACTTCTCGCACCACCAAGAGCCAGGGTTCTCTTCAATCACCTTCTTGTTGCAGCCCTGTGTCGAGCATGCAGGATAAGCAAAAGTCGTGTTCTTGACGAACAAGACTGACGCGCGAAGGCTCATGTACGTGGGCGTATCTTGGAGATAGCTCTCTTCCTCGATAATCGCCGAGATTGGCTTTGCATCGTTCTTGGAGCTTCCTGTGGTGGATGCCATGTTCTGATGAGTGGAAAAGGTAGCATTCTGGCCAACTGCGTTGAACCAGCCTCGCAGCTTGTGGGCCTCATCAATATCAGGATCAACCATCATCGAGCCCGAACTCAACAGACTCAGACTGCGGCCGCCAAAGTCGGAGACCTTTACTCCCTTGAATGCCATGATCGATTCCAGCGGTGCATCAAAGCTCTCGGCCGTCTTGCCCCAGATGGTGAGTCGCACCGATGTCTGACTGTCATCAGCTAGCGTGAGCTCTCGCTTGCTAAAGTCTTTGTTGGTGTTCTTTGATGTTATCGTAGTAACTTCGCCGACCTCCTTCAACACACCAATCGTGTCGATTGTTGTATCCTTTTCAACCGAGTTGAGATCGCCAATCTTGGTAAAGTTGAACCGTATCTGTGGTTTGTTCTCTTGATCTTCCGCCTTCTCAACCTCGGTGTCGCGCTCAAACTGCAGCTCGTAGTCATTGGGCAGGTTTGAGAACTGTTTCTTCGCAAGCGTAACTCTGCAGGGCGCCGAGATGTAGTATACGACGCCTTCCTCGAAGACGGGGTAGAGCTTGTCGGCAACATCTGTGAAAGCCGTTGCCCGAATCTCGCCAGTATCATCCAGCAAATTCACACTGAACAGTTTGCCCGTTCCCTTGGCGTTGTGCCACTCCTTCATGTCGCTCTTGTGGGTGCATCGCGCACGGATAGTCCACTTGTGTGCGTAGGGCGAAAGAGATTCGATGGGGTAAAGATTGGGATGTGACGAAGTGCCAGGGTTGCTCTGATGAGTAGGCAGCGAGCGCTGAGGCTGGGGGGCCGGTGCGGGCTTTGACCCGTAGAAGTTGTTACCTGGAATAGCGGCAGGCTGTGCATCGGCGGGCTTCGTCTCTAGAGCCTCAGGCTGTCCAATCTTGTCAAGTTCGCCGTATTGCGAAAGAACCTCAAGTTCCATGATAATCAGGATGCTAACCACGTGTTAGAGCAGCAACATGTCCATGGAGAAAAATGCATACTTCTTGTCCTTGACACGTTGCGGGTTGTACTTGAGGAGGCGTACTATCGAGCCCTTCTTGAGCTGACCAGAAGTGACGATTTCGTTGGCAGCTGCACATGGTTAGCTGATGCTTCCCTGCCTCTGTCATATCCAACACACTGGTCGCGATCATCGTCTGGATGAAGTTGCGAATGTCACTCAATACGACGCGGAAGCGCTGTATGGGATTTGCTTCGCCCGCCTTGGGCTCCATGGTCTTGATCTGCACGCATTGCAGGACCGGGTGCTCCACGAAGCAGCCGCCTGGCTGAAAGATGCTCCTGCCAGGAATTAGCATGGCGTGAATTGATCATGATACAGCAGAAACTGACTGGATAGCGCCTTGCGTGATTGCTTGCTCTGCCATGTTGGGTAGAATGAGTAGGCGTTGGAATGGCGTAGCGCTGTCGTGTGTGGGTGGCGGTACGGCGAAGTTCACAAAGCGCGTCGACGCGTCGCATCACGTGACTCTTCAGCCCCGCTCTAGCCGGATCCATCGGCGGCAGGCGGGGCTACGTAACTAACTGGCTGGCTTAGCAGCTGGACTGGACCCTTTGGTGCACCTGCGCATCACCCACGCGCATCACTCTAACCGTTCCTTGTCACAGCATACAAACATACAAACACACAAGCAACATGGCTGATAATGAAGTCGCTGCGCGGGCGCCCGAGAGCGATGCGCAAGAAGCCGCTCAGGAACAGAAGCCTCAAGATGCCAAAGCTCCCGAGCCCGCGCCAGAGAGCGTCTTTCCTGGAGACACTAGAGCACAGGATGGACCAACCATGGGTGTAAGTTAACTCGCTTTCTGTGGAAGCTGCATATGTCAAATCATGGCCATCAGCGCAGCACTCGCGCCAGTCCTTTGCGTTTGCTGTCGTGCGCTCAAGACCAATCCACTGCTTCGTGTTCAGATTATGCATGCTGACTGCTTAGGAACACTGCACAACCGACCGCCCGACACCCTCTGGCGAGAAACCCACGGGGGACTTGACCAAGCTAGGCGGTGTCGAGTGCTACATTACCAAACCCACCGACTACCCGCACTCGCCCTCGAAGCTTCTGCTTCTGCTCACGGGCGGCACAGGCGTCAAGTCTACAAACAACCAGTTGCAGGCTGACAAGTACGCTGCCGAAGGATACCTGGTCGTAATGCCCGACCAGTTCGATAACGACCCAGCGCCCAACAGCGTCAACATGGCCGAAATCCCACCTGATGCGTCTTGGCTTGAGGCTGTCAAACTGAGGACGGCAGAAGGCATCAAGTCATTCATGATTGATATGTGGCTCGCCCGGCACACGCCCGAAAAGGTCCTTCCGCTGTTACACAAAGTCATTGAGGGCGCCAAGGAGGAGTATGCCGATGCTGTTGCAAATGGTGGGGGTATCTACGGTATCGGTTACTGCTTCGGCGCAAAGTATATCCTCATGCTGGCCTCTGAGCTTCCCGACACGGTTGCGTGGGGCCAAGAAGCACCAAAGGATGAAGAGCAAGGAGCCACCAAAAAAGAACCCGTACTTCGAGCTGGAGCTGTTGCACACCCGACTATGACATACAAGGAGGATCTCGAGGCCGTCAAGTCTCCGGTTTACATCGCCGCAGTCAAGGATGATCCAATGTTCTCAGAAGACGACGTCCTAACACCTGGCCGAAGAGTTATGGAGACGAACAAAGTTGAGCATGAGATCCAAGTATTCTCGGGGGTGCCTCATGGTTTCGCTGTCTTTGGGGATTATGAAGATCTCAAGATCAAGCAATCGCAAGCACAAGCCTTCGGTCAGATGTTGGGCTGGTTACAATCGCATTAGGGTTTACCCTTTGAGTGTTCACAAGCTTCGGTGAATTGGTATGTTGTCTGCCGCTCCGGTCAGAAGTCCGTACTTCAGCAGGCATCCCTGATTATGATATGAAATGGCGTTAAGGTGGGTAAAGCTGGCAAAGTCCTGTCAGTGTCTCATGAAAATATTTCAAATGACTTGAACCATTATACTTCTCTTGAGCATCATTCGTACTGTGAAATGTTTGTTCGTGCAGTCCTAAAGATCGCAGGCCAAGCGACTTGTCTGTTTAACCAAGGCAATATCTCACTCCCAGAATCTCTTCAAACACGTAGTAGAGAAAGCAGATATTGGTGTGTGCATGTTTAACATGAATTTGAGACTTCTAATGAAACGAGGGTAGAGCGTAACGCCGTGACATGCATCCATGTTCAACTGGACCCTGCATGACTCGCACGTCAATAAATTTCCTGACCCCACCAACTGCGGCCCCTCCACGCACTCTTCAAGACATTATACACAAGATGGACGACCCAGCATTTGAGACCGAGACTGACCTCCAAACGCAAAGCATATTGCTTGCTGCTGCGAACCACGATACTGAATCTCTTCGCAACCTCTTGCGCAATTCTTCCGCCAACGTCCAAGATTCCGAGACGGGCTTCACACCTCTGCACGCCGCGATTGCTGCTTGCGAACCCGACAATGATAACGCGAAACAAGAAAACGTCCAATCAAACGGAGATGCTGCAAATGCGTCTGCAGAATCGGAGGATGTGGACAGTGCTGTCAAGACAGTCAAATTCTTGTTTGAGAACGGCGCGATATGGAATGATTTGGATTCAAACGGCGAGACACCAGGATGCATAGCGCATAGGTTGGGCTTGAGGGAGCTATATGATCTATGCGTAGACGCCGGCGTCCGCGCAGAAATGCTGCTGAGTCGTTTGGAGCAATACCAGTCTCTAGGAGACGACGATTCGGACGATGACGATGACGAGGAAGAGATTGAGGTCGGGCAAGTTGAAGAGAGCGTAGAAACACTGGATTTGAACCAAGGAGACAAAAATGGCGACGAGTCGACGGAAAACCCAAACTATCTTGCGTCGAAGCTCACATTCGATCGCGACCGATTACTGGATGGCTCGGGGAACGGTGTCATGATGGAGTGGGAGACAACTTTGATGCGCAAATCGGCAGAACTCCTGGCGCCCCAAGAAGGTCTACGCATACTCAACGTGGGCCATGGAATGGGCATCGTCGATGGGATTTTCCAGGAGAAAAAACCAAAAGCTCACCATATCATCGAGGCGCATCCAGATGTGGTCAAACGTATGAAGGAACAGGGCTGGCATGAGAAGCCAGGAGTTGTAATTCACGAGGGCCGATGGCAGGATATTGTCCCAGGACTCGTTGAAAAGGGCGACATGTTCGATGCCATCTACTTTGACACTTTTGCCGAGGAGTACAGCGCCCTCCGTGAATTCTTCAGTGAATCCGTTATCGGACTGCTCGACCCCTCTGGCGGCGCAGATGGCGAGGGCGGTAAATTCGGTTTCTTCAACGGCATGGGCGCAGATCGGCAAGTTGTATACGATGTGTACAACAAGATTGTTGAGTTTGACCTCTTCGAGGCTGGCTTCGATACGGAATGGGAGACGATTCCTGTGCCGGATCTGGATGAAAAGGGTGAATGGGAGGGTGTCAGGAGAAAGTACTGGGTATTGAAAGATTACAAGCTCCCGACTTGCAGCTTCATTGGCTGATGGAAATCCCACATGAAATGACACGAAAGAGCTATGTGCTAAAACAAAACATTTCCCATTGACATTTTGGTGGTCGACAGAACCTGGCGAGGCGACCCATATTCGATGTGCTCTCACTACGCTGTACTCCAAAACACCGCGCTGTAAACAATACAAAAAGAGCATCAATTTCCGTTCAACCCATCCATCAGACCATGCATCTGCAACAGTTTGTTGTATCGCCTCTGCTGTGGCTCTACCAATTGTCTCGCCGCCTCTGCTCCGGTAACGGGTAGTGTCTTGAGCCCGTCGTTCTTCGGTTTCTTTGGTACCGCTTTGGGATCCAACAGTCCAATCTGCACAAGAACCGAAGCTTGGTCCCAATACATGTGCTCGGAAACAAGCTTGTCTCCTCTGACAGCCACTATGCTGACCATGGCAATCTCCACATGCTTGTTTGTCGGCGGTACACCAGGCAAAATCCAATCGATCTCATCTGAGTGCGTAAACGATACAACCATCTCGTCCACAATGCGATTGACGCCCATGGTCCGCGAAATCAGTCGTATGTCAAAGTCCGGAACCAAACTTGGAACGAAAAACTCTCCATAAAACTCCGCAAGCTTTCTTCTTCCGATTCCACCCTCCATTGTCGGCAGAATGGTGACATGAGGACTATCCTGCGTCATGTTCTTGATCACAGCCATGCTCGCTCGATCAGGGTCATCGTCTTCAAACCGCGCCATCCAATGCGCATTGGCAATAGGCTCGAGATCGACATTCGTGCCGAATCCTTTGCGGATACCCGCCAGCGATCGTGTCCAAGCTAGATTGGCGTCTACTTCCGAGTACGCTTGCGACGAAGGGTCCATGAATCCCGCAGCACTTTTTTCGTACCGGTAAAGCTTCCACTCGCACATGTCTGGTCGAGGGCTAGATTGGCTCAAAGCCGCAACGTGAACCTGCAATTGGTGTGACTGTGGATACATGGTCTTTGGGCTCGGCAATTGCGCCGGGTAGAAGGCTATAATGGCACAGCATTTTGCTAGTGGCTTCTGCGCTGTCTTGAGCACAATGCTGGCGGCGTCGCCATACGCGATGATGGCGTAGTGTTCGCCCAACCTACAGGACTCGGAGAGCGTCCGGATAGCATGGATATACTCATTCTGGCGCTGCTTGAGGGGCTCGTAGGGCAGGAATTGCGCATCGTATCCTTCTTCGCGCCAGGCTAGGAGAGCCTTCTCTGGAGCAGGGAGAGTGCTTGTGAGAAAGAGGCGTAGAGGAGAGGAATTGAAGGTCAAGAACCCGCCTCTTCCGGGCTTGTTGTCGAACGATGTGATTGACATTTGAAGAGGAAAAGCCTGGGTTGATAGTGCTGATGGTGATTACGGTGCTGGAGACGCGTTGAGGGCTGCTGAGATGGCCTACCTGGTATCAGACGGCTATGGCCTGGATACAACTGTTCTGAACGAGGACAACTCGCGAGACACCGTATGTGGGAGATGTCGACAGGCCCTTAAATCCAGCTCGGCTACCTTTCTGCAGCCTTGATCCTACCCCAGCCACGCGACCAAGGAAATGCATGTGGGTTAGCTCATGCTGTTCCATGTGGCATGACGTCATGTTCAGCGTCCCAAGGGGAACATCCGTTTGCCCACACCAGCACCATTACGCGTCGCCCTCGAAGTCGTCTTTGTCCAACAAAATAATGTCACCTGATGAACATCCGCTTGTTGGCTTCGCATCCTGGTATAAGAAGTTTGGTACTTGGCTGCGGGATGTGAAAAGTGACCAATGACAGGGCCCGCTAGGTTACCATCGATGCCGCCATTTTGCGGGTACCGTAGGACTAGTGGCATGGACTATTTCGACGGACTAGTGTGACACGGTATTCTTTGATAAGTATTAGTAGCATCTTTTCAAGAAGGTTGTACGCTGTTGTTGCTGTTGTGCCTGAGCCTTTGACGACGGTGGGCTCCCTTAGTCGGAGGCTTTGATTCATCGTAGCCTATTGCGCAACCTATTCCCTGCGCATCAAGTCAGGTGGGGCTGCCGCATACTTTACAGGCGGAAAATCTTCTTGATGCTATAGTTCGCGCTGTTTGTCTTGATCTCTTCCTGCATCCGCTGCTTAGGTGTCGTCTTCTTCTCGCAGATGGGCATGTGACTGATATATCACAAATCCGTGTCTATTACCCTGGCTATAAACGTGTAGGACAAAAAGCCTCACATGCCTCGGGCTAATTTGATATATGCCAAGTTGTGCTTAACCTTCTCAAATCAAGGTCATGGTTAGCTCTTCATTTCTGTCTCCTTTTTGAGTCCGTTTTGGGTTACTCGAGGTTAGTGCTTAGCGTAATCAGCTGGGCTGGCTGTCGGGACTGAGATTTGGCCGAGACAGAAGACGGAGGAACTATTCGATTGCAGCTCTAGTTTTGGTAACTGTCATGTGACGCAGTCATTCCACAAACCGCGAGTTTCCGACAACTGTATCAGATAACACGGAGTTCGGGTCGAAAAGTTCCCGGTCACAGGGGTATCTGTAGTACTACCGAGATACTATCAAAGGTTGGATGGAAGAAGAGATAGTAGCGGCGAGCAATATATGAGATGGAGATATTTATTTGCGTACTTTCCTTATACACAATCTCTACCTTTTATAATAGCAATAGCGACGTGCCACTGACACGCTGCTCGAACGGTGGTGAGGTGCTGGACAATGGTCATGTGATAGTCACCTTCACAGCGGCGACGCGCAGCCACAGCCATGTCGCAACGCTGCACTCTTACAATTAACAAATGAAAGACTATAATGACTAGAAGAGAACAGTCTAGGTTGTATTGAAGTAAGGGGTTGCGATTCTTCGGGCCGATAGGATTTACGCGGACAATGTCTTTTGGAATTAACCTGTGTCGGGTTATTGATACAGCTAAAACCTTGCAGGATAATATTTGAAGTGTCAGCAAATCATGCAAACATCTGATACTATCGCGCTACTAGATGCTACTCAAAGTTACATAGCACGTTTAGACTAGCTTCGAAACATATTTACCATGTATCGAGAATAAATGCAAACAACTCCAGGACCTAAACCTTGATTATCTTAAGCTTAATTCTAAATCTAATCTAATTCTAAAAACTTAGGGGAGAAGTTATGCTAAAGGGATGGCTAAATGTAGTAAGCGCTATGACTGGGAAGGTCTCTCCTGCAATCGGCCGAGTTGCGTTCTTATACCTAAAGGCTGAGTTCCATTTCACCTAAACGAATACATGCGAGCAACAAATATCAAGTAAGCGCTAAGCAATGTTGATGCCAGGAAATTCAACCGACAATCACTATGTAGTGCTTACAGACTAGGAAAGTATTGAACAATAGGCGTGTATATAAAGGCGCAATGCACCTTATCCAGTGTATATCCTTAGCACAGAAAACCACCTAACTTTACAAAAATGAAGATTATCTCTATCGCAGCTCTCTGCCTCGCAGCTGCTGGACAGGTATGTTTCATCCAAGACCAGCGTCTCCTACACGTACCGTGATCTGACTAGAGAATGTTTGATAGGCGGCGGCAGCATCCTTCAATTGCAACTGCTGGGGCTCTACCGTCCAAGCTAGCAACGATGCGACCACAATCAATTGTTGCACAATGTTTGTAGGTCCCGATGGCCGTTCAACAAGCGGCAAATTCGGAGGCGGCACCTGCCTGGTATCTTCGTCATTCAGCTATCAAAATCTGGGCATTGCATTCGACAAATGCTGTAATAACTCACGGCTTAGCAATGCTGGTGGCTACTGCAATCCGGCGACTTAGTTGAAGAGTTACTAGGGTACGGGCAGTTGAACTTTGTAGTTTCACATTGATCAAGCATAACTAGCATCTTGGTGTGGAACTTTGTAGTTGGCGCAGTTTCCGCAGCTTCATCAATTCCAGTTCATTCTGCATTATTTATCTATTGTTTGATGTCTCCGTCGCCAGGCCTCCGCGCCTATACTATTATATGCCCGATGATTAGCAGAACGCTGATTACTCGTGCTTTTTTGGTTGCAGTAGCCTAGCAGCATCGAGCTGAGCTTCTGACATCCGTTCCACCGACCGCGGCAAACTTGAGCCTACAAAACAGAGTCAAACTCCGTATTTTTCACAAGAAGTGACGGGATTCATTGTTTTGATAACGCTGCCCACGCGTGTGAGTAAGCACCAGTGAACCTTGGTTGAAGTTAGCACGCCTTGAGACTTTCGCCCCAGTCGAGCACATGACTCACACTCTGCATCACAGCCCTCCTGCACCCCTCTGACGTCACACTCCAAAGTTGGCCGTAGTCAGTCAATGCTTCAAACACCCAATATCTACTGGTCTCCCCAGGATCCTTTTCACTCTTTGATTCCTATATACACCATAATGGACGAGTTTTATATCCACGTACAACCTCATAGCCGCTACAGCATCTTTGACGCAGCGGAGCAGCTACCATTCAGTGTTGTCTTTGGCATTTGCCGTATTTCCAAATCCGATACTGATCCCCGGTCAATACTCATCGACACGGCGGGCACGGTGTTCGATGTACCGTACGCCCTAGCACGTGGCTTGCTCACTCTATATGAAGAGAATCCTGGGGGAGCTACAAAATGGACAGAGGTAGAAGTAAGTGGAATGGGGAATGTCCGTATGGGTGATTCAAAATGCATTTCTGTTCCTTCTCCCATCCACCGTACAAAGAACTGGAAGGATGACCTGACGGTGTATATGTGTCGCATCACCCTCGAGGGTGGGCTGGCATCAATTTTGAAGGTAGGGAAGAGATACAGAATAAAGGTTACGGGCAAAGATCTGGGCGTCAGCAAGTGGGCGTACAGCGACCAAGAGCGATTTCCAGAGAATCATGACGAACTAGCAAGGTTGGTCAACAGCTACTCTCGCGGTCATGCAACATTTAAAGTTGTGAACAACATATTATTTCCACCAAGATTAGAGACGAGAATGCGCCTTGTTCAAGGAACTTCATTGGAAGTTACGGTTGAAAATACCGCTGCAGAAACCATCACTGTGCAGCCTCGAGGCCACCAGAATTTCGTCGTTCCATGGGGTCCAATGGAGCCAGAGCCGGGTTGGCTGGATGATAGACCAAGAATCATCGACTCCTCGGTACAGGATCACGCTCCCACATCCAGCCTTGTGGTTCTGGACGCTGCGACGGGAGAAGTTGTTCGCGGGCAAGGAAATACCAGCATATGTCACTTGAGAAGCTCTACCGCCGAGTTACGACCCAGGGTGAATGATTTGATAACTCTGGAGCCTCAAAAACCTGTTGCCAACGTGGTCCAAATCGACAGAAAGGTCAAAGGACTGCAAGACGGGAAATACAAAATCCGGATGCATCCAAAAGGGTGTCGCTGGTGGCAGGGGAGGCTTGGAAATGAGGACAGTGAGGACGGAAAAGTTCCAGCACGATTATGGAAACGCCTGGCTATTCCGCTTATGCTCGAGTCGCAGGATGAAGTAGAAGTGACTATTAAAGATGGGAAACTCGAAGCAGTTCTGTGAGATGCCGCAAGTGGCAGGGCTGAAGCTAGTATATGCATCTTGACGTCATGTTCGACATTTATCGCGTGGTATATGGAATACAGACAAAACCCAGACGGCATTCAAAGTAAATAATGAAAGTTTTCTCAATCTCAAAACAGAGACTGTTCGAAAGAAAGCCGTGATAAGGAGAGATAGGTAGCCGACTTCGGGCCGACTGGATGGACCCCTCTGATTCGACATGACGCCATGTCAAAAAGGTGACAAATGTACTAATTTCCGTCCCCTCCATTGAAAGTATACAAGAGCTGGAAACTCACGTCTAGCATCTCGTCGTACTCTACAATCTTCGCAATGGCTTCGTTTCTCCCCCGCGCAGCTTCCCGAGCTCTTCGCTGCTCTGCGCGCCCCGCATTGCGGGTACAGCGTCCTGTTGCGCCACTTCTTCGCCGCGGATATGCACTTCCGGCTGAGCAGCCACGCCTGAGGCTAGGATCTACTGGTATTTGACCTTTTGGAATGCGCTTCATTGTTACAATTGGCTAATTGAATGCAGCGCCCAACTTTCAGGCCAAAACTACTCAGGGCGATATTGTGCGCATATCCGAACTGAAGTGAGATGGGTAGGCTGATTGTGTACAGGACTTCCACAAGTTCCTGGACAACAAATGGACCGTTTTTTTCAGTCACCCGGCCGATTTCACGCCCGTTTGCACGACCGAACTCGGTGCCTTTGCCAAGCTCAAGAATGAGTTCGATGCCCGAGGTGTCCAGATGATTGGTCTGGTACGTCTTCTTCAATACAACCATATGCTGAAGGTAGTGTACTGAACTCGCATCAGAGTGCCAATGACCTGGGCTCGCACGACAAATGGATCGAAGACATCAACGAGACGTCTCAAACCACCGTCCAGTTTCCCATCATCGCTGACGCCGACCGCCACGTCGCCTACCTCTACGACATGATCTCGCAAGACGATCTTGAAGCGCTGCAGAAGAACGGTGGTATTGCCTTCACCATCCGCTCCGTCTTCATCATCGACCCGGCCAAGAAGATCCGTCTCATCATGTCATACCCCGCGAGCACTGGCAGGAACACAGCCGAGGTTCTCCGAGTCATTGACAGCTTGCAGACTGGAGACAAGAACGGCGTTGTTACTCCGATTGACTGGCAAAAGGGACAGGACGTTATTGTTCCACCCAGTGTCAGCACCGAGGATGCAAGGAAGAAATTTGGTGATGTGAGAGAGGTGAAGAAGTACTTGCGTTTTACCAACGTTGGTCAATAGACGAAGAAGTAAAGACGGCTGTGTACAATACAATGAACGGTTGCTTTAAATACCAGTGGGTGTCAGAATGTTCCTGTCGCCATCAAATGATACCTACCGCCGACCTGAAAACCGAGGCGCCATGTAGACTCCACGCTCATATAAAACGCTGACATTCTCTAGCTGAACATTGGGTCGAGGTCAGTAAGCAGGCCGATTTTAAGTGAGTGCCAAATCTGCCTTGCACAGCAATAAACACACGCTGCCTGACGCATGCTCAGATTTCGCTACGGTGACGGCACGGGTATCCTCATGCCAAGACCATTAGTGTGCAGGCCTGGTTTTCAGCTGGTGAAATACGAGCAAAGGTACCAGGCCTGGGGTCTGAGAATGACATAACATGCAGGTACGACTGAACGCCTTATACTCTGAAGAAAAATCCGACCAGCTCAAGTAAACCTTATTCACCCCTGGCTTGGCATGCAGCCAGGATCTTCCCCGTTTGCTGTCTTTTTTCAAGAGGGCACACATTGCGGTCGTACATTTTTCGCCTAGCGCTGCCCTTTTTGTCCAGAGCATAGCCCTTCTGTATGCGCAGCATGTGAGCCTGTGGCAGATTTTTTTCTTCTTGAGTCTGGCCGAACGGAGTTCCAAGGTGCAGCATGGCCTCGTATCCTTCCCCCCAAACTGGGGCAGTCCTATCTCTGGACGTCTCCGTCGAGGTCACGTATAAAAGTCTCTCACCTACCCAGTTTTATCCTTCTTCATCCTCTGGTATTGCTTTAGAATTACAATCATTATACGTTTCTTACGATATCAACGCACTCAACCTTCAACTCGCACCTACTCCCCCTTGACCATGTCAAAGACAAGAATAAGTGCCAAAGTCCACAAACAAAAGCTATACTAGTCTTCTCTACTCGTCATTCATCATGTCGACGAATCTTGCGTTGACCTCGGTCGCCACCCCCATCCCCACCTCTACTGGCACCAGTTCCTACTCCATTGCGAGCTCTCCATGGACCAAAGAGGCGCTTTTCGGCTTGATTAGCATTCTGGTAGCCGTGCTAGTCCCGTGTATCGGCATGCTGGTCAAAGACGTGCTGTCAAAGCACCGGACTACCGGGTGGTGGAAGAGAGGGTCTAGTGGTGGAGATGTAGAGTCTGGTATGCCGCAACAAAACACGCAGCATAGTGGGGAGGATGAAGATGGCACTATGGTTGTACTGCCTGTCATCTCTCTTCCCTTGCGTTCGGTCATCAGGCAACGTAGCTGGGACATGTGGGATGAACAGTTGAGACTGCCTTGGCGTTAAGGTAGGGCCCTGGTCTTGTTGCCACATGGCTATATGGCTGTATGGTTGTGTGCGTTCCTTCTTTCCGGGTGTTGATCGCCTCTCATCACATTTGTCGCATACTCTAGCGCAGCATACCCAACACATTTGGTTGTGATTGGTCTTTTATTTTTCTTGTTCCCTCCCCTTTGATTTGCTTATTTATTTCTTTTCTTTTTTTGACTACAAGAGGCCCGGGTTCTACTCTTATTTATTCGATTTCTAGGAGTTTGGCGGTGGAGCAGCATGCTATTCATTGCGATAGACCGTACTATAGATAGAGGCAATAAGCAGGCATGATCACACCCCGTGAATGTTAACGAAAAGCAAGAGCCTCTAGCAAGCATCGAAACTTATTTATGAGATAGACTCGTCCTAGGAATGACTGCTAGCAGTGCTATTCGATTACAGAAGCTACAAGAACATATGTTTTCTTATTCCCTCATCGCAGAAAATTCCCATCGTTGATGAGCGCAGACATTGGTTACATTGGTTTCTCGACCGTCAAACATGTAAAAAAGATGATTGGTTCTGCCGCGAGGGTTAGCCAGACCTTGCGCCTTGGAATTGGCTCAGCCGCAGTTCACCCCCGGCCAGACCGCCTCAGACAAGATAATCATGAGTCCCTCAAGGACGTAATGCCATCCAAAAAAGCCCATCAAGTGTCTCGGCATACGCCAGCCTAACAAAACACGGAGTCGCCAGCGATTCAACAGGTTAGTTTCCCCCCCCCCCCCCAACCATACACATCTCACCACACATCTCAAGCCCCATCTGGCATTCCAAGCCACTCTTCATTATACATATCTATCGTGCTTGTACCCTCCCTTTCCATCCTTCTCACACAGCTTCAAGATTCACAAAACTATATATCATACCCCTTCTCCCGCACAACAGCGCTCTCAGCCTCCGCTTCACTTTGCAGCCTACACTGCTTTCCCGCTTAACCCTTTTTAGCACTAGCGCCGCCCATCGCAGGACTGCAGCAACGGACTCTCACGCCAGATATTTGTTGCCAGTGTATATCGACCTCGCATTCAGTACATTGAGCATTTATCCAAAAGGAAACATGTCGCCAGCCGCATTTCCCATGGCTTCCTTCGCCGCCACACCTTCTGCTACTTCCATCCCTACCACTCCCCCCTCCATCACCAACTCGCCCTGGACCAAAGAAGCCCTTTTCGGTCTCATCGGATTACCCCTGGTCGTGCTCGTACCATGCATGAGCTGGATATTTAAGAAAAAGTGGGACACGAGGTCTAGGAAGCGACGGAGCAGCAGCAGCAGTAGTAGTAGGAGTAGTAAGTTGCATTTCATCTTTCCTTTGTGACTCTGCTGACAAGATGAAGGCAGGAGCAGTGGCAGTGATGAAGAGGACGGAATGCTGCTGCGATGGAACAGGTTTTACGAAGTCAATCGGAAGGGTAATAATACTATTATCGTTCTTCGCTGACGTTGGTTATGTCTTCGCGATGGGGATAATGATGATGATGACGATGAGCGACGTTTTTTTTGTTGTAATATCCCTTGGTAAATAGACAAGCATGGCGCATCGGTGTTTAAAAAACGGCTGCTAGACGTCATGGATAGATTTGGATTGGACAGGTCAGAAAAAAAAATCTCGTTCTTGGTATCTTGGTCTTTGGTCTCCTTATCCAAACTTCATACAAAGGGTATCATCCAGGCCAGGCCGTCTTGCTACGATCCCGCCGGCGCTGCAAACGAGAGTCTAACGACTTTTCCGCCGTCGCCTCCAACTTCCTTCTTCCAGCCTAGCACATCGTCCTTGTTCTTTTCCTTGTTCACTTCCCACGGGACCAGGAATCCGGCATTGAGGTTACCATGCTTCACACCTTGGATTGCGACCTTTTGCTTCGACTGCGCAATGTATGCGTTCAGGAAACCCTGGGTGACGAGACTACCGCATATGCATTCCATCTCGGGAATGTCGAACTCGTGTGTATATGGCTGCACATTGTTCAAGCCGACAAAATCCGGGTCGATGTATGTGGACCTGGTCGTTGACGCGTGGTCCTGGAATATGTGGCCAAAGTTACGACGACCTGGGCCGCGGTCCTGGGCAGCCATCGCGGCATTCTTGATCCTTGAGCGTGCCTCCAGGTACCGAAATACTTGCACAGCTGCGTTGAGGTCGAGTAACGCGGCTGCTTTTGACGCCTCGCCGATGCTGCCAGTAAGGATGAATATTTTCCGGAGGAGCGATCTCCATACAAGGACTTCGCAATAGTTGCCAATTGGATAAAATATGCGGTACTTGATCATGAACTCAGCACTTGGGTGCGAAAGGTCAAGGTTGGTAATCCGGCGGAACGCTTCGAGGTCGCCTTTGCGAATCGCGCGCGTGATTGGCTCGAATACTTCACGGAACCCAACATTGGCTGGGTCGTTGTAGATGTATTGGTTGGGGAAGCGACCAAGTATAATGTTTGCGGCGACGAGGCAGACGGCAATCAAACGGCGCTGCCTCGGACATTGTCTGTGGCAACCTCTGTACGCTATTTCCAAGACGAGCTGAGCGGCGTAGAAGTTGGTGTTGCTGAAATGGTATCGCCCGAGATAGTAGAGATATGTCGTTCTCTCTGCAGCTGGGTAAATGTGTAGTGGCGGTGATGAGTTTGATATGTTGTGGAAAATAGTCTCGCAGCTGCCCAGTTTATCGGCTTGAAACAATGTCTTCAGACATATATTGGCCATCTTGTAAATGCCAACCTTCTTACCGTCAGGTTTACCATCCCTTATGCCTCCCGGCACGGTGTTTCGATCATTCAAGCATATGATAAAGGCCTGTCGCACGATGTTGGCAGCCTTTTCCGGCAATGACTCTCTTTGGCCATCCTCATCCACATCAGTCAAGAGCTGCTGGGCCAAACTAGGATTGTTATCCAAGCCGATAGCCACACGCGCAAATACCTTGGCATAGTACATGATGGTGGGAAGCATCAGGATGCCTTTGGTAGGGTGCTGCAATGCGCTGTTGGCTCGCCTAGATTGATATTAACATCCAGCGCCTCCGCTATAGTCCAGTCGTCACACTTACGGCTGAAGGTCCGACATCATCTCAAACACCATGACGAGATTGTTGGCGTCAACGTCTCTAAGGAAGGTCATCCATCCGACAAGAAACGTGACCAACGAACCCCAAGACTGCACAGGTCTTCCCTCGGCATCTTCAGACTCTGCAGTCTCCGTCACCACCCGCCTCACTAGATCCTCGAGTCGCTTTTCTGACACAGGATTCGACACAGGGTAATTTTGCTTTAACGAGTTGATGAGCTCTTGGTGATCTGGCGGCCACCGGTTGGCCTCGAGCGGCTCCAGGAGCACAATCGACTGTAATTGGTGGGCATCGCCTGCTTGGATGGCGACGTTGACAGCTGTGCACAGACGTGTCTCGACATCGTTCTGATTTGGGAAAAAAGGCATGGCTGCAGAACCCCCGTGGGTGGTTGAAGTGGAGTCAAGCTAAGCGGCAGAGCTCTTTGAGCTACGGCTTGGAATCTGAAGTAATGCACTAGCCTCCATGTGCTCTAGCGTTGGTGTCCAAGCTTCTTCGCTTAGTACCCGCGTATCCCTGCTGGCGATCATTACGTCCAAGAACCTCTCTCCCCCCTTTATGTGCGGGCTTCATCGATAATTGCAAGATTCATGCTGGTTCTGCGGAGATTCTGGTGATGCAGGCGTCCCGGGCCAATGGGAATGTATCGGAAGTCCCGTCGCAACCAGCATGGTAGGGTTCCGCGCAAGGCCCAGCAGCTGCGCCTTTCACATGTCAGCCCCACTGGTGACATCACCAAGTGTAATTTGTTGAAACACCAATGTCGAAAGCTGGACGTCTCTGCATCCCTCCGTCACCGTTAAGTCAACAAAACCAAGGCAGCCTCACATCCTACTTAACTTGAATGGGTTGCTTCGGTACGTCTTTTCTGGACCATACCCTCTATCCATTACTTCTCGCGTTGCAGCGGTCTAGAGCCCATTTGCTCACAATGGGGGACTATACAAATTACATGCGATACTTCCTCACGCACCCTATCCTCTTCGTCTACCAAGTCATTCAATATGTGCTTGACATTATCCTCTCGCCGACCCCACCGCCACCGCACGCCAGTCTCGCACGACCGAAAATCGCCATTATAGGCGCGGGCCTCACAGGCGTATCTGCGGCGTCGCACATTGTCGGACACGGATTCGACTGCCGCATCTTCGAAGCCGGTCCCAAGGAACACCTAGGTGGCATCTGGAGCCGCGTGAACAATACGTCTGGTCTGCAGATCCACTCGGTCATGTACCGCTTCCACCCGTCTGTGCACTGGACGATGGGATATCCAGATCGCCAGCAGATTGTGTCGCAGATTACGCAGCTGTGGAAGAAGTATGGGCTGGAGAACAAGACCGAGTTTAACACTCGGGTGGAAAAAGTGTACAAGGACCCGCATGGGCGATGGATTATCAACGATCCGAGCCACGGGCGGTTTGATGGGGTGATTGCGGCGATTGGGACGTGCGGCGATGCAAAGATGCCGAAGCTGCCTGGACAGGAGAAGTTCAAAGGCGAGATCTGGCATAGTTCGCAGCTCGATGGAAAATCGGCTAGAGGGAAGAAAGTGGCTATTATCGGGGGAGGCGCGTCGGCCGTCGAGGCTCTGGAGTTTGTTGCCAACGAAGACGCGAAACATGCATATGTCCTTTCACGCAGTGAGAAGTGGATCATTCCCCGGAACCCATTCATCGACGCCCTTCTCGCCCTGAACATCTTCGGCTCGGAAACAATCTTCTCTTGGATTCCAGAATACATTCTAAGATTGTTCTTCTACCGCGACCTCTACGACATCTCGCCAGCGCCCAACAGTGGAAAGGGGCTCTTCACAGGAACGCCAATGGTCAACGACCAAGTGCTGGAGCTCATTCGCTCGGGCAAAGCCTCATGGCTCCGCGGCGATATTTTGGGCTACGACGACTCTGGACGGGGCATCAAGTTCAACAAGCGCGCCCAAGGGGTGCCCAAGAACGGGCCTGGGTCAGAGAGGCTGATTGAAGCCGACATTGTGATTATGGCTACGGGATACAAGCGGCCCAGCTTGGGCTTCTTACCAGACGAAGTCTTCGACGAGCCGTATGAGCCGCCGAACTGGTACCTGCAGGTCTTCCCACCAGAGCACCCTTCCATCTGCGCAAACAACTGCACCTATGTCAACGCTATTGGCACAGTCGGCAACTACCACATTGGCATCTACACACGCTTCCTGCTCATGTACCTTGTGGACCCGCTGGCGCGACCGAGGACGTGGTGGATGAAGCGATGGATAGACATGACGCGCTTCATCAAAAGCAAGGCGCCAGGCGGTGCTTTTGATTTTTTCACGTATTCGGAGCTGATTTACTGGTTCGTATTTACAATTGCGATCAACCCATTCCGGTGGAAGTGGGCAGCTTTTGTCTTGTGCGGCGTGGGCAAGGGATTGCCCTTGAGCGTGGTGGAGCAGGAGGATCGGGCCCGGAATGGACTAGGCATGAGGCAGGTTGCGAATAACCATAGCAACGGCAGCCAGACGGAGTAACTGCTCCGTGAGATGGTGTCGTGATAAAATTGACTTTTGGTCAGCCACACAAATTTGAGTTGAAGCCGGCTGGTGAGGACCTAGTCAGTGGTGCGGCCTGGTGGCAAAAGGAACAGGAAACCGTTGCCAATGCCATAGGCAGTTTCATGACTGTCGAGACTTTTGGATAAGCAAAAATGGACATAGTTGCTAGCCTGGATGCAGCCTTGAAGCGGCATGCACTACAGCAGCCTAAGTGGATAGGCATGCATGCACGCAGACGTGAGACTGTGGAGAAACCGTCGGCAGGTGCTTGGGTTGTAGATGACAGCGGCGGCCATTCCCCCTCTTTTATAGCTGATGGCATTTGTGAAATTACGTGTTCAATAGCAGCGAAGAAGACGGTGAGCGTATCGATATGGAAGATTGCGTGGTCGGTGCCCCGGTGAAAAAACTTGGCTCTCCTTTTTTTCTTGCACGCACCAACGAGGGAGCAAAAGAGTCGGCCCCTTTTTCTTATTTTGCGTATAACTTTGACGATGGTGGGGTTCATCGGAAAGTTGTGCGGAGCCGGGTACACATGAGGCACGTCTTACCCAGTGCATCGCCATGGCAACAAGGAGTACGAAAACATGATTCAGAGCACGAGGGACGTGATGGTGCCTGAGGTCATGACAAGGAGATGATGGGAGCAGAAGGACGGACACGCGAGGCATGGGAGGCGTTTGAGGATATTGAAATACGCTGGCTGCAGGCGAAGATGGCGTCGCAGTTTTACATAGGCGTTGGCCCATCTCTCTCGTGTTCACCGGAAGATATCCCCCGCATGTTGCGGACTCGCACAGCAATGGGCGCGTCACAGCGTCCCGCCGTCTCAGATAGCGACGTGCCGAGAGCGAGGCCGCAGGCGATCCGCATGCAGGCGTGAAACTCGTGTTCGCTGGGGGGGTATAATATTGATATGGACGGATGCTGCTGTCGGGGGCCGGAAGCGGTTGCGATATGCAACAGCCAGGCGGCGGCGGCGCACCCACAAAGGGCTGCGTGGTGTGTGTCTGTGGGTGAGCTGAGGTGATTTTTGGGGATGAAAGGATTGCAGGACGCAGGATTGGGTTTTCGCGGTGAGGGACCACTGGAGCCGCGCCATGTGCTGCGACGGTGGTGGCAGCTATTCCTAGCAGAGGTTTTTCTTTCTTTGTATTTTCTCTGGCGAATTTTTCTTTTCTGCGCAGGGCGGCGGCGGCTGCGCAGCAAGGCGAGGCGGCCACTGTCATGTCGCTCGTGGGCATGGCGCGGTTTCAGCGAGCAGAGGTCGGAAGCGTCCGGCCAGGTGCTGCGCGAGTGACAAAGAGGATGAATGCTAGGGCATTGTCACGGTGCAGATTTTCAGGGTCTCGAAACGCAAAAAGGCCATAGGCGGTAACGCGAGCGGGGCCCGAGGTCTGGGGTATATGATAGGGACCCTGTTGCTGTTGCTGTGGTGCGACTGCGCCGGCCGGCCGCGTCCAGGTCAGGTGATAGCGTGCACACGGTTGTTTGTGTACCCGAGCCCTGGACGCGTCGCACCTGGCGACGGCGACAGCGACGGCGGCGGCGGCGCGGGCGGCGAGGGCGAGAGAGTCTGGCAGCGCGTGTGCGACAGACGCCACCTCTTGGCCCTCCTCAGCAGCGGCCCACAAAAGGAGGGGTCAGCCCATGCCATGGCCGGGGCCGTTTATGAAGACTTTGTGCACGCGCGCACACGCATCCACACTAGCAGCTGTACTGTACACACCCACCGCGCTCGCGGGCTGCGCTGAGGCGCCCGGCTGGCGTGCGAAGAGCCGCCGTTCTCGAACAACGATTCAGCTCGCCTCTCGAGGCCTCGACGACCGCCAGCCCAGCAACAGCCCGCCCCCCCGGCCACCCCGACACCCCGACTAATTGCCTGCTGACGTCGCTTGTTTGTTGTGGCTCGTTGCCATGGCGGCGGCGCGCGTGGGCGAGGGCCGCGCGCGAGGATGCCATGTCGCCGGGGCTGGACGGGCGTGGGCGGTGGTTTGCACCAGAGCCAGTGCTGCGAAAACCGGCTGGGCTATACATGGCACGCCGGGCCCTTCACGTCAGGCGTCGTGGTTATGACGTTTCTGCCAGTGTGGCTATCGAGATCTCGTCGCAGGTGCTCGATCGCAAGCACGCCACTAGGAGGTAGCGCATTGGGGCAAGGCCATGGCCAGTCCGGTTTTATGCACCCGCTTGGCCTGCGACGTCGAGGCAGATCCGACGGCGGACGAGCCCAGCAGCGACCCCCAGCCGACCGCCCACGGCGCGTGCTTGTCGGCGTCGCTGCGCCGAAAGGAGGGCGGAAAATCTCCCGCTGGCCCAATGGGCGTGGGCGCGGGCGGCCGTGGCAGCGACCTGGCCTGGAGCAAGGCGGGCTCCCTGGCCGCATGACGAAAGACTACGTATGTGCCATGTATGTGTGTAGGTAATGGAGCCTACATACGGGTACACCAAGGCCAGGCCGACCGAGCGTGCCGTGGGCGTGCAGCGCGATGGTGCTAGCCGTCAAAGTGGGTGCGCGGGCGGGTTGCTGGTGACGGGCGCTGACAGGCTGGCCGCGGCCATTTCGCGCGTCGTTGACAAGGCTGTTGTGTGTGTTGGGGTACACGGTGGTTGCGCGCACCTGTATGCAGCCGGCAGCTAGCCGCAGGCCCTGGTCTGGTCTGGTAGCGAGAGTGCGTGCGTGCGTGCGTGTGTGGGTGCGTCGTCGCTTGGTGGTTTCCCTTGGAGACGGTTTCCATGGTACGCACGCTGAACCATTCCGAGGGGAGAAATTCTCTCGGCGCAGCGCTTTTTAGGCGGAGAGGGCGAACTCATGGTTTCACGTCGCTCGCGGGCTTGCAGGCCCTCCCATGGCTGCCTGCCCATGCCCGGGTGGAGCCAGGCGTTGCTTCTCTGGCAACGCGCGGAGGGGTGGGCGGGCGTGCGTGCGTGCGTGCGTTTGTGTGTGTGTGTGAGGGAGTGATTGAGGGAGTGAGGGAGTGAGTGGGTGAGTGGTGAGTAGGCGAGTGGGTGAGGGAGTGGGTGTGGGTATGTGTATGTGTGTGGCAGGCAGCCACGAGCAGCAGCCGTCAGACGCTCCTAGAGCCGCGGTAGAAAAAAAAAGACACCCACTGCGAACACAGGCACTCTCACACACATAGACACACACATAGACACGCTGCACATACGCGTGTGAGTGAGCGTGTGTGTGTATGTGCGGGCGCTGCGAACGCTTGTTTACCCTGGATACATATGCCGTGTCGTGGGCGTCATTGTGCTAGCTGCAGCCCCGTCAGGCAGCGTGCAGGCGAGCAGCACCATGGCCCATCAAATCAGCGCCCGGTGTACCTGCGGCGGCATTAGAGGCAGCGGATCATCGCAGCACCGCTTGGCCTGGCTCCATAGCCGGAAACGAACAAACTCCAAGTACCCAGTCTTCTTTGTCCCGTGCTGCGCAGTGAGGCCTCCGGTGTGTGCAAGCGCCTAGTCTAGCAGCCCCATGCCCTGGTCGTCCGCCCTAACCTTCTCAGCGGGCTACCCCAGCAACCATGGCATCCTCAAAGCCAGCTGCGCGATTCCCTTCCTCTCTACCCTTCTCGCCCCCAAGAAGGCCCAATCCCCTCTCTTAAGTTGGCTCAAGACTTCTGGACAAGGTCGCTTTTGCTTGGACTCCATCCGCCAACCACCACTCCCTCCCCCAGCCACGGCAGTCGCTACCGCTACCACCACCACCACCACCACCATCGCCGCCCGCCCAGCCAGCCTCATGTCCGCAGCCCGCCTCTAGCACCTCGACGTCGCCGCTCCCCCGCCGCCGCCGCCCTCGCCCTCGCCCTCTGCCCGCCGCCCGCCTGCAAGCCCACCACCGCCCGCCGCGAGGCTATTTACTGCGAGCATCTTCAGATTGGAGTTAGTTTTTCCGTCTTGCATGCTTATCGTCTCGACCCGACGCCAGTATATCAGTCCTCTCTCCCCACCACCCACACCCCAACGCTCGTTTCGGCCCTGTTGCCCGGTACGACCATAGCCCGGCCTTGCCAACCCCAAGAACACGGCAACCCAAACCACCACCACCACCGCCGCCATGGAGATGTCCTCGCCGCTCGCCGCCATGCACCCGCCCCCAATTCCCGGTCCCTGGGGCTACCGACGCGACCTGCCCCAGTCCAAGCAATTGTTCGGCGGGGCCAGTCTGGCGCCCAAGAACTTCAACTTCCGTGACCTCAGCATGAAGAAGAGTGGAGGAGACTACTTTGCCATGCAGCCTCGCGTGGGCTCCTCGCCCACGGCCAGTCTCGCTGCCGACATGTCGAGCAACCTGCACGTGGACCAGAGGTAAACCCTACCCCGGCTTTGATACGCCTTCCGCTTTCGGTACTAATGCCCTTTGTTCTAGCCCCCAGCTCGCCACCCCCCGCCGGTCGCTCTTCACGTCGAATCTCTTTCAGCAGCTGGACACCAGGGGTAAGTGGCTCTGCACTTGAGACTGCGAGCATCAAGCCCTGACGTGCTGCCCATAGAAAACACCACCCCAGTGCCTCGATGGGAAGGCGTCACCACGCCCCCAATTCCCTCTTCGTCGCCCGGCTTTGCCCCAGACTCGATGGACATTTCGCCTCTTCCCCACAAGGCCCCCTTCAGCTTTGCCCACGACCGCTCCCTGCCGCTCCCCTCGCCCTCGCCCGAAGTCACGCCCAGCAGCGACGGTGACATGCTGTCGCCATGCGAGGACCTGTCCGACTCTTCTGCCTACCCTACACCCAACATCGAGGTTCCACGCCCAGTGTCAGCCGCCGAGTCAGTAGCCGAACCATGTGCTCACCCAATTGCCTGCTAACGCGATATATAGCCGCAGAAAGTCTGCCCTTCTGAGGCCTGCTCTCTCGCGTTCGAAAAACTACTCGAATAATTCTGTATCCTTCAAGGATCAGGACAAGGATGGCGAGAATGCTCCGCCTCCACCACCCTTCCAATTCGGATGTGGTGACTTTAACCGCACCTCGTCGTCGCTCAGCCTCGACGAGTGCTTTAGTGCCTCTCCCCCACAGGATCGCAGCAGGCCCACGTCCAATGGCTCTCTCTTTGGTTCCTCCCGGCCCAAGCCGTATCGTCTCAACTCTACTGCCACGTCGAGCTCAAGCGGCTCGCCCCTTGCCGCTGTCCGGAAGCCTGCCGGCCCCCCCTCGCGTCGGCCCAGCAAGTTCCGACGCTCGCTGAGCATGTTCGAAAGCCCCGGTGAGGTGATGAATGCCAAACAAGAGCAGGAAAACTACCAGCCCAGTGGTCTTCAGTCTGTAATGGATATCGATGATGTTGCGCCTCTCAAACTTCCCCATTTCACTATTAGCGAGCCAGAGAGCATCCCCCGCATTACCCGTGAGACATTGGTTGAAGTGCTCGATGGTGTATACGACCATCTGTATGACAACAAGGTGGTTATTGACTGTCGCTTCGAGTACGAATACAATGGTGGGCATATTGAAGGTGCTTTGAACTTTTGTGACAAGGAGAAGCTGGCCGAGCGTCTCTTCCAGGCCCCTTCAAGTGAGAACACGCTGTTGGTGCTCCACTGCGAGTACTCAGCACACCGTGCCCCTCTGATGTAAGTGGACCAGCTGGCTGCCATAATTATTGTGTTCATGTCGCTAACAGCAAACAGGGCCAAGTTTGTGCGCTCGCAGGACCGTAAAGAGAATGCTCACCAATATCCCCACCTCTCATTTCCTGAAGTCTACATCCTTGATGGCGGATACAGTTCCTTCTTCCATGCCCATGCTACTCGCTGCCATCCCCAAAACTACCTCCGCATGGACGCTAAAGAGCATGAGCAATCATGCGAGCGCGGCCTTAACAAGCTCAAGTTCAAGTCGCGTGCAAAGCTTAACCGTGCCACCACATTCACCTTTGGACAGCCTTGCCAGATGGAAGACAGTCCGACGGCCATGAGCCGTTCACGAAGCGGAAACAACATCTTCGGCCTTGGCAACGACTCGCTGGATGGCGCCCGGGCCGGCGCCTCGCGTCGCCTAGCCTCGTACTAAACTCACACACTGGCCCCGAGCCACAATAACGATACCAAACTAACTCTTCACGGCGGATTGATTGACGGCGTTATCAATGTTTTGCTGCATCGGCATTGGATTCCCACAGCATCGGCGTTCCCTTTTCTTTTTCTTGGACTTTTTTTTTGTTTGGCCATTACCAGGGCGTTTCCAGCGATTTCCTTTGTCTTGCATCATCCTCGGGCTTTTTGAAGAGAGGAACCCACCACCTGCATCTGATCTTTGGGGCGTCGTGTCCCCATTTCGTTTCTATACCCCATGTCGCGGAGCCACGGGCCCGGGCATAAGTTACCATTTGTCGAGAGGGACTGCTGGATACCCATCTTGTCTACGGCGAGGGCTGTGCAGTGCAGCACACACACACACACACACACACATACGTCTGCCCGCTCGCTCCTTAATTTCCTTTGTCACTACATACTACCCCATCCTCAACCGGATTTTTCCTTGGCACAGCAGAGTTGGAAATGCTCTGACACTTGTTCTTTGAGAACAAAGATCTAAAGAATCATCACGAAGCCACATACACAGTCAAAGGCCTACGTGCCTCCACGTTCATTACCAGCATAATACATTTCCTTAATCAAGCCTTTATTTGGTATTCGTTGTAGCATAGTGCCTCGACGGTTATTTCCTTGGTCTCGTTTGTATTCGATTGCATGTATGCATTGGCTAGTGTTGTCTAGTGCGAGCCGGTCTGTGTAGAAACAGAGGCGGCGTGTGCAGAGAGCGAGCACGAGGGGCATTGGCACGCGACGGATCAACTGGGCCCAGGTCCGCTAGAGCCGTTTGGCCCATGTGGCTAGGAAGACAATAAAAAGAAGAAGTCAAGCGCCATGGGCCGTCGGCTGCTTCCCGAGAGTGACGTAGTGTGTGGCCTCTGGGGCGGAGATTTGGCGGACGGTGGAAGTGTTGAGCGCAAGCCGGACGTTGGTTGTTTCTTCTGCCTGACCAAAACATGCCCCAGGCCCCGAAATACACAAAGGCGGCTGAGGTCGCGACGCGTTTGGCGCTAAAGACGCGCGCGCCCCGCATGTCCAAAACATGGCTTCCCCACCAAACCTCTGCAACCGCCGCCTGCGCTGGCCTGCATGCACATGGCGCTGGTGCTGATGCTGCATGCCAGCCGCGTGGACGTGGACATGGACGTGCGCCGCCCCGGATCCTGGTCGCCTCTCGTCGCCACCGCAGCCTCAGCCTGCCTTTTCAGCGTTGCCGCCATCGCCCTCAGACGGACGGCGTGCTCCTCGCATCTATTTTTTGCTTTTGCCCCACCTTCCCAAGCTCGCTGGCTTAGGTCCGTCTAAGCTCCGAGCGCCGCGCACCGCACCTCTTGCACCCACGCCAGACCGACTACCACGACGGGCCTTTGTTGTCGCCACCGAGGGACGAGCCCGCATCCAACCGCGCGCGCGCTGGCACCATCGTATATGTGCCGATGCGAGTCGCTACCATAGCTTCATACCCACACGCCCGAGTTACCAAGGCGGCCGTCTGTGTGCGCGCGCGTGCATTGCATCTGTAGAGCGCGAAAGAGGCGGAGCAATGGACATTGACGATTTGCTAGCCGAAGTCGCCGCCGATTCAACGCCTCAGGAATCGCGCGATTTGCAGGAGCTCACAAGATGTTGGGTTGCTGAGAGAGCTGCTCCCGAGGTCTTGCCGTGGCCGCGAGACCTCATGGAGCGCGTGCTGGAGCGCATCAGCAAGCAGGTGAGTAGCAGCACAACAGCGACGCCCCGCCCCCGCCCAACCGTCTCATGCACAACACGCCGTGTGCTAATGGCGCAGCCAGATTGAGCTGGTTGAAGACCAGACGGGCAACATGGATCCCAAGACCAACTTCAAGCTCATCATTATCCAAACCGAACTCGAGCGCTTCAAGTTCCTGGTCCGCAGCCTCTTGAGGGCACGGATAAAAAAGGTACGTTGTCACGGCTATCACGCACCCATGTCTCATCACATCACGGCACCTTCTTCATACGTATATATCCGTGTGTGTCCGTGCTAATAACACAATGTCACAGATCGACGCCCATCCCTTACACATCCAATCGCTGCACACGGCCTCACTCGAAACACCCTTTCCGCTTCTGTCGCCCTCGGAGTACCGGTACCTGACTTCGCACCAGGCCCTGCTCGCCTCACATTACTCGTCTTCGTTCCTCTCCCAGTTCCCGGCCTCACTACAGCGTCTCGACGACACTACAGGCGGCATTAGCATGGTGGACAAGCCAGATGAGGATAAAGCCGTGTTTGTCAGGGCCCTTAGAGACGTCGGTGAGATATTTGTAGAGGGCACGGATCGCCGATTTGAAATGAAGAGGGGTGATGTATGGGTCGTCAGGTGGAGTGCCGTTAGAGCTTGGTGTGTGGGATGTGGCACGGGGGATGTGGAGTTGATCTGAGGGACATTGATAACACACATACAAAAAAAATTTCCGGACCTCGGAAATGTGGAGAGAAGAAATTCCCTCCCAAGTTGCGCATGGATCCCTGGTATACGATACGAACGCCTTGTCGGAGCGCATACATTCGTAACCGGGTATTACGTAGTCTCCAGGTGGGGGGGGGGGGGTAAACTATACACACGAATTGCCATCAGGGAGTATCCATGGGGAAACCCAATAGCGGGGTTTTCTTCATGTCTGAAACGAGAGAGATAAGCCGTGTTTGTATACAGATAGAAGGTCATGTGGGACACGGAAAAGAAAATTAGCATTTGTTGTGCTAAGTCAGAAATGCGAAATGCTCATCTAGACAAGTTGAGATGCATACATATGTACATACATGTTCTCGCCCTCCAGGTAACAAACTATCGAGGCTCGGCTGGGGACACTTGTGAAAAGCATCTATCCAGGATGACGTCTTCAATTTGATATTCGAAATACGACAGAAACAACAAACAATCAACTGTACATAGTACAATGACATGTAATTATGATGATGATGATGATGATAATGATGATAGACGCAAAACAAGAGTATTTTACACAAGCGCCACAAAACACGCCAAAAAAAATTAGCATAGTAGCATGCTAATTCGCAGTAACAAACAAACAAAACACAGACACACAGCCACGCGTGGGTTATTGTCTTCTTGTTTCTCCTTCTATAACGACGTTTATCCCCGCTAGACTATGCAAGTACACCTTTTCCATCTATCAACACCAACACCAGGATCCAACCCTTTCCCCCCCCCCCCCCCCCCCCCCCCCCC